ATGGTATCATCATTATTGTGGGTAGTTGAACTGATAGCACGATTGGTGTTCTTCTCGATTATCTTGAAAAGGGTCATTGTTGTTTGCAATCACTAACTCTCTAGTGGAGTCGCTAAAATGTAAAAAGGAGTTCTTGAGAACTAATTAGACAATTGGTTGACGAGCTAATCAAGATGCAAAGAGCTAGTATTGTGACCTATATAAGTAATGGTCAACCAACTAAGCAGAAATAATGCAAATAATAAGAAGCATAAGAGGAGAAGTGGATAGTGCTAACAAGGCACAAGTCAACCGATTGACGGATGAGTAGTCAAAGTTCAAACATATAAAGTTTTAAGTGTTGTCTCATGTATGAGTGGGAGAGTTTTAAGATAGAGGGTTAGGAGTTTCTTTTGCTAGAGATAAAAAATTATGAAGTAAAAAGTTCTCTAATGTAAAAGTTCTTATCTTTTCATAATGATGTGAGATTAGTGTTAATAGTGAAAGAAGATGGTATTTAACCACTAAGATCATACCACATCATTTAAGTTTGGACTGGCATATTTGACTTTAAGGATTTAGATTTTTTTGAGCTAAACTCGCTTTAACTTGCTAAGCAAAGGGTAAAGGAAATAACAATTGAGCCTTTTTTTAACGGACTCTGCTCCAAGCCCATCAAGCCAATCTCTCCAATACATCTTAAAAAACAAGGCATGGACACTCGGTCCTATCATAATATACGTTCATCCTTACAACTTATGATCTTGTGTTGAATGAGGCCGATATTCAATCCAATGGTGTAGTTTAGATCCATGATGTCATACCCTAAAATTTGGGTTATATTTGTTTTTTTTTATTTTTTCTGTTATTATCTTATTTTCATATTTTATTTTAGGTTTTATGTTTAATTTTAGAATTTTACATTTTTATTTAGTAAAGGAAAAAAAAAGAAAAAGGAAAAAAAATCAAATCTTTTGTTTAACCGATCTTTCATCTTTATTTTCATCATTTTAACTTGTCTTATCTTTTTACTATCCCATTTTTGTTCTTTTTTTTTTTTAATCTTTTTATTTAGTTTTATCTTGATTTTAGTTTAAGAGTGCAACTGAATGAAATTGAAATGCAATTGGAAGTAATTAAGGACATAATTGACATAATTCAAATTTTAAAACTAAAATTGAAAGATATAAGGACCCAAATGAAAAAAATTAAAAGCACCGGGGACTATAATGACACTCCTAAATGATACAATTGAAAAAATTAAAACCTATGAGGACCTAAATTGATAAAAAGCATGAATGACTGGACTAATTTGTAATCAATTCGAATGACCCGTCGTTTGAGTCCTCCCGGCATTTTCATGGCATGCGTGTCCTATACTACACCATCCTCTCGACATCGTTTATCTTCAGCGAGTGAAGACAACGAGGCTAGAGGGACAAAACCGACCAAGCCTACAACACCTACACACACAAAATACGTCCACAAAGCATTGGTTTTGGCTCTCTTCATACATAGTCAAAACTTAAAAAAAAAAAAAAAAGCCAAATGGATAAAATAAAATAAAAGACTTATAGCAATATTTAGTTGGTTGTTTTTGTGAGGAAGCTTTTGGGTATAAATAAGGCTTTGATGATAGGCACAAAGAGAAAGGAAATTGTGAGAAATTTTAGAGGAAAAAGGTAGAGGGAATTGTGTAGAGAGGAAAAGAAAAATTCTATGGTTTTTATTGGGTTTTGTAAAAAAAAAAAAAATAGGACTTTGGGATTTTTCTTCGGTTCCGGGTTCGTAGAACAAGTTCGAGGGATATCTCGGGCTTCACCTAAAAAATTTCTAAGGATTTACGGGTTTCAACTAAGAAACCATTGGTAGAAGAAGAATCATATCAAAATAAAAGAAGAGAAGAACCAAATTGTCCATCGTCACTCTCTTCAATCGGACGGTTCGAGTAACCACACTTCATTCAAACTATTTTTTTTCATTCTTGTCCTTATTAACTTAAAAAAAAGGTGATGGTGATATATCCGTCGTCACCATACAACCCCATTCCCGACCCATTTCCGTTGAAGTTTAAGTCGGTGTTTGTGGTTTAAGTTTAAACTAGTAGAAAAAAGGAGAGAAATTCATCGACAATTCATATGTGGGTTTGTATTTTTGAGTTTTGAAGAACAAAAGGGGTGGTGAGGCAATAGTTGGGCAAAGAAAAAAACGTTAAGGGACTTTTTATTAAGGTTTATTGGAGGTCGTTTTAGTAGGAAAATGATGAAGGATTGCTTGATAGTTCGGGGTTAGGGATTTGGTTTTCGGAAAGGATTTAAACCAAATGAAACTAGAGGAGATAGTTTAGGATTGTAGAAAAGGAAATAGAAGGAGGAAATGTAGTGTCGGGAAGATTAAACATTTAGACTCAAGGGCTTTTGATTTTATGGTTAATGTAGGAGCTTAACATGAATAAGGATCGATTGAGGAAAAAAAAAAAAGACTTAGGGATTTCGGTTGAAAGGAATGAGACGAGGCATAGAGGATTTAGGGAGGGCTTATTTAGGTTAGGAATTAATGAAAGATGGGCTAGGTCTAGCCCAACCCATGTGGAAGTTAGAATGGGCTAGGCTTAGCCCAGCCTAAGCTCTAAAGAGCAAGGTAGTAGGCCGACTTAATAGGCTTACCCAATGGGCCCAATAACCCATATTTTTCTCTTTTTTCATTTTCTTAGTTGTTTCCCTAGGTAAATTAAGTCTGAAATTTTAATACATGTTGGTTATTTTCACGCCTAGTCCAAATTTAATATTTTTAGATTTTTTGGGTTCCTTTTGCCCATTTATTTCGATTTATTTAGTTTAATATTTAGCCTTTAATTTCTTTTAGTAATTAAATTTCACATCAAGTACAATATTTAATATTAATTAAATCTAAAAATTTTGGTAAGATTTTAGACTCTTATAAACGTGTAAGGTTTATTGATTTAATTTTTAGTTTTTTTTTTTAATATGGCTTGAATAACCCTTAGTTAGATTCGATAATTAATGGGTGGATGAATCGTTGAGTCTCTTATTTATTAAGAATTGATGATGATTCTCCATCAACTTTAAAAAAATTGAAAGGAAAATGATAAAAAAAAAAGACATGAAAGGAAAAGAAGAAGAAAAAAAGAGAGGAAAAGAACAAAAAAATATAGAAAAAATTAACAAGTCTCGTATCTAATAAGGACTAATGTTAATTCAAATCAATTATATTTTAGTAATTAAGCCATTTTTTGGCATACCTATTATATTGAAACTTAAATTGAATTTGATGTTGAATTGACGGGATTCTCGACGATGGAATCCGATAATCGATGCAATATGATGCCACAACAAAAAATAAAAAATCAATTGGCTTACAAAATAAAACTTGAAATTTTGACTTAGGAATAATTTATGTGATAAACTTTAAGTTTAAATTAGATATGATACTTTTTTCTAGAAAATGATGCTTTTGGGTGACTCATATTTTTTTAAAAGAATAACCAACTTCTTACGTTATAATCTCTAAACTAATGTCAATTTTATGTTTTCTAGTTCTTTTAATACTAAGTGACAACTCTGAAAAATATGGTTTAACTCACATCTCTAGTAAATAAATAAAATAAATAATTAAATTTTTTTTGAAAGTCTCATAAATGTGGAATAGCGAGACATGTAAAAATCAAGAAAATAATATGAATCAGCACTTAATAAAAATTAGCTAAGTTAGTTAATTAATTTTTTAAAAAATCAAGCATATACAAAATTTAATTGAGACGAAGATAGATTTAATATCTAATATAAATTGATTCTATAGATTAGAGTTTTTTATAAAATTCATTCAAAAAATAATATTTAATGAAAGTTTCAAATATAATCCGATTTAAAAAAGATTTGTCTTAACAAATGTTGTTTGTCGGAGAAGACTCCTGTCCTTTTTAAACCGACAAAAATAATAATCTTATTTACCAAAAAATAGACCAAAAAAAAAAAAAAAAGGTTCGAAAATAAGGGCATCCACTCCAAGCCAATTATTATTAATATTATTATGGAAGTATCGAATTCTGTCTGTCATTTATATACTACACAACCATTCTTTCTGTTACGATAATCCGCACCAACTATCTCTCTCTCTAAACAAAAACTTTCCTTTACTTTCTCTCTCTAGGGTTAGTGACAAAGATGCATACTTTTCTTCGTCAACAAAGGTCAGAAATTCAAATTCCTTTCTTTACTCTCTCTACTCTCCTCTCTTTCTCTACATCCTTTTTGTTTCTTTGTTTTTCAAAAAATTGACAGTTACTCTTCTTCTTCTTTTTGAAGAATTTGCAAAAAGTCTCTCTTATGTTCAATTGATTTTGATTTTTTTTTCATGGGTTCATCCAGTTCTTCCCGAAACTGTCAATAGCATTAATTTAATTGAATTGGGTTTTTTGGGTTACGTATGGTGATCATCATCATCGTCACTATTGATAATCCTGATTTTACCTGTACTAAGTTTTAATATTTGAGAATGCTGAATGTGATCTTTTGTTGTTGTTGAATTTAATGGAATTTAACAATACCCTTTTTGAATTGTGTCTCTTAATGTAGAATTATACTCTTTTTGGTCCCGTTTAGAAAAATTTGAAGAGTTTTTACTCAGTTTAATAATTTCAATTAATTTTTTTGAAGTTAAATTATTATGTGTGATTAGGGAATGGATTCTGATTATTCAGCTTGTACAAGGTCCCAGTTCGTTGATAGCTTTTTGGAAGCTTTTCTTGATTTTGTTTCACATTGAATTTGACATCAGGGTTTTTGTAGTTGAGTTGTTTTAGGAGGGAGAGATAAGATTGCGCTGAAGCTTTAAATTTAAGCATTTGGTTATTTCAATATTGGAATTTGCTTGAACCATGGATGTTATTAATGAAGTTTATTAGTAAAATTTTGTTTTTTTGTTTTTTATTTTGAATCAGGTTTTGAGGTTCAAAGAAAGCAAGCAAGGTGTTTTTATTGAATTGGTCAGTGTCATTTAAAATGGAGATCCGTATGGATTTCTTGACTTGTCTTGATCACGACACATCAATGAAGATTCTCAGGTGTTTGGAAGATCCGTCTGATCTTGTCCGTGTTAGTTCTGTCTCTCGTTCTTGGCGACAATTTGGTGGGTATTTTCTGTTATGTTTAGACTAAACTCTTTAAACATTTTGCATTTGGTTTTGATATCCACATAAACACATTGCAAACATTTGTTTTTCTTTTTGATATGAAGTATTTTTATCAGAACGGTTGTGCTCCTTAAGTGATCGTCAAACTTGTTGCCAAAGGAAAAAAATGGATGGCACTTGTTGCAATAAATGTTGGTCGGTAATTTATTTAATGTAATTTTTCCTTTTTGTTTTTCTACTCATTTTGGGTATAAACAATCGTTATCCCTTTCATATTGAAAATTGTAATCAATTACTTTTCTGGTAGCTGCAATCTAATTAGATTCTCCTCAAGGTTCATCTATGCCATTGCCCCTGAGTTGTACTCCATGGGGATCTTCTTAATCATCCATGGCTATTGCCTGTATAGTTTTCAATTATTTCCCAACAAGGTTGCATCCTAGTTGTTTTCAACTCTGCTATATTAAAAAAGAAAAGAAAAAAGAAACAAGAAAAGAAAAGAAAAATGAATATGATAGTTTGATAGTTTTGGAAAAGTGAGTCTTCACTACCTGCTCAATTTCAATCTTGATTGAAATTTTAGTGATGGTTGCAGAGTTTGGATAGAGGAACTTTCCCTTTAACATTGAATTTTGTTATTGTTATTGATTGGGTTTGTTTTTCTTCACAGTGATTGCAAATGGTCTTTGTAAGCAGCTATGCTTGAGAATGTTTCCTCACCTGCTTAGAGTTGATTGTGTCATTGAACCCAGTTGTGGTATGGAAAAAGCTTCGGAAGTCGGATGCAGCAAATTGGTGGAATGGGAAACTCTGAAGAGGGAGCATAAAGCGTATGCCTTTCTAGCTCAAGGGTGCATGTCATTTCCTTTTAGAGAGTGCATTGGGGATGCAATAAGTGCCTCTAGCACTGATAATTATCCAGAGGAAAGCATTCGTAACACTTTGCAACCAGGAGACCGTATTGGAAGGAGAGCTTCATACTGGTCGAGTAAAGGACAACGTAATGCTGCAGTACCTGAGACACTTGTGTATAAACTGGTTGCTGATATTTGTGTTATTGCTGAAATTAATATACAACCCTTTCAAGGTTATTCTTCTGATATTTCATCAATTTCATTCTCTCTCAATTTGTTCTGACTTTCTAGTTGTCCTTTATTGAGGTATCATATGTTTTTATGTTCAGCTTATTTTCAGTGGCGTTCACCTATATATTCGGCTAAATCTGTGCGGTTTCGTTTGGGTCATCCCAAGTGCCCCATGGATGATCCTTTGGGTGAACCATTGGATGACTGTGCTGATGACAGGTTCATATGGACTTACTCTTCACCAGAGTTTCCAATGGCCCAGGTATGTGATAACTGTCTTCCATTTTTTTGGTCTTAATGATGGTGGTCTGATTTTTTTATTTTTTTCTTAACTAAAACTATATCAATGTGGCCATGGAACTGCATTCCAATTTGCTACAGGTTATTATTCTATAATTGAAGCTTACATAACAGGTCATAGGGAACTATTGGTTGACATATGCGCAGGTGCAGCATCCTATTGTCAGCCATAGTAAATGGATCTGTCTTAGTTACTTTTGCACGAAATTTGTGCAATCTAAGATAGACATGGAGCTGGGATCCAATATCTACACGTGGGAGAATGCATCTGTGTTGGTTACTTGTTGCAGGGAAGCTTGGAGAGTAAATTTAACCATGTAGTGGCCAAGTTTTTGCAAACAATGGGAACATGGATTTACAATCCCGAAGGATGTTGCTTAATCCTGACTAACATGATCATGAACCATAGACAGTGGTTGACTTGGTCTCTTTTTGTAGACTTGTGTGATAAAATAACAGGAACAAATTGGAATTGCAAACTCTTTGATAACATGATAACACTGCCTGGTAACTTAAACCCCATAGAGCTGTCTTCATGCAGCAGGAGAAGTTTTTGCATTGTAGAATTTTCTGTAAAGAGAACAATATTTGCCATTGTATTTACGGTTTTATATGATTTCTATCCTAAATATTTCTCTGTCAGCTGTTGTGTGTGTGTGTCTATATGCATGCTTGCTTGATACTTGAGCTCCCACTCACATGCTTTTGGGTAATTAGAACTTTATATGATCAAATTCTCATCAGAAATCCTAATTTGTCGAAGCCTTCTATATGAACAGGAGAGCAGCTTGCAGAACTTCAAGCTTCCAGAACCTGTTGTTTGCATTGGTGGAATTTTGCAGATTGAGCTGTTGGGAAGGGTTCAGAGGCAAGAAATGGATGGCTTATTCTATATATGGTTTGTTCAACCGACTCATCTTTAGCAGTCTGTGTGTGTGTGTGTTTGTCTATACTCCCACTCACATATTAGTGAGACCCATGGATATTCATCATGGTGGGCTACTTTTATGTGAGTACTACTATACATATCTTTTATATGCACATGCATGTGTGAGGGGCAATGCAGTCCTCATGGTGTGCTGGTCTTGTAGATAGGATCCTTGAATATGTTCAAAATAGTGTTTATTTGATTGAGCAGGCTTGATTCCTTGCATGTGCATAAAATGTGATGATGTTTTGTGTTGTTGGCCAAACCTGTGTTGTGGATATAAAAATAGAAATTATATTTACTCAAAGAGTCTGAGGCATTCTGGAAATTGATATTTTTCTCAAAATTTTAATCAGCTTACAATATCTGAAAATTAAAAGTTATAATTCCTTAGTGCAGAGTTGTATGCAACTGTTTCCCTGTACCAGTAGATTGCAGACTGCTGACCATGATGCATGGTTTCTGTATTTAATGCATTTTCTTGTCATACTGCAGCGTGGCTCACGTTCAAGTTAAAGGCAGGCCATTATCACCAGCATTTGGTGTTGAAATTCTTGCACCTTCTGGAAAGTTTGTATTGAAAGCCCAGAGTTGTACCCCACCAAGCATACCTGATGATGACTCCTCATATCGAGGTGGGCATTTGCATGGGCGTGTTGATTTGGAGCAGATTGTGAATGTGCTGAGGGGAGGAGGAGTACTAGTTGAATATGATTGGAATTCAGAGGATGATGAAGTGGATGATGAGTTAGCTTTCTAGGTCTGTTACCTATAATAATTGTAATCTTTGTTTATTTGACCTCACCAGCCCTCTATGCTTTTGGGCTGAATAACAAGTTGGTATCCTGACCTCTCTAAGCGAGCGTGACTATGCTGAAAACCTTCCAAGTCCTTTCTGCCCAGTTGGTGTATAACCTCTATATATATTCTGGATAAAATATCTCTTCTTAAATTGCCCTCATCTTGTTTCTAATTGTATTATCTCCCAATTGCTGGAAAAAGCATTGTCTTTCCGTCTTTAGGTATTTCTATTTGATTTTTTTTTCTCCTTTGCCAATAAAGTTGCTGAATGTGTGTGTGCGTGCTATATATATTCGTGGCTTTGTGGTGAACGCATTATTTCCTTTACCCTGTCGATTTAAAAATTCTCGCAAATATCTTGATTGTTAGGTGCAAATGATGGTGGTGCTGTCAAAGTTATTGCTCACGAAATCAGTCAAGTTTCACGAAAAAAAAAGGACAAGTTTTTGAATGGCAACCCACAGTCTCTTTGGGCTAAGGAGGTCATGCTTCTTTTATTTCACTGAGTTTGAACTTTGGAGCTAGCATCCGAAGAAATTTGTTTCCTTGAATGCATTAGGTTGAGCTCAAAAGATCGTTTAGGGATAAGATTGGTCCCAACAAAAAAACAGTATCATACCACCAGTGGTAGCAAACTTGTGTCGTTAACTCTGCTTCTACGCGTCTAGCCTGGCTGAAGGGGGCAGCACTCAGTGGTTAATTTAAAGAGCAACCAGCACCAACCTAACATAGGACATTGAAGGTCGCTCAAATGTTAAAGAAGCTCTCTCTGTTTTTCGAAATCCTGCTTGTAATTTGTCAGTCTTTTCCTACGTTGTAGTTGAAGATGATATTGGAGGCATGACAAAAAAACGTTAAAAGTGACGTATTCTGTCTTGAGTGATCTTAAAAGTGATACCTCCAAATTGTAATGCAGCCCGTTGAATGCCGAGATCAATCGAAAAACAAAATGACCCTCCTCCCCCACTTGACATCTTGAATTTCAAATTTTTATAGCTTTGCGGCTTGGGTTTTTTGGGCATTCCCGTTCGTTACAGCTTGTTTCCCTCAGCTAAACTATTGAAAAAGAGACACACCGACCTTTAAATTCTTTTTAATTTCAATAATGTTAATCCTTTAATTTCTAAACATACATCAAATCCCTCGAGACTTTCATGTTTATTAAAATTTAGATAGTCCTTGAAATTATGACCAACACTTTCAATGCTCTTTGTGACAGAAAAAAGGGTCTTCCTTCTGCATCTGCAATTTTATTTTTTATTTATTTATTTTTAAGTTCAAGAGCAAGGATACTTGATGCACCAGAAATGGGAAAGCCAAACGGTGGTACCCTACATTTAGGCATGCAGAAACGTATGATCCAATCGAATTCAGTACAGTGAAGTCCACCCAAACCAAACACCTGCAGGTCAGCCGCTGAGAATGTAGGGTTAACTACGACTTAAATCTGAAATATCAACCAGAGATGTCATTGGTAAATTATTATTATTGTAGGGGAGATTGTAACGAACAGTGAATTGTGACAACATGGGTGCTGAATATAGAGAGAACTAAAGAGATAAATAACCTTTCAGATCACCCACAAGATGGCAAGTAGCTAAGAAGCTTACACCAACAAGGATTTATCTCACAAAGTTTAAATAGTTATTTAGATGACATTTAACTTCTTGAGCAGAACAGGGTTGAGTCTTCAAGTTGTCTTGGACTTTTGTGGCGATGGAAGCAACTGCATATCAGAAAGAAGAAATCCATTAGTAAACAGAGCACATACCCATCCATAACTTTGGAAACTTCAATTTAAAAGGAAATTCAAATAAAGCACGTTCAACTCAGCAGAGCTTCATACAATGAATGTGAATCCATGAAAACTCTCTCTTTCTCACGAGCAAATTATACACACATATGCAGATGCGCACTCGCACAGAATAGCATCCTTCTCCCTCATATGATTGGGGGGTTCGATTGACAACATTACTGCCTATTATTACATGTCTGAGCAAAACGTTGTTTTATTTTAATGACGTTATCTGGTAGCATGTGCTATCAAAACAGTGTTCTACATTTAATGACAACAAGAAACCTAATTAACTAACGTCAATTAAATATAATTAATGAAAAAGAAATGGTATTTTACACACCCACCCACCCCCCTCTTCCCCTTTTTTTTTTTTTCAAAAAAGCATTTGGAGATGCACTGGCAGGAAGCAAAAAAGAAAAAAGAGTCAAAATTGAATCTTGGATTGGCAAAGAGATAGGCTTTGGTGGAAAATCCACACCTATCTCAAAGAAGTATAGTAATATACCGATGATTTCCCGATTACCAATGAGAACAGAGTATGTATAGAATGGATACCTGGTAGCAGGAGATTAGAGAGGTAACAAATCCGAGAGCTCCTGTAACACGAGGAGTTACTTTCTTGGGTGCCAATTGAAGTAGCCCAACAGCAACTACAATGTCCATGGCTGATTTGACAAGGGCTAGTGACCTTTCATTTGATCTTTTAAGTTTGGCACGGTATTGCTCATTCTACACTCAAAAAGGGCCATCAATAAGAAAGATTCATTACATGGAAGCATTTAAAAAAATCATTCTACTACAACAATAATATACATACATGATGTTTTTCACCATCCTTAAGCTCCTTCTCTAACTTCTTCAATGATGCAGAAAGCCTCCCAAGCTCCCCAACCTGATGGCCATAGGGTGGAACATGTCATGGAAACCATCTTCAGCTTGGGAAAAAAACACAACCGTTCCCTTTTCTTTATTTTGTGTGCCTAAGTCAATTTCTAATAAAAGGAAAAAGTGTAGTAGCTACAAACCTCAACCAACGTAGTACAGACTGAGGATCCCAACCAACAGAAAAGGGATATCCGACCAATTAGCTCAACACGTTCTTTGTTCTGTAAAAATCAAGATAAATCAGGTTTCTAGCTAATGCTTCCCGTAGAATTTCATTCTGAAACATGAGAAACCTAACTTGAGAGGAAAATTCCATACCTTGTAAATGCCACTTCTACCAAGCCAAACGATTTGATCAAGAAACAAGAAAGTCGACAACAAAGCATTTTTGGACTGAAATAAGCATCAAATTGATGAAGGACACCACCATGAAGATAACATAACAGAACTGTTAAAGAAGCATTTCATTAACAACCCATTCATACCTTTCCCAATAAAACAAGAGGCAGAGGGGTCCCTTGAGGAACTGGGCTAATAAGACCGTGCAGATCATTGACAAACTGCAATTCAACAAGGTCAAGAAGCATGATAAAATTTGCCAAAACATAAATACAAGAAGCATAACTTTGAGATCAGATCCACCGATAGGTTTAAGAACCTTTAGTTAACCCTTTATAGAATGACCACATGAAACACTGCAAATGTATGCCCTTCACCGGTTTCATTCATTCAACCAGTTCTTTCTAGGAACAATACGGAAAACCAATTTAAAGCACTTTCAGCTTCCATTTACTGAACAATACACATGTTTTTGGTTGCAGAAAGAAAGACAGAAAAGAAGCGCTCAATTTCCAAGGTTTGAAGGGATACAAGAGAGCCAGATGAAATCCAACTCGATCATATTTAATATATATCTTATAACTCTACCTTAAAAAGACGGAAAACTTTCCGGGCTAAGCTGGTTGATTTGTCAACATTTTGGGCAGTACCAGGCTGTCCATTACTCAAGAATTTTGAACCATATTGAATTGCCCTACAAATCTTGTCCCTGGCTTCAGCCTTATTCAGATACAGAATTACAAGAGCGAGTTCTGCTCTAGTTGCATCGAGTGTACTCATCTTTTATCCTGATCAAACCTGCAAAGTCAAATTGTTGACCTATCAGTAGAACTCAAGAAGTAATAGCGTATAACAGAATTAAACATAGACAAAGCCACATTTTCTAACATGAAAAAGTCGAGAAATACATAAACAAAACACAGAAAATTCATCTTTAAGGCAAGAAATTCTCTGGGGCTTTTTTCTAATCCGCAACAAAGGATGTCTCTTCCAAAACACACACAGATACACACACACACGTGTCCCCTCTAAAGATTCACACCAAACTCAACCAAGTAAAACAATAATGTCCAAATCCAATATACATAAGATAAAAGTTATTGCGGTTAGTCAGCATGGCATCCTCATTCCTTGACCATAGTTTGAATCCAAATCTTTTTAAGCCTAATCTGCACAATAGAGAGCAATTGAGGTTTATAGCTACAGCACCTCAAATGTTTATACTCTCTTTCATGTATTCCAGACGACCAACACGTGATCTTCTTCAGCAGCAAAAAATCAATTCCAACAAAGTATCTTAAGTTTCCTGTCATAGTTTCTTGACAAATTGCGAAACAGACATAACTATTAAGTCCTTAATAAAATCAAAGGCCCAGAAACTTCGCAACTTGGCACCCACAAGATTCTCTAACTTTTGTAAAATTAAAGATTGCATGCCTGTTGCCTTGCTAGCACGAAAATAAAAGTTCAAAACGAACGGTCAATCAGAATTCAAGCCTGAATTAATGATATTGACCTGATTAAACAAAAATATCTGACCTAGCTCAGCCCATACCAAGAAAAGAAGACAATAACGGTTGAAATCATAGAAGACAGAAAAATTAGTTATGTACAAAACAATCACTAATTCCTATCAAGAATCCGACAAAAAGAAATCAACTTCAAAACACCCAATTAGAAGTTAAGATACAAAATAACCTCAAATTCATCAACAACAAAGTTAAACAAATGCAGATAAGAACAAATAAACATGAACATACTCTCAAAAAAAACCAGAGCTTTCTCCTTGAAAATACCTCAAAAGAAAGCAAAGGCCAACAATCAAACAAAAGGGTTTGCAAATCCACTATTTCTATGGAGAAAGAGGGAAGAGAGAGGGAGTTTGTGCAATAATACCCAGAGGCGTGCCCAGGTGGATATAGCCTCGAAATTCACAATCTCTTGTTAGCTTTTCTCTCTCTAAAAAAGCATTTAGACTTTGTTATTAAAAGAGATAGAATTGGGGAATGCGTCAGCAACCAGTGTTTTTTTTTAGTTTCGGCATCAGCTAATGATAGACCATGACAAGGCCATGTTTGGTGCTCTCTTTCCCAGTACTAGAAAACAAAATTAATTTGTTGGGTCCATTTTATTCACTGCCTTGTCCATTCATGAAATTCGATGCATGAACCCCCATTCATGAAATGATCATAGCCATCTCTCAAATAGGTTATCAAAATCTATGTCTCTGATCAAATGGACGTGTTAGTCAATGAATTGTTTGTGTGATCACTGATGATGATGTGTATGGACAGATAAAGCTGCTTCTAGACGGCGCAGAGGCTTTGCACGCAACCCAATATGGGAATTTTAAGTTAGTTTGAAGGTGTTGGGTTGGGTTGGGTAATGGTAGATATTGGAGAGGTTGAAGTCTGATTCAAAACACGATCCAACTAAAGATAAAGTGAGGCTAGATTTTTCCTTAGTAGTGGTGTGTGCCCAGAAAAGTTCCAAACTTTGAGGACCATACACAAGCCCACTGAACCCGAGTCGGGCTGCTTTAGTGGATTGCCGTGATATGGTGTCTTTATGATTTTGATGATCTTAGGTTAGCGGTATATTCTATTTTGTCTTTTGCGTTTTAGTTTTATTATTATTTTTTATTTAATTCTTTGATCTAAGAATAAAAATTTCGTTTTCGTTATCCAAATAGTTTCATTCTTTGTCAAGTTTTAAATAGATAACTTATATTTAAGTAGAAGCGATGCATTATTTCCAAAAAAAAGAATAGATATTTTTCTTGCGAACCTAAAAATTAATCTGGACGTAAGTAGAGCAAAGAGGTGGGTATGGATTGCTAAGACAGCCCATGCCAGCTGCTCATTTATTTGAAACAGAATGGATGGTTGGAGTGAACAGGTACCAAGGTGGTGGGGCTAGGACCTGAGTGCTTTAAGTCTTGTAACCAACAATATCTTCAATGAGGTCATGTTTGTATCTTCAAGTTTGCTATTCCATTGCTAGCATGCACGGAACACAAATGAAGTTTTGGAATTGTTTTTTTTCCAAAGGTGGGATCTTTGGCTGTATTCATATCTTCTAGGTTACGGTTGGGAATGCGGAATTTAAATCACAATAAACAAAAAGGCAGGCCTCCCCTTTTTTCTTTCATGTACGATTCAAATCTGCAATAATTGGTACTATGGGTGGCCATACTTTTCAACTGTAACAAGGCAAAATTAATTGAGGTTTGTTTTGCACGACAAACTGTTCCTGGACAGCTAAGTTGAAGCATCAACGAGGGGTATTGCTTATTAGCCTTTACAGCACAGTAGTTGGGCACAAGGGGATATCATTATCGCTTACTAACTAGTCAGGGGTACAATGGTTTGTACAAGTTTTCTTTGTTTGAAGTCCATCCTTGACGCTAGACTAGCAGATGGCAGCCCAAAAAAAATCAAACATAGAACCCTGAAAACTTATCAGCTGCATTCCCTTTCAGGCTTGAATCACCAGGTCAGAATGCTTTAATTTAATCACTTCGAACAATGATAATTGATTAAAAAAAAAAAAAACCCATTAAAACACAGCATGGTATTGGTGTATATATATATATATATATTCAAGAAAGGCTACCAAGATTTTTAGAAGCTAAAGCATCTTTTGAAGTAATGGACAAGAAACAAGACAAGCAAGTAGCGAATCCGTATGGACATCTTTCATTCCATCCACAATTAAAGTATGCCATTTACAATGGTCTGCCTATGGCATAAAGATCTTCGGTTCGATCCATCCAACCACAAAGAGAAATGGAGAAACTGAAAGAAATGCACTCTCCGCGTGCAAAATATGATAGCTAGAAAAAGGTGACTGCATAAGAGAATGCTTATACAATTTTATAAATAGAACGTTGATTGCATAGATTAGCACTCGTTTTTCAGTGCTCCAGTTTATCATTGACTACTTTGTTTCATACGGACAATGAAACGCTAAAATACATGAAGTGGAAGAGAAATTATCATACAAAAGTAGATTCTCGTCTCTCTCTATTTCTTACTGAAAAAACTTCTTAATTTCCCTCTTTCCAATCGCTCGAGTAGCTTCTTAGCGCCCGGGATGTCCATCTCAGTAAGCTTCTTGAGATATCCAATTGCTCCATATGAAATCATCAACTTCTTACATTTCTTACTCGAAGCAAGTGATGCAAGGGATGCTACGGCATATTTCTTTGCAGTGTTCTGTGGACTTGGATCAAGCAATTGCACTAGATTTGGCACACTTTTGTCATCCCTTTTAACTTCTCTTCGATTCTGGGAAAGGGACACCAAACTCGAAACTGCTTGTGCAGAAACCTCCCTAATACTGTTTGATTTAGCCTCGAGTAATTTGATAAGAAGAGGGATGCACCCAGCTTCACCCACCAACTTTTTCATCTCTGCTGATGTGCAAACCCTGCAAATGGCAGATGCAGCAGCTTGTTGGGCACCCAGTGACCCAGACTTAAGCACGTGAACCAGGCGGGGGAGGAAACCATAAGATATCAGCATTTCCATAGAAACCGACCCGACCAAATTCCTTAATGCCCCAACTGCAGATTCTTGGGGCAGTGGACCATCAAGGTATACCAATAGGCTTCGAATTCCGCCTTCTGAAACAACAGCTCTTTTCAGATTGTCATTACTGGCAGTGAGATTCTGCAAGCATTCTGCTGCATATTCTTTTGATCCCAATAGAATTCCGCAATCTAGAAGATTGATCATCACCTTCACGATTCCTTCTTCTGCTAGATTTTGCCGAACCTCGGGGACAGCTGAGATATTCTTCAATGTACAAGCAGCTGCAGCCTGTGTTACAGAATCACCAGTTCGACAGATCTCAATCAGTGGTCGAACCCCACCATGTCCAACAATTGCCCTGGCTGTTTCTGCTGACATTGACAATCTCTGGAGAGAAATTGTAGCCTTCTCTTTACCCACCATGCTACCGGACTCAACAAGCCTTATGAGAGGTGGCAGAACACCCTCTGAAACAAGCCAGTTCTCACAGCTTCCAGATTCTGCAAGTGAGCAGATTACAGTAACAGTTTTTTCTCGAATACGAGGAGAAGTTGCTGTTAACAATTGGACTAAAGCAGCAATATTGCTCCGCCCCAAAACAGCCAAAACAGTCTTCTCATCCTCTTTCATGACCTCAACAAGTGTATCAAGAGCTCTGTGCTTCGCCTCCAAGTGCCCGATCTGAAGCCGGGCAAGCAATTCCCTTGTATTGCTGTGAATAGCAGCCTCGGGTTCTGTTGATGACCCAGCCACAGCTAAAGGCAAAGATGCCTCACCAAGCACCCCAGTCTTGATCAAAAGCCCACAATCTCGTAAATTCAAATCCAATTTACCAGATAAGGCATCAAGATCACTCTGCATCCTAAGCTTACCCCCATAATTCTCACTCATACATAAGTCTGCCAATTCAATTGCTTCTTTGAGTGTCTTCGACACAGCCTGCAATTGCTCCTTGCAAAGAGCGTTCTTGGAGAAGCAAGGGTGGCTTGACAAGTCTGATAAACGCGATGGGATCTGCTCCAACTTGGAAATTATCATCTTCCATCTACCAGGAAAGCCTTTAACCTCAATGGCCTTGTCAAGGGCCACAGGAACAAGCTCTTGTGCACGACATAACCAGTCTTCAACTGATAGAATATCAACCGCAGCTTCTTTCCCTCTGTCTTCCACCATGATTTCTAATGTGTGTATGGATCAAACTGGCTACCAGAGATGCAATAACTGAATTACAAAGAAAACCAAAGCTTAAAGTGATGACCTGGGTATGAAGAGATGAGAAAGGAAATGATATTCGTATAGAAAATTCAAAGGCAGTGGAGCAGTTACAATCATCATACATAAATTATAAACTAAGGTTACCGGTATTTTAAAATAAACCACGAATAAAAAACAAATAAGCCAACATCAAGAGCTTCGAGAATCTTGTATGATCACACAAAGCTTGTTTCACTGAAAACAAGACCTGACCAACCAAATCAAAGTACCCTTGAAGATGCTCCAACAAGTCATTTCCATGGCTTTTTACGTGATCATTAAATGCCAACCAAAACTAAACCTACATAATGCATATCCTACGATGTACAAAACACAAAACTGTTTTAATTTATTAGGGATCGAATCATGAAAATGAAAGAACTTACTTTTTAACGACTAAAAAATATTGCCGTCCTATTAAGACATAACGTTCAGCAAATACCAAAACACCCTTTTGAGTTTCAATCACCTTGAGCTGTACAAATACTACTAGAATGTGTGGAAGTATTTAGTGATCGTCAGGGTATGTTGGGAAGTGAAGAAAAAAATTCTGAAACTTTACTTTTCAACCATGAAGAAGGTAGGACATGGATATCAGATTTATCTTCTAAGCTTTGTTAAGGCGATCTTGATAGATATCCAATGGTCAAATTTTCATTTTGGAGAAAAAGTTGGATTCTTGGCTGTTTATTGCCATTTTTATCCTCGTAAAATAGAGCTAGCTAGCTGGGTGAGAGAAAGAAGAAAGAGACTTTCCTTTGAAGAGAAGATACAAGTCTCTATCTACAGTTGTAATACTGTATTTAAACTCTCCAGGATAGAATCAATAGACCAACCCCACTAGCAATTTATTCTTATTTAGGAAGAAATAAAAATCAAATCAATAAATGCAAAATATATACCTTAATTTGCTTTGACCTTCGTCAACATTCAAAGACCTTCACAATTCAAAGCCCTTCTGTTTCTACAAGAACAAGATAACACCGTAAGAGAACGGAACCATCAAATATGTGAATTGACTGATCTTTAGAAACCAAATAAGAGAACCCAATAAGATAAAAGTAAAAGGGGCAAAAAAAGATCACTAGCATCATAAAAGGCAAACAAAATCCACTCCAAGAACCAACCTTTAAGCCTCAGGAATCAGAATTTGTCATTTCTCTACAGAAAGCAACAACTCAATGTTTAGCTTGAGCTTCAAACTTCTCTCTCCTTTAAACCAGAACTGCGTCTAAAGTTCAATAACTCACAACTTTGTTTTCAAGACTCAAACTTTATCCATCACTCACTCACTCACTCTCTCTCTCTCTCTCAATTGAAACCAGAAACTCACAAGAAGGAACAACAACTTTGCTTCAAGACTCAAACTTTGTGCAAGCTAGAATTAACAATGACCACCAGTTTGATCTTCCAAACCAAAGGAAACCCAATAACACTCACTAAGAATGAGAAATACCCAGAAGCTACTTTTGTTTGAAAATACCAACTGACACCAAACGGTCGAAATCAGCGTAAAAAACAAACGAAAATAGTAGAATCTAAGAAGCTAGCAGGTCAAGTTTGAAATGTACACAGTAGCAGAAAAAAAAAACATGATAAATATAGTAATAACAATCAAATTCAAAAATCAAACTCTCTCTAGAACTCTCTCTCTCTCTCTCTGCTACTGGTAAATTTAAGATGCAGATGTGTCAGGTCTCTCTGTCTGCTAATATATGTATATTTTTACTGCGGGGGTACATTCAGTAAGAGAAGTTTTGTTGGGGAGTACATTATAATTTAATTTCTATCGTTTCAAAACAATTATTAAATTGGCCCCTCAAATTTTATAAATTTTACTTTTATCCTTCACTCACGTTAATTTCTTAGTGTAAACTCATGGTAAGACTAATGTTAAGTAATCAATATACTACGTTGTCAACCAATATAAATAGGAGCACTGAAAATTTTATTTTATTTTAGAATTAAATAACAATTTTTATATATAAAAAAGGCATAAATACTAAGATGATAGAAAATTGAAAAAAAAAAATTAAACTCAACTGGAAATATTTTTATTACTTTTAGATTTGATGTGATTTTTTCTTTATTCCTTGTGTCACCCTCTTTTTTTACGATAAATTTATAAATAAATATTATTAATTACTCGTTTAATATTTTAAAAATATATTCTGCTATTGTTGTGTTGGTAAAAAAAAAAAAAAAAGGTTTAAAAACGACCACATGTAAAAACAAAGGATTGAATAAGAAATTATTGGATCACCTTAGAAGATGAAAAAAGTTGTCAAAAAATGTTTGTTTAAATTTTTTTAAAAAAAGAAGAGTTATTGCTAACAAATTTTTTAACATAAAGCAATATCTATTGCTTTCAAAATATAAAATATTCTATCGGAAGATTTTATTTTTCTTAAAAACACAATATTAGAAGTTCTCGTTTTCAACTATACATATACATCCAAGTATATATTTGTCAAGATTTAAATTCCTACAATAACCACTAAAAAAAAAAAAAAAAACTAACCAATCTCATGTCAAACAAAAATAAAATCTTTGCATATATGTTTTGATGGTGTATACATACCTACACTAAAAAAAAAAAAAAAAATCAGTCTCTTAAAAAATGTTGGAAACTGAGAAAAAAAATTAGCTAGTTGAGTTCTTTTTCCTTAAGATATCGAAAAAAAAAAAGATTTTACATATTTTTTTAAATAAGGTGTTTTCAAATCAGCTTTCAATGTCCTTCAAAATTAATCATTTTCCAGGGATAAAAAAAATTGTGTAGCCCCAATTTTAAGGCCAGTTTTAGAGAAGGATTTGTAGTCAACCCCAGTGGGGATTACCAAATGGAGCTTTAAACCATTGGAACTGATTTATAAACTTGTCAAACTATATGGCCTAAATCAGAGTTTACCCTATGATAGGACACAGAATCTTAATTGATGGATCCTTCGGTTCTGCTTCTTTTTGAAACAGGCATTCGACCGTTAAGATGTGGGTTAAATTTGAAATGTATTTTTTTATGTTTTTTGGAAATTTTTATTTAAGTCTATCAAGGAATAGATGCTGACGTGGTGAGATGTTCCACGTGTGAGATAGGGACGGGTAGTAAGTGGTCTTTTACGGTTGATATTGGCGGCACGTGTGACGGCACACGGATGATGCTGTTGCTGCACATCAGAATTACTTAAATGCACTTCAAGTGCGTCAGGAAATACAAAGAAACCAAACGGATTTGAATCTAGGGGAGCACCATGATTTTGTTTCAATAATTAAAAATATTTTTAGATTAATTTTTAAGTCAATAAACTATATATATATATATATATATCCACATCGTCATGGTAGGTTGGTCCTCTCATAAAAAGTTTGAATGTTTTCGAACCCGAGTAGCCCACGGACGAAATGATCACCAAAAGCATATTGACAGCTATATTCAAATTTGCTGGGAAAAAAGATGTGTTAAAAAAATTGGATTACTTAATGGATCGTCATGCGTTGGGGCTATTTTCATACTTTGTTTATCTTATCATGGTAAGATGATGATACATAGGGAGAACATGTAACGATCAAATGAAATGGATTGAAATACATGCAACATCACAAGCTTTTAAATAATTTCCAAACACCATACTCACCAAGTTATCATAAGCTCCATGATTGAGTTTTAATAATATCATATCTAAAAAATAAATTAAAGTGCATCAAAATTATCCTTTTTATTTATTTATTTATGTAGCACCGACAACCAAGTCTCTTTAGATTTTTTTTTTTTTTTCTCTCGCGTGTGTACCTTTCTGCAAAATCTTACATAGAGAATAGTACGTTTAAAATGTCACATCTCCGACTCAAAATTAAGGGCAAATATGAAAGTGAAAAGTGTCATAATCAGACACTTAAAAGAAAGAATCCGATTCACAATCTTCTCGCTGTAAGAAAAAGGTTTGTTTTTGGGGCGTATCTCTAAAATAATCAAGAGACACAAGTCACACAACACTACTTATATAGTTACTCAGCACTTTTACTAACCAACTTGGTCATTGGCATATTTCTCAGACAAGCACAGGGCATCGACAAAGTAACATGATAGGAAAGATTGTCTCATTGTAGTAATTGAAGTTCAAATCTTTGACCCAATTGTGCTGTCAACGTCAATGAGGAGGAAGGATAACAAGGAAAAAAAGAAGGCAACCATACCATTAAGAAGATACCAAATAAAAATCTAGAAAGCTGGGTTGAAATCTCAAATTAGAATTAAAATAAAATGATGTTCTAGTCTCCATATAGATGACTTGTATCACCAAAATAAAGAGGTCGCTTCAGCACATACAAGTACGGCATACCAATTGTGCATGGAAAAGCAAGGTACGAGAATTCCAATTAAAATAACTCAAGATACATTCGACATCCAATGAAAAATCTTATATCTAGCACGAGAAATGATCCCCTACAGAGACAGAAACTACGACGGTAAAATAATTAAAAAAAAAAGCACTATTCCAGGAGACATCAAAGGAAGTCAAATGGCTGTAAGCCTGTAAGAAACAGTGACCATTCACACCTGGCAGCAGTAGCCAGTAGATAAGCTGAAAACGGAGAGCCATGTTTTTTTAAGGGCAAGAGCGAGTCTACCGAGACGCGTGGATGCGTAACTGGAACGTGACGCTGTTTGTGTCGGCTTTATAAAGCTTTTCGGGCCTCGCATTCGCAAAATTATGCAGCCTTGGCTTTTTGTGTGGCCACGTATACACATTGCACCCACAAAATTGCTGCTTTAGAACCCTTCCTCTTGTATCAGAGCATCTCTAATACTCTTTTTATATTAAGATTTTTTTTATAATAAAAAGGTTTGATCCAAATTTCATCTCCAATGCTCTCTTTATTACAATCTTTATCTTTAAAATTAGTATAAAGAGTGTCTTTGGCTATCCAATACTTAGAAGTCCAAATGACTCTTTATCTTATATTTTATTAATAAAAATTACTATTTCCAATGCCACTCAACCTCTTCACCAATAGTCTCTATAGGTTTTATAGATTTTATCAAAATAAAGAGTTAAATAGAGAGTAGCATTAGAGAGGATATTGATCTTCTACCTATATAATTAATGATACTCTTTATTTACATTAAAAATACTAGCTAAAAGTAAAGAGCACAATTGGAGATGCTCTTAATCTACAAATCTATGCACATAATCAAATCCTTTTTTTTAAAAGGGATGTATTTAATTTCAATATAAAAAAGCTTTGTTTTATTATAATTAAATTAGTTATAAAGAGATAAGCGTGATGAAACTCTTATTAATGCTAACAACTCCTTGACCCACCTACACCAGTAAATTGCAAGGTAGCTAAGCGAACTACACCACAATAGGAAAATGGTTTCGTTTTCATATCATGTTGATAGCGTACAGTGCATGATTTAAAAGAAAGATTCTAGGCTTTTGATTTAGAATGCCGATGGGTGCCATTTAATAGACCAACTAACAAAAGCTTAAAAAAAGTTCCTCTCAAAAAACAAAAGGAGATTTGACAATTGATGATGCTTCTTTTGGGAAGATAAAATCCCTCCGTACAAATGCAAGAAAGCCGCATTAAAGCCTTCTAATCCATGCATGCAAATGCAAGGAAATCGCATTAAAGTCTTGTAATATTCCGTCTATCCTCCAAAAGCATACAGTATAATCTCACCATTGGTTAAGCACCCTGTATACATTTATGCTGCAGGTCATCGATGCCAATTAAAAAGAAAACCCACCAAAAGATTTGACAAAAAAAGAATCAAAGTAGGTTGGACTTCCATGTTTGGTAGAATTGAATACAGTAAAATCAGGTTGTTCAGGTACAAATTCAGGTGGGTTTTTAGCTGACCTGGTTTGACCTAAATTGATAAATACCAACTCCTGCAAGTGCTACCAAAAACCTATTTTATCATTTCCACTATCCCCTCAACAAACATAGGCGACTTCATTCTCGAAAACAAAAACATAATCAAAATTCAAACTTCCAAATATTTGCATGCAAAACTAAGTCCACAAAAACCCATAACATTTTGTATCTTTACTATTTGTCATTAAACAAAGGCCCACTGATTTGTGTATAAATTGCCTAAAAAGACCATTTCTCAACCCCCAAAATCAGGAACTGTTTTCCTCCAAGAAAAGGGTTGGAATAACAACAACAATGATAGAAAATTACATTTACAAACAATGGCTCTCCAACTTTCATTCAACATTCAGCACTAAGTCCCAGCTTTATTTGCAATCAACAAGCCCAATGTTGCATTCATCCAAAACCCCACTGGGACCAAGAATTGGACTCTAGAAAAATGGTACCAAAATTTCTAGGAAGTAATTAAATATGAAACCTGGCAAACCATGTCAATACACAAGAAGCCTCTGGAGTTTACCAAATCAACAGCATATCAATGTCAAAATCATTGTCTTTAAAATAAATAAAAAGGAAGTCATTGATACAAAATGCACATTAGTGGAGTAGCCCAGCTACCTGAATTGACTAGTGAAAGACAGAAAAAGACAGTCTGATAAACAGACTGTTGAAACTTCTGCTTTTTCTCAGGAAGGAGATCTTTCTCGAGATGATGGGGAAGGGCGAGATGGTAGGGAACGGCTGCATTGAAAACATAAGGTCAAAGTTCTTCTAAAGATAGCAGATTCACATCATGGTACCAAGTTGAAAAATTAGAAAGTGAGCACAAAGCAAAAATAACAGAGAATTTCCAGTTGAAGATAACATAAACCTGTGGTATCTTTCATTTCCAGGACTTTCAACTTTCTCATAATTATGATTTCCTCTTGGTTCAGGTCTGGAATTTGTATTTGATCCATGGCCATAATCTGGGCTACCCCTGTCTCTACGATATGGACTTGGGGATCGTTCACGATTGTAATTTCTGTCAGGAGATCTGTCACGGCCTCTTCTTTCAGGACTGTGACCGTTCCTTCTATCATCATCATCGCGAGCAGCATATTCCACTGAAATGACCCGATCCATGAGCTTGCTGCACCACCATATCAAAATAGAAAGCACAAAAGTAAGCAGAAGAGGTTTTGGACAAAAACTTTTTAAGATGGACAGAGTAAAAATGTCAATGGGAGTACTTTTAAATGAAAACGTTTGAACTGAGTTACTAAAGTAGATTTTCAGGACTGTCTTACACATTGAAAAATAAATAAGATATTGCACTGAAGCATGTTAAACTTGGTTAAAGTAATTTGTTTTAAACCTAGAAAGCACAACCATTAACACAACAACTTATTGACAACTCTTTTTATTGATAATTAATAAGACAAAGTTTGAGCAGAGTTACTAAAAGAGACAGTATCCAGCCAGAGAATGTATTTAGAAAAACAACCTCATGTTAGTTGCCTCCAATGCCTTAGTTGCATCTTCCTGTAATTCATACTGAACAAATGCAAAATTTCTCCTAATCCTTGTGCTCAATATTTTTCCATAAGGATCAAAGTGCCTCTCCAGATCCCTAGTACGGGTATGAACTGGATCGAAATTAATGACAAACAAAGTTTTTGATGGAATCGTGTTAGTTGATGATCTTCTTGAACCAGCAGACCTTCTACTGTCACGTTCTTGCTGCAACACAATTTTGGGTGATGGATTAATTTCAAAAAAGGCATACAACCATGTGTACATGAAGTCAATACATTTTTCCAATTTTAAATGGAAGCCAATCCTTTAGAAAGTAAAGAAAGACAACAGAAGCAATTGCAAGAGTTGCACAGACGGCACACGAAGAGATGGTGGAAGAGAGGGACGAAGGGGGTAAGAGGATTAGCTAAAATTTTCATAATATATTAAATGTCAAGTTATGCCTGGTTTTCTTTTATGCTTTGGAAGCCAGAATTCGAGATTTTTAACACCAGACTCACAAACTTACATATAAAGGTCATGTTTAACACCCACACCCACACACACACACACCCCATCTGCATGAACACATATATGCACGCCTATACATGGAGCCAATATACACTAAAGATACAGAATGCAAAATGTTATGAAACAATTAGACTCCATGGCTTACAGACCTTATGTAACCACAAAACCTACCTTAGTCCACTCAACACGAAGACGACGCCCTTTTCTCCCAAATTCTGTTCGATCAAGCCTACGGATGGCATCCTCAGCATCTCTGTCATCCTCCATATAGACAAAAGCAAATCCTACAAGACCAGAATGTTAAGTAACCAGGAAAAAACAGTTACAACCCAGAAGAAGCATCATCCTGAGTCAAACATCCTTTAATGGAGACATTATACACTACAAGTAAATCTCAACTAATTTAGTTTTTTAAAAATAGATACAAAAGAAGACCTGTTGGGATGTAATATGACACCTGCCACTGGCTTTGAGATCATCATGATTTCTATGCTGAAAGATTCCAAAATTAGAACCCAAAACTCATGAGGAAATTAAGGCAATGGTGTCTCAGGGAATGAAGGATGACAGTTCCATGGTGGATCAGGTTGGTTCTTGTGGGAAAAAAGACAAGAAGAAGATGATGCTTGAAAAATATGCCACAAAAAGAAATGCAGAGGAGCAAATCCAACCAAGAAGAGCATGGACATTCCAAGTAATCCTGCGTCAAAGAAATCTTTGAGTATACGGGTTCACACACCAAAGAGAAAAGTGCTGTTTTCTCCATTGAAAAAAATACATATACATCCTGAAATAATTATTTCCAAAGAACAAATTGACCCTTAAAATATCAGTTGAGGACTTTCCCTGACTGCTATAATAATAGTAAATGGCAAGAAAAATAAAAAGGTAAACCCACAATTTCAAGTGCATTAAACTTTCAGCCAAGAGGAAAGTTTCTTGGAGCCAAAGTGCCAACCAAATGTGCACAAATCAACATCTAGAATTCAAAGTCATACCACACATATTTTACACAAGAAAAATAGATTCCATTCCCAACAGGGTGTCCACGTGATGGCACATTAGCCCTACCACAGTTGTCCTATCACCTCTAAATGCAGCAAAGTAGTCAACTAATTAGCGTGCCATACACAAACTAAGTGCCCCAGCTCCATTTTCCAACTTACTTTCTTCAAAAGAATCTCAGAAATCCAATCACTCATGAAATCTTCGTATTTGGCCTATATAGGCATTTATCTAGCAAAAGGATGCAACCCAAGTTGTTCAATTGCTTCATGCGGCCAGCCTACGGGATCATTACACCTTACGTTCTTTGCAGCAACTTTGCAATGTCCAAAGTGGGAAAAAACAAGTAAACACACCCCAATCAACTGCTTGTGGCCAGTCGAGAGGATCGTTATGCCTTACAAAGATTCCATTCCATCATCAACACAAATAATGAAATAAATAACATTCCAAACAACAGCTTGAAAACGCACCAGTAACTTATTTGATTAATTCTCCGGAAGCCACATTATATATAAAATAAATAAATAAATAAATAACCCAAAAGGACGGAAAATTGACTAACCAGACTTCATATCCACCCTATCAATCCTCCCATATCTTCTAAAAAGACGCTCCACATCAGACTGACGCGCGTCATAATCAAGATTGCCGCAAAATATAGCCTTCATTCTCCTCGAAAATTAGAGCAAACCTTACCATCCAAAGCCAAAAAGAGATTAATAAATAGTAATACAGAATCAGGCAAATGAAGGGAGTCTCGAATTATATTAAGAAACGCAGCAAGAGAGTACCTTGTTGTCTTTGCGAGGCAGAAATACAGAAGATAAGCCCTAGGCAGGCCTAACTGGACGAACTGCAAATCAGAAATTGAATACAGGCAACACAGAGAGACAGGGTGATTAGTTAAGTGGACAAAAAGGTCAGTATACGACAGCGTTCTCGTCGAAATATGGTGTCATTTTCTCTGTTTTGAAAGTTTCTCTTACAAAAGAAAGTTGGACAGTGAATGCGTTGCATTCTGGGTGTGGAGCAAACTAGTTTCCACTATGGCCCAAGCTCCAAATGTGAAAATGATCGTTGGGCCCAAAACTAACCAGTTTGAAATTTAGTTTTTTGGGCAAGGAAATTTTCTTATTATTATTTTCTCAATTTCGCAACTTCATTTATTAAGCTATCAATGCTTGCTGGTGATCGAGAATTCATACAAAATTTACTTCCTCTTACGAGATTTAAACCTTAAGCGAGAAATCATTTTTTTTTTAAAAAAAATAAGAAATGTAACGATAAATAATGAAAGCATGAATGTTCATTTTCATATGTCTGGTAAGATTGTTTTTGATAATGCATTTACATTAAATTTGAAAATACTTTTTAAAATGCATTTAGTTTGAATATTTTTAGGTGGTTTTGAATGGTTTGATATATTAATGTCAAAAGCATTACAAATCATCTAAAAAAACATCAAATTTGATGTGTTTACAATCTAAATAAACTTCTATAGAAATAATTGTACCGTATTACTAAACATGCACCAAGTATATTGGCTTTTTATTGTATAATATTGATAACCATTTTCTTTGTCTCAATTTCAAAAAATTTAAAATACTCAAAAAATAATTACTGATATTTATTTTCAGATTTATTTGAGAAGAGAGACAAACATATACAAGAGAGAGAGAGAGAGAGAATCAGATGTAGATTCAAAAAAAAAAAAGTGATAAAAATAGTTCCATACAAGCTCAATTTTTTCTCTTATTTCTTTTTCTTCTTTGTATATATATATATATATATATATATCTTTTTTATGGAGCAAGTATTCATCATTACTCCTTGAGTACCATAATTTTTTTTATCAATCCCCACTATTCCAAATTTGATTTAATGCCAAATAATTGTGTTAGTTGCTTTAGCTAGAAATCCAAATTCAATTATCTATAAAATTCATGGAGTTTTAATTTTTTGATAATTGAAATCAATTTTAATTTTTTTGATAATTGAAATCCATTTGAATCTTAGCAAGTGTTTATTTTGAGTAAAACATTTTACAAAATAGAAAGAAAGAAAGAAAAAAACTAACCAGTTTGAAATCTAATCTTTTGAGCATTGAATTTTTCTTATTATTATTTTCGAAAAACTTTGAAATATTCAAGAGTGATTTACAATAATCACCCTACATACAACCTTAAGAAGAAAGACAATCACAGAGAAGAGAGAGAAAATCATACTCAGACTCATCAAGTGATAAAAAAAATTTCACCTTAAACAAATTCTTTATTTTATTTGTTTGCTTTCTTTATATCTATATTTTTCTATGAAATAAGTATTGTTAGTTGCGATTAGAGTAAAATAAAATTTATCATTAATTTCTCGATTCCACAAATAGGTAATAATCATTGGATTAAGGATAAAGTTCATTTATTAAATATAATTTTTTGTAAAATATTTTATAGAACAAATAGTTATAGTAAAGTATTTTATTGTCAAATCCTTAAACATATTTCATTTATTGAAAAATATTTTTAGATCATGAAGTTGGGTAAAATATTTCACGAACATCAATCTACTCATAATATTATCCAAGTATGCCAACCACTAGCATTACAATCTCGTCACCATCGTATCTACCATCACTTTGCTGCTGCCACCACCATCACCCGATTGCCCACCTCGATTATGTCACTATTCTGCATTCGTTGTTGTTGTTGCCATTATTCTCTTATCATCACAGCCATAATCACTATCACGACCATCACGTAATTATCATCATTTTGCTACCATCACGTTTTTAAAATCATTACTTTTCAAATGTTACAAAACTTTTATCGTATAAAATGTTTTTCATTCATAAAATATTTTACCCAGAACAAATGCTCCCTTCACCATTTTTCATGGAGACATCTTAAATTCCAAACCTCCACGTGTACGTACTTTCCACAACCCATGCATACACTGGAAAAACAGAATTCCGCCTTACGATGACCGCAAGTGACCCTGTGTAGTTTTAGACTTAAGTTTCCTCATCGTGCAACAGAACATTTATGAAGATAATTACAAAGCACAAAAGTCCATTAGAAATGTACTCAATCATTGATAATTCTAGTAATATTTTAGTCTGGAGAAAGTTACAAGCTGCTTTGATTGATATGACAAACAATGAACCATGATTTTGATTGATGGCACTACGAACTGCTGAAAATCTGTCATATATAGCAAGGGATCAAGTAGAACACGCACTTGCAAGGAGACACAAACATCATATTTGTAGTTTCTGCTGTTTGTTCTTCTCCCGCCTCAAAATGGTGTTATCTCTGATTAGGATAGGATATATAATAATGGTTGCTGCTATTAGTTGATAAGTAGTTTATGTCACTCTTATCAATAACTCTTGTGCATGTGGATTATTCATCAAGAGGGAAAACGAAGAATGAGAATGGTACTGATCGATGATGTGAAACGTACGAGTGGAAACAAGATATGTCATTAATATATTGGTTTGGATAGCCCAAAACATAAATTAATTAAAACAATGTTGCTTAATTCTTACACTCACAGGATGTATATATATAATTAATTTCTAAATCCCATGCTTTATTATTTGTAAGAGTGACCCCTTTCCCCATCAACAACGATACAATTAATGTTATATGGTTGAAAGATTGAGATTTCTTCTTCATTTCTGGGATAAAGCTTGTATTTTGCATTTTCTAAACACGGCAAAATGACATCCCTTCATAATAAAATCAATTGTGTTATATGCTAACGCTAAATTTTCCTTTTTGATAGTGGGGAGCTGAGCTTGAATGTTAAACTAATGTTGCTCAGTCATGTCAACATGATCGGGGATATATTGATTGAGAAATTAACATGAGCTTAATTACAATATAAACAGCTCGATCGATGGTGCACGGTTGTTGTTGTCTCCATATTCCTTTTAAGTGATGTTAATTAATAATTAATAACCCTAATCACATCCTTGAACCCCCGATATTAGGTCACATACCTACTTAATTAAACCTAATGTATGTTACTTGACCGTATTCAACTTGTGTACTTAAGTGCCCTTGCAACAAACTGTCAAAAACAAAGTACGTTTTCAGCTGTGTATGTGCAAAAAACACAGGTCTGCAATATTCTATACTTACCACCAAAAAACTTACATAGAAGAAGAGTTGTTTTTACTGAATCTTATTTTCATTTAAACAAAAGCCAGACGGATCGAGGCAACCAAACTTGGAATAATGGCACTGTCATTCGACAAAAGGACTTTTATGGCTTAGCCTTTATGGCATTATTATTACAAAGTTTGATCTCTATCTTTTACTGTACAAGCATGCTTACGAAGAACTTATCGTCGTCATCATTGAAAACCCCAACTGTTTTTGGTTAGCTTCTCAACCTTTTCGCAGAAGAGCCATCACATTCCATGAAAGACATCACCATCCACTTCCATTCAGCCATATGCCATTAGTTCTCATCATGAAATGGAGAGCCGCAAAAGGAAGGAGAACTAGAAGCACAAAAGGATGGAGACCCACTAAAGCTTGGAGGAACCACAACAGAAGAAGAAACCTTGAACCTCTTACTCCTAGAACAATGATCTCCGCAACAATTACTGATATCTGGGCTATCGACCCAACCCATCATTTGATCGGCATTAACAGTATTGACTTCTCCAATATCAGATCCATCTGAATCAAGCCCATGTTGCCTGAACCCAATCCATTCATTGCTACAGTCTGAAATACTAGATGTTTCCCAAGAGTAAGAAGGCTCGTGATCTGACACAGGGGGCACAATGATGCTTGGCTGCACAACTTTCTCAATGTTCTTCATATCCACAGGGTTTTGGTATTGCTGGCTCCTAAAGTGGAATATATTAGCAAAAGTAAAGTGGTCGCTCACTCTATTTTTGGTTGACTTATTCTCTGTTGTCCTCGCCATGATACTTTGCAAATTCTTGCTCAATTTAGCCTTTAATGAAGAGAAGCTAAGGCCGTGCCTCCCATCCGATTCAGACATATTGAACCCACCATTAGAATTAGAGGATGATCCGGATCGGTTTACGCTAGGATTAACAGATGCAAAGTTGGTTCTTGCATTTTCTCCACGTAGGGCACGAGCAGCTTCATCATAGGCTCTAGCTGCCTCTTCAGGTGTATCATATGTTCCTAACCATAACCTTACACGTTGAGATGAATCCTTTATTTCAGCTACCCATCTTCCTGATGGCCTTTGCCTGACTCCAACAAATCTTCTAACTGCAGGACCTTTTGTTCCTTGCACCTTGTTGGTGGTGACAGTAGGCGAGTTTTTCAGTGTTTCAGGCTCTGCCATTAACAGCAAATTATAAAAAGTTTAAAGAGACTAAACTTGTTTGAGCTGTGATTAGGCCTTTTTTTAAGGATTAGTAATTAGGAAAGAATTGCATATGTTGCATGTGGAAAATGCATATAGGGTTTTATGTACACAGATTGGCTCTCTGTATATATAAAGGTGGATCTGGCTCCAATAAGTTGTGAGTGTAGGCGGATTCCCATCTCAATTATTTGTTTGTTTTTTTCCTATATATTAGTTTTTAGCTATAATCACTACTTTGCACTGCTTTAATTAAGCAGTGGCTTAAGCTAATTAATGACTTGGCTGGTGACGAATCCACCAATACGCTTTTTTCCCATACAATTAATCACGAGATAAATTTCATTGTAAAGTATTAATCAGTTATATAACTCAAAAGCAACAATAATTTATCAATAAATTGTTGATCCTAAATGAATTTTTTTTTATCAATATGCACTATTCAAATTTTGAAATCGTATTTATTGAGAAGAATTAAATCTTATAGTTTTCGTTTCGAACAAAATTAATCTTATTTTCATTATGCGATAGAGATATTGAGTAAAAAATTAATAATAATAATAATAATTTAATACTTAAATTATTCAATTTTCATGTATAGACTTCACTATTCTCGTGGGATCATAATTGGCTGTCCAAATTGGGTGAATCAGTAAATCCATGTGAAAGCATCACAATTGTCTTGTGGTAACAGATTTTGATCGCCAACATACATTAGTGACTGGCAATATAGTTGGGTAAAATAAAATTATAGTTGAATAAGTCGATGGACTTCCCGACATGACTCTGCTTAATTTGTCCTTTATGTATGATAGAGTCAAGAACAATAATTTAACTGATCAGATGTTACACTTCACAAAACTAATTACCACATTCCTACTTGTTAATAGATTAATCCAACGTTATGAGAAATCACATTATTGTAGATTAATTTGTTTCTTTTACCAGCTTATGCATACCTGTTTTTACGTACCTTAGATTAACTAACATAGCATTTTTGGAATATAAAAACATTTAAAAAAAATTACACCAGTCCTAGTTGAAGTTAACTAAGACATGCATATATAACTCTTCGAATAAAGCTAATAAAAAATAATTATGCATTTTTAAGAAAAAAATTAAAAATATTAATTACGTAATAACTTTACTATTTACGATTGTTTAAATTGAGTTATAAATATGAATTTCATTTCTCAAAAATTAAAAATATTCTTTACCTTGAAAGGATATTTCAACAAAACTAAAAATATTGATTATCTTTTACATGATGGTTCTCCAACATCAAATTAACTTGTTGATTCATCCCAGTTATATTTCAACTTCATTACTTCTAAGTTGGAAGTTCTACAACGTAAGAAGCAAAAAGCTTAATCAAACAAGCCGAGCCAACCAAGTGGCTTAATGGTGCAGTAAAAGATACAGAGGGAAGCCGACAGAGAAAAGGCCGTCTAATTTGTCAGCTTGTAAATCAAGAGCGGATTTGGAACGTTGGATCCCCCAATTTTAAAAATCCGGCGGGAAAGTTAGTTTTTTTTTAATTAAATTACAGTTGGAAATTAGTACTTGGAAATAGAATGATTTGTGGGTTCCATAACTTCGTACTTTGTCCTTCCTTCTGTTTTTATTTCACTCATCCTCACCAACTTGTCTCGTTCTAATTATATTTAACATCACTTAATTACTAATTAATTTTCTTAGTGCCTTAGTGGGTTATTTTGGAAACAGAAGTTTTTGTCCTAAATGACTAATTTGTGACACTTGGATTGGGACTATAGTCATCAACCTCTAAAAGGGTGACTATAGATTCCCAATTCCATCATTCCTCTTGGTTTGGAAGGGGGAAGTTGTCGACTTCTAATTGGATTTTTGCCACAAGAGACGTGTAGAATGACATGTCATTTGCAATGATTTTGTGGTTCCATACCATTGGCAAGATGGGCCAATGACATTACTTGGATTGATATTGATTTAGATGAGGGTTAGTGAGCCATTCTATAAGATTAACCGAAGGAATCCTAATTAAGGTTCAAAAATGGTTTATGTGCAAATAGGCAACATGTCTCCCTGTTTGTTGGCTCACTCCACAATTCAAACGCCTTGTCCATAACCTTTATGTTGCGTAGTTAGTAAATATGTTTTTTTTAGGCTCGATTCGATGATTCCAACTAAGTGACTAACTCAACATCTTTGGTTGCATCATTAATATATAACGTTGTAAGTTACGAGTGATAGAGTTGAATTAATCTTCAAGTTATCACTGCTTTACACGTTCATCAGCATTTCCTTAATAATATAGTATTTAGCTACAATAATTTCAAAACTATCCATGGTTCCAAACGGCCAATCATACGGTAACATACCGTGTACTCCCAATGTTTATGATATTTCAATAACCAGGTCTTTCTGTCAGTATGGTTTTAATAATAATTGTAAATTTTCAACATTTTATAGTATCATTTTTATAGAAGGGCTTTGTTGATCAATTATAGGAAATTTAATTACTTGAAGGTGATTCTGATAGCTGTTGTCGTTAAGCATTAGAGACAAGGACGGATCACATAGGAGTGGCAAGAGCTAGGGTATTGGCCACACTAAGGATTAGAAAAAATAAAAAGAATAAGATTCATCTTCAGAAAAATAATTTACCTGGGACCTTTTTTTTTTTTTTTAACCTCTTAAAAGGATTTTCTCGATGCGATGGATGGATATTCTGTTAGGGTTGATAAGATGATCGATGCTTTGCTGGCTTCATTTGGCCTGTACAAAATGGGTAATTAGGAACCAGGAGAACAGCTTAGGATTATTTAAAGCAACTTGGTGTAATCTTTCAAGTGGCAAAACAATTAATTTTGTATGTACAAATGCCGTGATGTGAAATCAGCAGAAGTGGATCTTGGTGTATATCTTGGCGATCCCTTCAGACCATCTTCTACCACAGGCTTTACAAACCCTCAGGTTCAGTGGAACAGCTCATAGTCTATAGACCGGCTGAATCCTGATATAATTCCAGAAACAATGTTGAGAACCGAACCTTTGTCGTTCAGCCAAGAAAACTCCCAGCTTCACCGTTGGGTTACTCAAGGTGGGTTCTGGTTGACATGTTCGCTCAATGAGGAGCTTTTTATTTGGTAACGTAAGAGCTTGGAAACACTAGACTAGAGTCCAATACGTTCTCGCACGGATTCTGATGCTTCTACATTGTCAAGCATTGTAATTGAATAATAATGCAGAGTGGAAATGAAATGACCGATGATTTTACATTGAATGCGTTGTTGAGTTAAGCGTCATGAAGAGATCTATTCTATGATTGAGGAGATTGTACGACATATCAAATTGGATAGAGTTAATGTTCCAGGTTGACAGATATCTTCTTTGACTAAAAGAATCTCTGTGCTTACATATCCTATGAGGATACCTAATTCAATGAAGGTTCCTTGATCTACGGGTGCTAATTTTTCATTCTTGGATAATTTAAAAATACTAGCAAACAGTGCAACATTTTAACATTAGGAGCCAAACCAGTACTCGAGAGTTCAAGGATCTAGCGCTTGCACCAAATTAAGGCAAAAGGTCGGAGAAAAAAATCCACCAGAAAATTATGAAATCATACATGCAATATATATGGAGTTCCTGGATTCTACATGTTGAAACCTAGAAAATTATGAACAGAAAAAATGCTAAAATGGTTCAATCTTCTTTTTTGAACTTCCAATATTATTGAAATTCTATTAAAATGAATTGGACTCGAGTCCATGAGTAACTCTACTGCAAAGGACAAGAGAAGTGCTATGTACAAATGAAATATACAAAATCTCAAGTTGTGTATACCTATTCCAACATGTAATTCATTGCTTCTAAGTGTAAAAGTTGGCTCAAAGCACACATGCAAGCGTAGCTCACAAGAATGAAATGTATAAATTACTGTCTTGAATGCACCATTTTCTTTGGTTCATGAATGGCTCGTTTGCGGTTCCCCAGGAGTAATTTCCGGGTTTCCATGGACAGTTTCAAGATGCCTTTCATTACTGTGGTTCCCCTCTTGACGCTGATAGCTGGGTAGTGGCCATTGCCGAGAATATTCACTCGGAGTATCACGACTACCAATTGATTGAGCCATACTAATTGCTGTCTGTCTCGTGTGTTTTGCTTCAAAAGAGTCCTGTATTGGGAACCGACACACCGGGCATGTAGACTGTTTTCTTAGCCATACATCGATGCAAGAGAGATGAAAGTTGTGACCGCATTTGGGCATGATCCTCAATACTTCCTTTTCTTGGTATTCCCCTAAACATATCGAGCACCTGTTGGAAGAAGAAATTTTGAGTCTCATTGTAGTACAGAGAATATCCCTAGGAACACCGAAGTCAAGAGCATCAGGACTTCACTTTCACTATATGTTCGACCGATCTCAATAGAAGCAAACAAAACCTTTGGAAGTAGCAACAACAATGACCACATAACTATTAAAGTTCAATCTGAATGGAAAGAGAGCAGGAGAGAACACAGGGAATTCAATTGACGAAAATAGTTTTAATCTCTAATGGTCCATCGGTCGACAGTTTCAAAGCACAAAGCCAGATTTGATAATAATCTAAACATTTTCAATCCATAGAGGCTAGCAGAACTAACTTTGATAACAACAATGACAACATTTTATTTGTACTTCAGTCGATAAGGAAGTAAGAAGAACTGAAAAGTCGAATATAATTGAATCTCAATCTAATGGGGAAAGAAAAAGGGAATGGAGGATGTTTTACCAAATATTGAACTTTGTACAATATATAGAAGCCATTTTCACTTATGAAGTTCCTTGATCAATAGGAGGAAAAATAAAGTAAAAATTCTACAAAGATAGGCCATTTTATGCTGTGTTAAAACTTACTGTGCATCCTCTGCAGAATTGAATGCCTCACGGGTGAACGGTAAAGTGGGGATTGCAGCAACCAGAACTGGTTCAAGGCCACTAATACGATGCTCTGGCTGCCAAAAAAATAACGGTCAAAAACCCAAAGCTCCATTCAAGTTTTGATTAACTTTTGAAAAGTAGAGAATATGCTAATTTACAAGGTGATGTTTGCTCTGTGTCTTCTGAATTTCTTAATGCTACGGCTAGCCTGTTCACAGGGACGAAATTCGCTATTCGTCAGATTTTTTTACTTCCCAATTTATTAATCAGTTCATTTCAGGCGAAGAGCAACTGCAAATTGATAGCAAATGAGAATTCTCCAGATTGGTGTTACCCCCTGTTCTGAATTCTTTTTTCTTCGACCAATCCAATTTACAAAGTATTCTCACTATCAAATCCATATAAATATTAAAAAACTTGAGTGGGCACGAAAACTTATGCCTTAAATAAAATGACAGTCCAGCCTTTCATCCATGTGACCATGTGAAGAGATGCTATTTAGAGCAATTTAATACATAACAAAAATCAAAGCACCAAAAGTGAATAAATAAATAACAAAATCAAAAGAAAGACAACAGCTTATCACCTAAAATCCCATTGAAGTCTTCTATACCTTGATAAACAATTTCTTAACAAACAAGAACATGCTACAAAGAATTAAAATTACCTGTTCAAGATCAATTCTGGACTCAATTTCAAACATTTGCCTGGACTCAGCTCCTCTTAGCCTCCCACATATAATTCTTGTACAAACAAACAGAATAAAAGTAACACTCATGCCAAAACCAATAACTGTTGTGATTAAATTCATAGCTGCATCAAACATCTCCCACCCCCACCGCCCCTAAAGTTTTGATTTTTGTAACTTTAGTTCCTCAAAACGAAAAAAGAAAATACCAACAAATTCCAACACCAAATATTTAAGAATTTTAAATTAAAAGATTGAGAAATCACAGCTCAAGTTCATCAACAAAGAAATAAGACAGGTTAAACAAGAAATATAAGATAGACCCCCACGCATTAAAAAAAAAAAGAAGAAGAAAAGAGTTGACAAGAAAGAAGATAAACAAAGACAGTAACAAATAATAACGACCCCAGATCAGGATTCTTCAACAAATGGTAAGAGTTGAATAATAAACGCCAAAATGGAAAAACAAACCAAAAACAAAAAAAGATAAACTACCCATTTAGAATCCTAATCGTTTTTGGTGGACTCAAAGTTGAATCTAAAAGACTAGTAGAGAAGGAGAGGAGGAATGAATGGGTGATGATGTGAAGAACTTGTGGAAAGAAGGAGACACTTCGTTTTCTTGCTATTTGGAATTGCACCGGTGTAGGGTCCATGGGGCCAATTGTTCGTTTTTTATTGTTTATATTAGACGGTTGTGATGATAGAGGGTAGTCATTTTTGGCGGCAAAAATGGGCCCTTCAACGGTAATAAGTGGGATGTAGAAAGATTCTTTTGCGAGTTACCTTCTTTTGGGTTTTTCAGGTAAAGAGAATCTCTTTGCCAGGTTTTTTTTTTCGCTTTGCTTGTATTTTTTTTTCTTACAACATTGTACTTCTTATAGATAAGGCCTAGTTCAGTTCCAGTGATTGGACCTAGAACTTTTTTCTGAAAAAACAAAAGGTTTTCTGTTTGTTCCATCAAATTGATGCTTGTACTTCGAATAAACTTTCCTTTCCTTAGGAATACCGCTAATGTTTTTGGGATTACATTAATGAGGGTATTAGAACATGGTCCTAGTATTCCTATTTGCAAGCAAAAGGAATGAATTTGGGGTTGATTTTAGTCTTGTCATTGAGTATAGAGAAATTTTTTTGACAAGGACTTGGCCTTGTTGACGTGTACTTTACCCATATAATTCACTCATGCTTGATGGTAATGGCATAAGTAGATTGTATTAATCCAATCAAAATAACCAGGTGGTTGGTTGGACACTTGGACCAAGTAACACCTTCAATTCTGGATACTACCTATTAATTAGTCCAACCAGGGCAAAATTAATATTTGCTGTCAACATTAATGATCGATCACTTTATTGGAAATCCCTTAATACAAACAATCAAGTAGGCCTGGAGTTGCTTGTTGAGCTTGGTCATCATGGCCCACTATGGAAACACTGGTAAATCACAAACAGTGAACTCAATAGGGAACCAACAAGAAAACCTGAGAGTGACTCCTTTGCAATAGGAATTGACGGTGGTTGTTGAGAAAAACACCTTCGCGGGAATGATTTCCGTCTTCTTCCAAGAAACCTCTTCCTTGAGGGTTTTGATAATGCCATTGATCTTCTTTGGCAGATGTTGATATACAACCAACAATTTCTCTCTGGCAAATTCAAATTGATAACGTTTCCACCCTTACATCATCCATGAGAGCAAACCAAAATTCTCCAGATTGAGCATGACATCTTGACCACAGACAACAATGTTAATATTTGGGAAAAAACCTAACACTCCATGCTTCTTCAAGTATTTCCCTAAATACACACACATAATCAAGGAATTCGTGGTCAAGCAAGTAATTTACTTAAAACAGCAAAGAAATAGAAACGCAAAAGGTCCTTTTCTAGTCTAGTAAGCATTATCGAATCTCTATTGAATGGACAGAGACAAGAAATGTCTCTGAGGTTCCAGCAGGAACAAGATAAGGAACCAAAGCTCTGAGGCGAGAATTGGGAACATACATAAACAAGAAATGTCCTTTCAACCTACATAGAGCTTGTTAAAATGGGACATACTTAAGTTTTTGGCTTGGGCCTTGAGGGAGCCCCTTACTGTACCAAAAAAATGGACATTAGAAGCTACATCGTTGATTGCTTGGAATCTTGCATGTAATGAACCACGATTAAAAACATATCTTACATGTTTCCGAAGCATTTCCTAGGTACTAACGCAAACAACTAAACAATTACCTCTCTGCCATCTCCTAAATATTTCAGATGCATAGTGCAAATAATGAAAATTATCAATCTCAAAATTAATAAACATATTATTGTAACCAAATTACAGATGAGGGCAAAACCATTCAAACGCAACAATATCCAAAATAAGAACTAAGACGGTCAGGTCATGAATTATAATCACCACCATTCAGTGTGGTCGAAGATGCCATCAGCAAAGAAAAACACAGAATCACAATCCAGCAAATGAAGAAACAAGATCAAGAATCGCTAGAACACTCCACTGTAGTGAAAAACAGAATCATGGTTAAGAGACAACTACTCAAACACAGAAAGCTTACAAAAGAAAAAAACTCAGATGATCAGATCATGAACAATTACCAACATCCAGTTTTGTCACAATTGGCAAGCAGATGCCCTCACGAAAGCAAACCATAGATTGCCAATCCAGCAAATGAACCAAGATCAAGAACCACAAGAACACTCTACTGCAGTTCCAATAGGCACACGGATGTCCTTATAGAGGCAAACATAAGGTGCATCACACCCCACATAAGGCCCAGTCCACCTAGCATCTTCAATGTAACTTGCATCCCAAATTGACGCATACAAAAACATGGGTTTCTCAGGGAATCCCTCCCCTTCCCTTTTGTCCACTTTCCTCACTACCTTTCCATCAATCAACCACTCTATGAAATATGGACACCACTTTATTACATACTCATGAAACCCATCAGAACAATCAAACCCCAGTTCATGGATTTCTTCTCTGTTCCCAGTCCCTGCACAAACCATTACTTTTCCTTCAAAAAACGATCACAAAAAGAATCAATCTTGGGATTTGTAATTAACAAATAACCATTACCTGTAGTGTAGTAGTTAGTTTGTACGATGGTCTTGTCTTTTCCAATAAACTCAAAGTCGATCTCATCTTGGGATTTGTCACCTTCAAGAGAAGAAAGATAAATGTTGAAGTTGAGGCCGCTTGTGTTACCTTTGGGGCATTGGATGAGGGAACTAAAAGTGCCATAAAGAAAGCGGGTGGTACTGCGCCACCGCGAGCCACCGCGGCGGTCATAGGTGAGAGTGATCGAGTTGGACTCCGGGCAGTGAGTGCAGGCCTCTGGAGTATAGTCTATGGCGATTTGATTAATGGGTTTGGTCTCCTGGTGGAGTGCTGGATCCGCCATTTTTGTTTTCTTGGAGACGAATAAGGATAAAAAGGTAAGACCAGAGCGGGAGCTGCTTCCTTAAAAATAGTACTGTTGGGTATTAGTATTTATCCTTGTAGGTTCCATTGAATTTCATTTTAGTTTGTAAGAAATAAATTGTTACAATATAACTCCTTTGATTTTGAGATTCGCTATATTAGTTCATATGACCTTCGAAACTAATGTCTAGCACCATGATAACGTGGATTTTGTTTGAGATTTAGAATTCAAATAATATTTTGCAAAATATAATGGTTTATATATTTAAAATTTTCAGTAGTAATTTAATGTTCATGTAAAACACTAATACTTAATTCTTTATTTAAACATTATATTTTTTAGAGAAGAAAAAAATCAATTTTCTAAAATAAAATGTTATTACAGTTGCTATTTTATATAGATTAATATCTTTCTGTTTCTCATATGGTAATAATTGTTTACAAATTCCTTCATTCTATTTTGGAAAACTGGAGTATGTTTTATGTCAATCTATTATCTAGTTAATTAAATGATTAAAATTTCAATCTAATACGGTGTAATTTTTTATACACGGGCCACTTACAAGGATGTAATTGAAATAACAATCAATATTATTTGAATTGTGAATTACACGGTGGATACCAAACCCTTTTAACCTCTCTGCTAAATTTTGAGCGCTTCAGCTAATGGTACATTTCCAATTTTGTGATCATTTGGTTCATATTATATTTGTTTCCACTAACGTATTGAATAATGCTAGTTTTGCTGGAAATATTTTTTTTAAAAAAATCAACCATTGAATTTTGAGCATGAAGATTTTTCTAGAAATGGTGAGGAAAATAATATTTCATAAATTGGCATCACTCTTTAATACATATCCAACGCCAAGTACCACATTCCTGTCAATATCAACTTGTAAAGTTTCGTTTTTTGAGGTGTTAAGCTTCCAAGTTCTTGGACATATAAACTATCCTACTTTGAACCATTTCCTGCGATTTAAACGTATAAACCAGTGTGATCACGTTCCTGATGGATGATTCTATTGCTAAGAAAATTGCAGGTAGCACCTTGGCCATAAGACTTATAAGAGCAGGACCATTACAGATATTTCTTGCCATCAGTATAAATGGTGCCAATCTTTAATATGTTTGCTTCGTGTTATTGTTAACTTTGTTGACCCTGGCTAGGTGCAATCTTCCGGCTGCCATTCCTTGCTACGGTAATGGGAATCTGGACATCGATCTGTCTGGACTACGCTTGATCATCTAGCTACTCGCAATTTTAAAGATCTTCGAAACAAGCCTGCTGGTTAAAGAATATGAATTTTTTTATTTTTTATTTTTTTATCAATAAAACAAAAACTACAAAATACTTTACAAAATTGCGGTCTCTTAGAATTAAAGTTATGGGCTGAGAAACTCTGATTACTTAATTGACCCAGAACAATTGAGCAGAATTGATATTCGTCCAAAAAAAAAACTAACGCAAGCTATCACAAGATAAAGGACTCAACTTGATACAAGCCAGAATTTTACCATAAAAAGAACAAATTAGGTTAAATGCCAAACCTTTCCATCTTCAATTATCATTTTACTTTTGTTAATATACATCCAAGTGCTGACATGGGGGACCCAAAAACCTAAAAAGACTAAAGTACTGACTGCGTGTATTCTATCTAAACGAACTACTAGTTGATGTGCAAAAGCAATTCAAAAAGGAGCAATATATTCGTAAGGCACAAAAAGTTAAACTTTACCTGGCACCGTACAATTTCCACAAGCATTAGCTCTTGTTCCCCAACCCCAAAGGAAAACTATACACTGATAACACCTCATCACCATGGGGCTTTAGCCATTTCTTAGAACTTAAGCTCCAGATTCTCAGCTCTCTGCTCCAGCATCTGAATCTCAACATCAAGCCTATTCCTAGTCTTTTTCGCTTCTAAAAGCTTTGCCTTGAGAGTTCTCATCTCCTCTTCAACGCTAGCTCTTTCACGCTTAGCTTTCTTGTACCTCTCTGACTTAGAAGATACACCCATTAGCCTTTCCAACCTAGCAAGTAAGAAACCAACGTTCATCCCTAAACTCTGAAAGGATTTCAAAATCTCTTCCCAAGTTGCAAAATTATCCTGGAACGTAGCAACCTTGGGATCTCTAAGGGCATCAGCAATGCTAATAGTCTGCACAATTATTCCAGCAACCAACTTACAATTAAGGCCCTCAAGAATATGGTCATGGAGAAAGGATTTTTGACTGCAGCAAAGCTCGTAATACTTGTTTTGAAGGTGTTTGGAGAGTTCAGAGTTTATAACTAAGCCATTAACAATAATGTCAAAATCCTCAAAATTTTTCACTTCTTCAAAACCAATATTAACAGATTCTGACAATCCGATTCCATCTGTAATTTTGAAGCCACGATACTGACTTCCATCTTCAGAAGGATCTAATTCAGGCCCAAGGTTAGCAGCATACATCACCATCTTCTTCTTTTCAATTTCCTCTTCATAATTATTCAGTAAGAGGTGATCCGGATCCTGATCTTCCATTTCTTTGCTTATATTGCTTGGATTCTTTATATCAACTGTATCATTGGCTGTAATAAGGTAAAATATTAGTTTTTCTGATGTTTGGCCCATTTATAACTGAGAAGTGGCTTAACTGTGTACTGAGATATGAAAAACGACTTACTACAATGCATTTGTCTAGCACAAGCTCTCCTTTCCAAAAGGCGGATAACACCATCCACTTCTTCTGAGCCATTTGCCCTCACAATATAGACCTAAAAAGAAAGCAATTAGTAAAATAGACAGATGGTATCAGTTACAGAACAATCATACCTCCATGCAAAATAACATTAACGAATGATGCGAACAATCCACTTGCAAAGAAAGAAGAAACCCACTTCAAGCAATAAGATTAGAAAAGGGTTTCTCGTACTCATCAATTACATACGATTCCCATCAAACAAGGCAAAAATAAGAATGCATATTTAAATAAAACAAGAGTTGCCAAAGACAAACACCCACTAGAAACCAATGAATCTAAATAAAGAGTGTGATGATATTTATTTATAACCACCAGATATTTTTTTTTCTGCTTACGGAAATTCTCTTGTTTTCAGTCAGATTAAGATGTGGCATTTAAATTGCCTCTGCATTTAATTCCTCTAAAGCTTCATATGGTAAGAAAAACCTAAAATCTGTTAGCTTAAAGTTTTCTTTGCAAAACAACCCTGAAACTTTTGAAGGGAACTGAATTTACTCTATTTATTTGATGGTTCCAGAAGAGCAGCAACTGAAAGAAGGATCCAATAGTTTATACACTTAAGAAAATGTTCGTACAATTACCTTAAATTTGGTTGGCTTGACTAAATTAAAAACCACAACATCTCCCTCCGATAATTTGTGCAACTGGGCGAATTTTTTCCATCCACCACTGAGACCCACCTTCCGTGCAAGATATACTATTTCAAAACTTTTTCCACTTTCATCTTCCAAAACTATCTTTGCGTCCTCCTTTGGCAAATGATCTTTACAAAATTCCTTAATAAGACCCTGCATCCAAAAGTCAGCCCATACAGATCACTCGGAGAACCATATATCATAGAAATAAGAAAAATGGTGAATGAAAAATACAGCTTGAAGATTACCAGCCAGAATCCTCCAGAAACATGTGAGGGCAGCATACACTTTATCATGCTAGGGAATCGAGGTGCTAGATTAGCTATAATCTCCTCTACTCGCTTCATTACAGAAGACTTAACATCAGCATTATTATATAGATCCTCAACTGGGGATCTCTTCCGTTTGTGGCTATATAGAATAAAATGCAGTTGACATTGTAACAGATTATAATAAATTCAGCTTCTTACAGTTGAAAGATAGATCAGATCTGCCATTAAATTTAGTTCACTGACCTTTCAGACTTCACAGAAATATTTTGCGCTACCTGTTCAGGAATTGACAACATTTTTAAATTAATAACCTTTACCGTGGTTTAACATTTAAATTGTGAGAATGTTTGATAATACATGGTTTGCAAATGTGAAAATGGGCAAGAGAGAGGATCCCAAATACTCAATGGTGTAACCACATTCAAAGAAAAGGGAAAAAACAATCAAATCCTATTTCAAGAAAGCTTAATTACTTTGGCTCTGTTTGGTGTTTCCAAACAAAAATTTAAGAGCATAAATAACAACATATAAAACAAGCCAAACTATTCATTTTTGAAACTGTTCTTGCAACTCATCTATACATAAAAGTAATGTCAAAATCCTTCACATAGTGAAATCCTGTTCTTTCGGTGCATCCCATGAAAATGACCCTTCTTCTAAAACCACCCAAATAACCATTTTCTGTGTTGTGAGCATACATATTTACCAAAATTCAAAGCACTTTCAGTTTCTTCTAAAAGCTTTTGATTCTAGGGGACAACACCAAAACTTTTTGAAACAAAATTCTTTTACCCTCAAACTATCAAAATTAAGTATTTTTGAAAAACCATTCACTTAAAAGAAAGAAATAAAGTTTTGTGCTACCTAGTCACAGTAACATTGATCAAACTCTTATGGCTATTGATTTTCTTGCCATTTGAAAATCTAAACAAAGTGAACTAACAAAAATGGCCCAAAAATCAACAGCTATGCACCAACAGGACACCCAACGAAAACTAGAAACAGAGGAAATACAGAGCAGGGTTTCTTACTTTCTTGCTTATCGTCATTTTGGTTGAAGGGAGGATCTTTTACTTCCTTTCAACTCCGGTGGCCTTCCTCGTTTAACCTACAAAAACACACCCACACACAAATGAGTCCCAAAAAGAGAAAAACACACGCACGGAAAGAAACAATCGTGCACACGAAAAAGAAAAAAAATAACTACAGAAAAAAAAATATGGGTCGCAACCAAAGACATAATTCTTGAGAGTCGAAACTTTTGGGCATTTGACGCTGCCCTGCTTCGAATTTGGTTGAAGAACAGTCACGCTTGGTAAACCAGATCAAAGAAAGTGTTTCAATAAAGGGTTTTATAGTCGGAAAAAGAGCAGACGAGAGGTATACATGGATATATGCAGAAGGTTTCTTGGATCAAGGTGCAGATGAGAAGGCATTTTGAATTAAAATTTTAAACACTTACAAATAGCATAAAAATAACTATATCAACAAGATAATTAAAAAAAAAAAAATTAATTAAAATATATTTTTTTATAAGAATATTATTATTTTTTCTATTTTATGTCCATTTTATTATATGATTGATGAATTTTGTTCCAATAATACTCCAGCTCACATGTCTAAACCTTGTAACTTCGTAGAGTTGTCATCATCTTCATCATCATCACCACCCCTAAAAGCTCTCAATCTCTCTGAGATTTGCCAAAAATGGAGCCACATTCTTAAAATACCCTTTTACACTTATGGCCCAAGAGATATATTTTTTTTTAAAGAAGGAAATCTGTATGTGTGTGTATATATATATATAAAACATAAGAAAAAATTAATGAAGTAAAAAATTTTGATTAAAAAGCATAAAGTTAGTTAGTTAATTAGGTTTTTTTTTTTTTTTTGAGATATTTTAATGGATTTGTAACATAAAAAAGCTATTGAACCATAACCATTTTTTTAAATAATTTCATTTGTTCTTCTTTATCCTTAATGTAGAACGAAACATTAAAAGATTTAAAAAAATTAATATGCAAGTCACTATTCACCTACACTCAATGTCATTATTTACTCATACTAATTTATACTATTCATTTTCACTATTTAATATGCAAATGTATTTTGGTGATTTTTAAAATCATTTTCAAGTATTTATATGCAAGTTTTATTCAATATTACATTTTGGTCTCTTATATTTTTAAAATATTTATTTTCATCTCTAATTTTATTTATATTGCATTTAAATCCCTAATTTTTTTCCCAACAATTTATTTTTATTTTTTAATTGTAGATTTTGTGCTAAATTTATGAAAAAAAATTCATTATTGTTTTTGGTTTTTCAAACAATCTGGCAATGAAAAAATATGATTTTAAAATTATTCGTCATTTCTGATTTTTGCTTTTAGATTTTTTAAGATGATTTATTCAATTTATCATTTTTATGAAAACATACAATTAATTTCTTAATTTATTTTTTTATATAGTTTTATTTGTTAAGAAAATATGATTTATTTTCCTCTTTGTATGGATTTTAAATAAAATTTTAGATTATGATAATTTTTTTAAATACATTAATATAATTTATATGAAGAATTCTTATAATTTTTAAATGAGAGCAAACTGTGTATGTGTAGAACCTTATGGAAAAAATATTAAGGATTTTTCAAGTATTTTGGATTCAATTCTCTATTGAGATTGTTGTATGTTTTTATTTAATAATCAATCTGTATAAAAGAACAAATTACGTTTTTTGCAATTGAAAATTTATGAAAAACATAAGAAATAATTGATTAAATATAAGATTTTAATTAAAATATTATTAAATTTATTTTTTTTATTTGATATATTTTAATAAACGCATAATGTGAATTATCAAATTGAAATAATTTGGTTCGGACAGCAAACTAATATAAACTATCTTAGTTTGAACCATTTCCCGCGACTTAAACGTATAAATCAGTTGGATCATGCTCCTGATGGATGATTCTGTTGCTTAGAAAATTGCAGGTAGCACCTTGGCAATAAAACTTATCAGAGCAGGACCATTACAGATATTTCTTGCCATCAGTATAAATGGTGCCAATCTTTAATATGTTTGCTTCGTGTTATTGTTAACTTGTTGACCCTGGCTAGGCGCAATCTTCCGGCTGCCGTTCCTAGCTACGGTAATCAGAATCCTGCCCTCCGTTTGTGAGGCAAGAGGCTTTTCTTCTGTATATAGAAGATGCACAAATGTTTGAATCTATCATCAACATAAAAGTTTTTAACCCTTACTCGTTGAGATATGAGTGCTTTATTAAACATAAATTGGAAAATATCATGGTGTGAACAACCTGTTGGATAAGTTTTCAAACAGCATTTCTCCTAGGAGGATTTAAGCTTGTGAAAAGACCTGGCAGAATCTGTACACAAGAGAACAATGAAAGCAAAGCTGCAAACGACTATAGTGAAGGTCTGGTTGAAGTTAATCTGGAGGAGGCTAAGGTCATTATTGAAGGCAGGGAAGAGAAACATAACGATGGGGGAAGGCTATATAATGGGGCAACAGAATGATGTCTGGACTACGTTTGATCATCTAGCTACTCGCAATTTTAAAAGATCTTCGAAACAAGCCTGCTGATTAAGGAATATGATTTTTTTTTATTTTATCAATAAAAACAAAAACTACAAAATACTTTATGAAATTGGCGTCTCTTAGAATTAAAGTTATGGGCTGAGAAAATCTGATTACTAAATTGATACAATTGATATTCGTCCAAAAAAACTAACGCAAGCAATCACAAGGTAAAGGGCTCAACTTGATACTAGCCAGAATTTTACCATAAAAAGAACAAATTAGGTTAAAGGCCAAACCTTTCCATCTTCAATTATCATCTAAGCGCTGACATGGGGAACCCAAAACCTAAAAAAACTAAAATACTGACTGCGTGTATTCCTTCTAAACGAACCACTAGTTGATGTGCAAAGGCAATTCAAAAAGGAGCAATATATTCGCAGAGCACAAAAAGTTAAAACTTTACCTGGCACCATACAATTTTCCACAAGCATTTGCTCTTGTTCCCCAACCCCAAAAGAAAACTATACACTGATAACACCTCATCACCATGGGGCTTTAGCCATTTCTTAGAACTTAAGCTCCAGATTCTCAGCACTCTGCTCCAGCATCTGAATCTCAACATCTAGCTTATTCCTAGTCTTTTTAGCTTCTAACAGCTTTGCCTTGAGAGTTCTCATCTCCTCTTCAACGCTAGCTCTTTCACGCTTAGCTTTCTTGTACCAAGAAGATTCGCCCATTAGCCATTCCAACCTAGCAAGTAAGAAACCAACATTCATCCCTAAACTCTGAAAAGATTTCAAAATCTCTTCCCAAGTTGCAAAATTATCCTGGAACGTAGCAAAATTGGGATCTCTAAGGGCATCAGCAATGCTAATTGTCTGCACAATTATTCCAGCAACCAACTTACAATTAAGGCCCTCAAGAATATGGTCATGGAGAAAGGATTTTTGACCACAGCAAAGCTCGTAATACTTGTTTTGAAGGTGTTTGGAGAGTTCAGAGTTTATAACTAAGCCATTAACAATAATGTCAAAATCCTCAAAACTTTTCACTTCTTCAAAACCAATATTAACAGATTCTGACAATCTGATTCCATCTGTCATTTTGAAGCCACGATCAATTTCATCTTCAGAAGGATCTAATTCAGGCCCAAGGTTAGCAGCATACGTCACCATCCTCTTCTTTTCAATTTCCTCTTCAGAATTATTCAGTAAGAGGTGATTCGGATCCTGATCGTCCATTTCTTTGCTTATCTTGCTTGGATTCTTTATATCAACTGTATCATTGGCTGTAATAAGGTAAAATATTAGTTTTTCTGATGTTTGGCCCATTTATAACTGATAAGGGGCTTAACAGTATACTGAGATATGAAAAACGACTTACTACAATTCATTTGTCTAGCACAAGCTCTCCTTTCCAAAAGGCTGATAGCACCATCCGCTTCTTCTGAACCATTTGCCCTCACAATATAGACCTAAAAAGAAAGCAATCAGCAATAAAATAGATAGATGTTATCAGTTACAGAACAGTCATACTTCCGTGCAAAATAACATTAATGAATGATGTGAACAATCCACTTGCAAAGAAAGAAGAAAACCCACTTCAAGCAATAAGATTAGAACAGTGTTTCTGGTCCTCATCAATTACACACGATTCCCATCAAACAAGGCAAAAATAAGGATACATATTTAAATAAAACAAGAGTTGCCAAAGACAAACACCCACTAGAAACCAATGAATCTAAATAAAGAGTGTGATGATATTTATTTATAACCACCAGATTTTTTTTTTTCTGCTTACGGAAATGCTCTTGTTTTCAGTCAGATTAAGATGTGGCATTTAAATTGCCTCTGCGTTTAATTCCTCTAAAGCTTCATATGCTAAGAAAAAACCTAAAATCTGTTAGCTTAAAGTTTTCTTTGCAAAACAACCCTGAAACTTTTGAAGGGAACTGAATTTACTCTATTTATTTGATGGTTCCAGAAGAGCAGCAACTGAAAGAAGCATCCAATAGTTTATACACTTAAGAAAAATGTTCATACAATTACCTTAAATTTGGTTGGCTTGACTAAATTAAAAACCACAACATCTCCCTCCGATAATTTGTGCACCACGGCGAATTTTTTCCACCCACCACTGAGACCCAACTTCTGTGCAAGATATATTGTTTCAAAACTTTCTCCGCTTCCATCTTCCAAAACTATCTTTGCATCCTCCTTTGGCAAATGATCTTTACAAAATTCCTTAATAAGACCCTGCATACAAAAAGTTAGCCCATACAGAGAACCATATATTATAGAAATAAGAAAAATGGTGAATGAAAAATACAGCTTGAAGATTACCAGCCAGAATCCTCCAGAAACATGTGAGGGCAGCATACACTTTATCATGCTAGGAAATCGAGGTGCTAGATTAGCTATAATCTCCTCTACTCGCTTCATTATAGCAGACTTAACATCAGCATTATCATATAGGTCCTGAACTGTGGATCTCTTCCGTTTGTGGCTATATAGAATAAAATGTAGTCAACATTGTAACAGATTATACTAAATTCAGCTTCTTACAGTTGAAAGATAGATCAGATCTGCCAGTAAATTTAGTTCACTGACCTTTCAGACTTCACAGAAATATTTTGCGCTACCTGTTCAGGAATGGACAAAATTTTTAAATCAATAACCTTTACCGTGGTTTAACATTTAAATTGTGAGAATGTTTGATAGGACATCGTTTGACAAATGTTTGATGGTACATGCTTTGCAAATGTGAAAATGGGCAAGAGGGAGGAAGCCAAACATTCAATGGTGTAACCACATTCAAAGAAAAGGGAAAAAACAATCAAATCCTGTTTCAAGAAGGCTTAATTACTTTGGCTCTGTTTGGTGTTTCCAAACAAAAATTCAAGAGCATAAATAACAACATATAAAACAAGCCAAACTTTTCATTTTTGAAACTGTTCATAAAACTCATCTATACATAAAAGTAATGTCAAAATCCTTCACATAGTGAAATCCTGTTCTTTCATTGCATCCCATGAAAATGACCCTTCTTCTAAAACCACCCAAATAACCATTTTCTGTGCTGTGAGCATACATATTTACCAAAATTCAAAGCACTTTCGGTTTCTTCCAAAAGCTTTTGATTCTAGGGGACAGCACCAAAACTTTTTGAAACAAAATTCTTTTACCCTCAAACTATCAAAATTAAGTATTTTTGAAAAACCATTCACTTAAAAAGAAAGAAATAAAGCTTTATTGCAAATACCAAATCAGGTTTTTGCTCCCTAGTGACAGTAACATTTATCAAAACCCTTATGGTTACTGATTTTCTTGCCATTTGAAAACCCAAACAAAGTGAACTAACAAAAATGGCCCAAAAATCAACAGCCATGCATCAACAGGAAACCCAACGAAAACTAGAAACAGAGGAAATGCAGAGCAGGGTTTCTCACTTTCTTGTTTGTCATTTTGGTTAAAGAGAGGATCTTTTACTTCCTTTCAACTCCGGCGACCTTCCTCGTTTAACCTACAAGAACACACCCACAAACAAATCAGTCCCAAAAAGAGAAAAACACAAACACACGGAAAGAAACAATCGCGCACACGAAAAAGAAGAAAATAACTACAGACAAATAGAAAAAATATGGGTCGCAACCAAAGACATAGTTCTTGAAAGTTGAAACGTTTGGGCATTTGACGCTGACCTGCTTTGAATTTGGTTCAAGAACAGTCACGCTTGGTAAACCAGAACAAAGAAAGTGTTTCAATAAAGGGTTTTATAGTTGGAAAACGAGTAGACTAGAGGTATATATGTATATATTTCTTTCTTGAAAAAATAAAATAAAATAATAATGGATATATGCAGAAGGTTCCTTGATTCAAGGTGTAGATGAGAAGGCATTTTGAATTAAAATTTTAAACACATACAAATAACATAAAAATAAATGTATATATATATTTTTTTTATAAGAATATTACGTTTTTCTATTTTATTTCCATTTTATTATATGATTGATGAATTTTGTTCCAATAATACTCCATCTCATAAATCTAAGCCTTGTAACTTCATAGGGTTATCATCATCATCATCCTCGTCGCCCCTAAAAAGCTCTCAATCTCTCTGAGATTTGCCAAAAATGGAGCCCGCCCTTTTACGTTTACTGGGCCCACGAGATTTTTTTATGGTATTACACAACGATGAGGCCTGATCGACTGTTTGTCTCAGTAGCGGGATGGAATATGGTTCACTGCTTCCTCGCGTAAAAGTGTAATTCCTTCCCTCGATGCTAAACCGACTGGTTATGAGTTTCCCTTTTCCTTTTTTGTTGGTACATTCAATTGCCAGTACGTTTAGAATTGAATTCAGGTGGCCATATCAAGCTAGTTAGCCCCTCGTTTTCTATATATGGAGAGACCATTGATCAGGGTAGGAGGAAAGCTGCGTTTTTTATATCTCATATGCTGAATCAGATCAGAGAGAAAACAATGGTGGAGAGATCAAGAGTGTTATAATTTATAATTTACAGGAACTGAATCTGCATGTTGATGCGATAGGCAATAACAAATTAACCAAGATCTGAAGTTATTATGTACCAACCAGAGTTCAACCACACGTGCCTATACCATATGTGGTTTTTTCGGTATTTCCTTACTGTATAGTTGTTGTTAATAGCTAAATCAGTTACTAGTTAATTGCTGTTTAAATAGTCGTTAGCTTTCTGGCAATATATAGGTAGGAGAGAAAGTGTGACCGTAACAACTAGAACAAACTGAAAAATTCAATATTTGCTTCTTCTCCTTCATAATATCCTCTATGTTCTTTTTTTTTTTCCAATTCAACCTCACTTCAGTTAATAAATTAACTTTTTCTAACAAATATGTTATTTATTTTCATGATTATTATTGTTTCATTCAGGCAATTTCTTCATAAATAGTTATTGGACTTACTAAATCCAAGGGTGATCTTTACTTCCTGTAAAATCTATTGTTTCGACAATCTTCAATAACTATTAGACCAAATAATAGTATTGTTGATTCTTCTTTTTTATCTCTTATTAACACTAGCTCTACACTTATGGTAGATAGTTGTTTTGATCTTTGACATTTTTTGATCAACTGATATTTCTTCGATAAGGTGAACATTATTCGTCAATTATATCCTAATACATATCTCAATTTAAATTCAAATAAAGTTCTTTGTGTTGTATGTCCGATTGCAAAGCATAAAAGGCTTCTTAAAACTTTATCCAAATTTCCTTTTTTGACCTTAATTTTTTTTTTTAATAAATATGATCTAAATTTTCTCTCTTTTTTTTTTTTTTTGTTATTTGTGACGATCAACTCGTTTGACTATTAAGGTAAATGCTTAAACAAAATTGTTTAAGCATTCTATTGTTAATTTTTTATCTTAAAAAAATCAAAATTGCTTCAATAAACATAGATTTCAGATTCTTTAGATCACTTTAAATTTTTTTACTAATTCTTTTTCCTCCATTTTTCAAGAGAGATTTTTTTCACCCATTTACTATAAATAAAATAATCATTACATTTATCACTAAACTTTCTTTCGGTTCTCCCTAAAAAAGAACTTTCACTTTTTGAACCTATCTTTAAAAAACTAAAAATAAAATAAAATCAGAAATTTTTTTTAAAATAGTTTTCTAACTCTAACAATTTTAAATGCATATTATAAATTTGAATCAATTGTGAGAATACAAAATCCTATAAAATATGTGAAGATAAAACAATTAAATAAATACAGTTATATTTAAAATTAATGATCGACAATCATCACAATAAATTTATTGACATGACAAAAAAAAAGTTTAAGTCAAAATTAATTATTTAATAATTTCAACTGATCAAATTCTACTAATAGATATTTATATTTTATTAGTTATAGAAGTTGATGGTTTTAATGGTAATGATGCTTGCATAAAAGTTGTTTTTCAAAATAAAAAAAATTATATACAAATAACAATTTGATTGACTATGAAAAATTAGAGGGATTAAAATGTAAAAATTTTAAATAGAAAGAATTGAGCTATAATTACATTGAAAAAATAAGAACAAGTTTTTTTTTATAAAAAAATTTAATAGCACATTGCTTGAACAATATCGTTTAAACATTCTACTTAACTATCAAATAGGTTGATCATTATAAATAACGAACAAAAAAATTTGGATAACATTTGTTCAAAAAATGATATTTTGATGTTTAAATTATACAAATTGATAATAAAAACTTAACATTATCAAATTATATAGAACGAAGCAATTTTTGACGTAAAATTGAAAAACAACACTTCTCTCAATTTGAAATTGAATAATAATTGAGAGCACCGATTTTATGGATTTCTAGTTTTTTTCGAAGGGCACCATGCCAAGAGGCGTTGTCTACTAGTAATTGAAAAATTTTAAAATACACAAGGAGTAACTATTGACATGTATAGTAATTACTCCATAGATCCATTTTGAGAAGAGAGATAAACACATTGAATTATATCCGGACCCATTAAAAGTGACAAGAAGATTTTTACGTTTACTCGATTTTTTTTATTTATTTATTTTTTTTGTATCTATTTCTCTTCTCAAAGTGAATTTATGGAGTAAGCTACCGTACATGCTACTAGTTATTCCTCGTGTATTATAAAATTTCTCGCTAGTAAGCAATTAATAACATTTAACTTACAAGTCACAATGGAAACAAAATAATTAGAAGAAAAAAAAAACAAATAACTTTACAAGTTACAATGGAAAGTCCATTTTCCTTTTATAGAAAAATAAGGATATATTTGGTCAGTTTTTGCATACCACCGATTGAGAAACAGGGTGTTCATGCTTCTTTTTTTTTTTTTTTTTTTTTTTCCCTTTTCCTGAAAGAAAATTCCACAAGCCCTAAACAGGGCCCTAAATGTGATTTAGCCCACAAAAAGTTTCTTAATACTACAGCTACCTAGACCAGGCCTAGCCCATCTGGAAGATGCCACACTATGTTTGTCTGTGTTTACCGGTGCAAGCATTACTTTATCCCTGGAATAGACCACACAATGTTTTCTCCAAACAATGGACAAAGCTGTTGCACTCTGTACTGTCCCCAGATATTTCATGTCACCAAAAGCACAGCCAGTAGAAACAGGACACTCAAAAACACAGCGTGGCAAAGCAAAAATAAAGGCCAGAAGGAAAACGAGATAAAAATGGTGGTTTCATACTTTGGCATTTCGTCTCTCAATTCTTGCATTTCATCTCTCAATTCTTGTTTTCTCTCCCTGCCTTGTCTTCCTCGGCTTTGCTTCACTAGACGCAAACCATTTGCAGGTAATTTTTTTACTTCATCAGCACCTGTGATTTTTTTTTCATGGCATATAACTTTCAATTTTGATGCTTCTTGGAGCATTAGTGTTTATACAGTCAAGTAGAAATCGTTACTTGATAAAAGCTCTAGTTAAACGTGTTTCTGGCTTTTTAGTGATAACCCTGTACTGCAATGACCTTGACACCTTGTTATGGGTTTCTTTGATGCCTATGGTAACTGTTGTGAAGTTGTAAAGTTTCAATTTTGGAGGTAGGAATATAAATCTTTGTAGTTCGGGGACGTAAAGTAGTTCTTTGAAAGAAATCCATTTCCAGAAACTTTTCTTGGAACAATAAATTCACTTCTTTTGTATCAAATTTATTTTGTTTGAGCTGTAATTGTTTCAGTATGATGTTTGAAGTCATTGATATGACATTTTTTGTGGAATCTTTCAGTGTCAGAAAGTATCATTTAGACTGTAAAAAGACTTTGTTTTTATTTTTTTCATCTGCATCAATGTTGATTTATAATTGAGTGTTGAAAGGGTTTAAAGAGATTATGGCTGATCCATTCTCATGCTTTCATGAGTGCTGGTTTGCCATTGACCATTTTAACATACTCTTAATGGTGCTCTGCCAGACTTGATTATCTTTGGAGTTTTTATTATCATTGTTATTGTTGTCTAACTTTTAGTTGAGTGCAAGTAGAATATCGCTATCTTTGCATTTAGAGGATTGGCCTCTTAGATGCTGTACGCGTAGATATATTTAAAAGACTAGAGCTTTTTTTTTTTTTTTTCCAACCGCAGATAAGCTCTTTTTTTTTTTTTTTTTTTTTTTTTTTGGTCGGGGAGATTATGGGCTTTTCTTCTGGAAATTATGATGTTTGCCATGGAAAGTTCATTTGCCCGAACTATATCTTTATGCCATAAGTTAGTGTGGATAGTGGTTTATTTGAATTTGTTGATCATGCCTGAGGTTTGGTTATCTACCAGTTGCAACAATGAGCGATGATCCAATCAGTGATTGGATTTTGTCAGAAGGAAATGCAACCAAGATTATGCGGATTAGTCCCATTGGTGGTGGTTGTATCAACAATGCAAGGCGTTATGACACTGATGCTGGTTCTTTCTTTGTAAAAACAAACAGGTATGGTATACTAAATTCAAAAACTTGACTCTAAACCAGTGAAATAACTTCAAAGGTGCCTTTTCTTAAACATGCCTAAAGGGATTAAACTTTTTTTACTGTTCAAATGCTGGATTAGGGGTATTGGACCATCCATGTTTGAGGGAGAGGCCCTTGGCCTGGGTGCTATGTATGAAACCAGAACAATCCGGGTGCCTATGCCATTTAAGGTGAGAAGGCTAAGCTTATTCTTCTATTAGTTGCTTGTTATTTACAGAACCTTAGTATTCACATGTCTTTATATTTGGATTGTAATTACCTGCCAAGCATTGTAGTTTGGACCCCTACCAACTGGTGGATCATACATCATTATGGAGTTTATTGAATTTGGGTCATCTAGAGGCAATCAGGTGAGAGTGAAGAAAATGTATTAATTTGATCTTGGCAATCTCTATCAGTTTGATGTCTGAATTGTTTGCCAATCCTCAGTCCGTTCTAGGGAGAAAGCTAGCTGAAATGCATAAAGCTGGGAAATCTGAAAAAGGCTTTGGCTTTGATGTTGATAATACCATTGGCAGGTGCAATAATTCAGGAAACTGTCATTGTCATCTTTCTTCTCTAGTTTATGATGCAAATGCCATTTGCACACTGACTTCAACACTCATAATACATTTGGGCTCTAGCTCAGTTCTAATATATTCATATGCTTGTAGTACTCCACAGATAAACACTTGGACGTCAGACTGGCTAGAGTTTTACGGAAAGCACAGATTGGGTTACCAACTTAAGTTGGCACTAGATCAGTATGGAGATTCAACCATATACCAAAAAGGTTATCTACTTATCTTATTATTGTGATAAATTATTCAATTTCATTCCATGTCTTGCATGTGAAAAATGCAATTTTAATAGATGCCAAAACAAGCAAAGGTACTGGAAAACATGATGCTGGGCTATAAGCGTGAATGCATTTGATATAGCTGTGTAGTTCTGAAACTTTAATTCAGTTTGCATTGCTGGAACCAAAGTAGTTAAATGCTTCTTCTCGTGCTTCTTTTAAGGAGAATCTCATTATTTCCATGTTAGTTGCATTAAGTGCATGCTGAGATCTTAATTCTGAAACCTATGAACTTTGGATTCAAAAGCATATTTTATGGGGAGACTGCTTGACTTCTCATTTTCCAAGGAGAACCTCATCATGTTAAATCACCAATGTCTGAATAACTCAGACATTATATGCTTGAGTGCTTCTCATCACACTTTTTGTTATTTGGTTTCAGTACTCATGGACAAACAGAGACTTTGGCTTAGGAAACTTGAAATGTCAATTGTTACTAAGTAGCTTGTGCAAGTGACATTTGTATTTGTGGGATGCTTATCTGACACATTATTCACAGGACAACGATTGGTAAAGAACATGGCACCTCTCTTTAAAAACCTTGTCATAGAACCATGTTTACTCCATGGAGACTTGTGGAGTGGGAATATCATCTCTGACAAGAATGGCGAGCCTGTTATACTAGACCCAGCATGTTATTGTAAGTTAAAATTAGTCTGATTGCTGTATTATTGTGTAGCAGCAGGGCTCATATTCTGTGGAAACATCTTGCACATTGAAACATGGCAGAATAATGTTTCTGCCACAGACCATATGGAAAGAAAGAAAATGCCTGTTTAGATGACTAATAGCGCAAAATCATAACCCAAGAAAGTTGGGAACTCAAGATTATGGCTTCCTTAAGTTGTTCATTGTCTTGCTAAATGCATGAACTTCATATATAGACTACCTTTTAATCCTCTAATTGCACTTTATTTGTTGATTTTCTTTTCAGATGGACACAACGAAGCAGAATTTGGAATGTCATGGTGTGCTGGTTTTGGAGGATCATTTTACAATGCTTATTTTGAGGTATGGTTGCTTCCATAGAGATAGCGAGCAATTTGAGTACCAAAACCAAAACTATGGTTTTCTTTAGTTTGTTTTGTTTAGTTTTTTGTTTTTGTTTTTTTTTTTTTCATATCCAAGAAATTTTCCTCCTAGACACGAGGGCGGGGCTCAAGAACCATCGACTTTTTCATATGGATGACGTTGGTACACACAAGTGGCATGTCACATGCCGCCAACAGTAAATCTATGCATGCCAAGGCAATAGTTGCCATAGCCTCAGATAACCATGCAATTCAGGCGGTCCTATATGGATCAATAAGGGAAAAGTTGCATCAACTATGTTCTGAAACTAAAAAAAATGTTTAGAAGCTGCGCTGCCCTACTCGAATATCCGATGGACTGTACCCAGTTATGCTCGGTTGTTTCTTGCCAATCTTATGTAGGATCTGATTACATTCTTGTGCTTATTTTGTTTGCTAGGTGATGCCCAAACAACCAGGCTTTGAGAAGAGGAGAGAGATCTATTTGCTGTATCACTACCTAAATCATTACAATCTCTTTGGTTCTAGTTACCGTTCATCGGCAATGTCAATAATAGATGACTATCTGCTGATGTTGGGAGTGTAGGAATTTGTATCTAGAACAATACGTCGTGTATGCGAATTTGAAAAACACGTGTATATGCTGTGGCTTGCCAGAGTTGTAAATTTGGCTTGAGTTGTAAATTTGGCTTTCGTTCTTACAGTATCCAAGCAATTCCCTTTTTCATCATGTACGCAAATTTGTCACTGAGGGTAAAGCCGTAAAGGGCTTAAAGCAAACAAGAACTTTGTCCTTTGTGGAACAACTTATATACTAAGGTCTCTCTCTCTCTTTTTTTTTTTTTTGTTGGGAGAGAAAAACTGATGTTTGAAGATGATGCAGCACGATTGACAGGTATGAAAGAAAAAGGAAACTGGAAAACGATATCTTGCAGGCTGTGTTGAATTATAACTTCGAATATGTAAAACTGAATTCAGGTCTAACCTCCAAAGCAATCGAATCAAAAGAAAACTTCAACTCGTATTTCTTTTGGTTTTAAGGTTTGTGTATTTTGTAATGTTATGATGGTGTTTTTCATTTGAAATGTGAAAAACTGGTGTATTTTCAACTTAAATGTAATATTAAAAATTGACCTCAATGATATTCTTAATCTTGTCATTCCTATTAAGACTGATGTATTTAATAGAAATTTATTCAAATCGAGATAATAATATGGAAAGTAAACCATTTACCATCAATGATTATTAAAAATAAGTGCAGTTCTACTATTTTAATAATCAAATTTCAAAGGTAAAGAATTTGGAACTATTAAACAAAGATATGGGAGAATATACTCAAATACTAAATATTTCGTTAATTATCTAAATTAACAGGAGAAAAGAAAAGAAAAGAAAGAGACCAACAGAACACGGTGAGATTCAAGAAATCTTGGTGGCATGCCGATTCCTCTCAGGAAAAAATAATATATATATATATATATATTCTTCCAGACACAGTACAGTGTACACGGTGTGTTGGACAACTTCGAGGTCTAACATCCTCAAGTACTTAAAAAGATTCCTATAAACAAAATCGAAGAAAATTTGTACTTTCAGTCCAGTGTTTCTCCTTAGCAAACTGGAAAAAATATTTGCCGAGAGAGAGAGAGAGAGAGAGGCACGCAACATGAACACAACGCCGCTGCCAGCATCATTACCAGACCTAATATTATCATTAGAGCAAGCAATACTAATGGCTAAACAACTCCCATCAGCAACTGACCCAACCCACCTTCTCCAAACCTACTCCTCTCTGCACCAAGCTCACCAGCACCTCTCTTCCTTCCTCTCCCAAAACCAACTCCCTTCTTTCCCTCTTCCACCACCACCACCACCACCACAAGAAGAAAACTCTCTCTCCTCAGCCACTGGAGCTGATGAGAATGGAAACGAGCCTATGCAAGTTGGTGACGATGATTATGAAGAGAATTCCAATAAGGTGGTTTCTATTGATAAAGTGGAGGAGAGGATGAGAGATTGTTTTATTAAGAATATGAGACCTAAAAGGCCTCTTTCGCCGTCAACGGTAGCGGTGGCTGAGGAGAGGAGGTTGTCCGATGATGGGTTTGGGGGAGGAATTATGGGTTTTGATCCTCGTGGGACTAGGTTGAGGGCTTTGGATCTTATCTACCAGTTTCATGGCTGATTATTATGGGGGAAGAAACAGAGCAGTGGGGAAGAAACAGATGGCAGAACAGGGGAATTTTTGTTGCATTGTCATTAATGATGAAAGTCAAAGTGATGATTATGTTTCATCTAATTTGCCGTAGATTTTAATTTTCATCTATCATCTTTTGCTTAATTTTGAGAATGCCATGGCAGTATGGCACAAAATTGATGCAATTGAAATTGGATTTAAGTGATGATGTATTTCATTAGGAGTCTCATATTTTTATCCATGTTCTGGTATCTGACATTTTATATGTTTTTAGATTGTCTTTGGGCACTTCCTCGGTAAAGATTGCTTTCAGCCTCTATTCTTCTGACACGAATTCCCATGACATCACTTTTCCTTTGCGGGAAAAGCAATGAAAATCACATGTAGGTATTTGCATTAATTAATTTTCTTATATACATTCTGATCAATGTTACAGTTAATGCCCTGTTCATTAATAATACAACACGATCATATGTATGTGGTTGCAAGTTGATTATGCTGATTCCACTCTTTAAACATCTGCATCCCGACCAAAATCACTTGAATTCAACTTCTACCATGAAGATCCCGATATTGAAATTCCCAAAACTGTGGTTTCCATAGTCGAGTGTCCTCATCCTGTGTGATGAAATTGATTTGCTGCAACTCCAAAGGTGTATGACACTGTGCCCTGCGATCTTGTCTCAAGTGTCTTCATTAACTCTCTCTCAATATCATAAACCCTATACTCTCACCATCAAATTGTGCAAATTAACAAAATCATCCAAGGTAAGCTCCTCCGGTCTTGACTGGACATGATGAATAAAGTTGGAAGGATTAGTCTAAGCGTGTAGAAAGTAATTATCAAGATAACATGGCAATTATTGAAAGCAAGTGAAAAATGAAAGGTAAATAAACCATACATCATTAATAGCACTTACAGTGGCTAGACAACCAACATTTTGAAGAGCTTCTTCAATCTCAACGGGTTTGCATATGTGCTGAAGTGATTTTCGCAGCATCTTACGTTTCCCATTAAATGCAGAATTCACCTATATCCACAAACGGATTTGATTAAAATAATGTTCCAAGTTGGACAGGAAGCCAGTCACAGGTTTAGTCTAAGTTCCAATGGCCATGCCTTTGAAGAAAGGCACAGAGCTTTCATAATTCTTTACAATAGCTAGAAGTTTTAAACCACAAGAAGTTATGCTTAGAAAAGAAACAACCATTGAGAAGAAGCTTTTCGTGGAGGAAACTGCTGGATAGTCCACAGCTTGCTTGAGCTTAAATGTAACAACAGCAGCATCAACCTGCAAAAGGATACATGACAGCTCCATTATATTCTTCGAACAAAGTTAAAGCAGAACACTATTCTGAATATGCAAGCATAATGAACACCTGATGACTCATAAGACTGCCTTTGGGCAAAGAGTTCTGCAAAGCATGTATTTGCACACATATGAATACAATTTACTTACATTAGGCTGAGGAAAAAAGTTTGACCTTGGGACCTTAAAGTTGTATTCCGGATCTGGAAACAGAACCACATACGGAAAATAAAGAATAAAGAAATTATGCATATGTCTGCAAAATATTATGTACTTAGTGGAAAAGCATAAACTATATATAAGCATGGAAGTTGTTTTATGCATCATTTAGCCTATATTATAAAACAAAAAAGGACCAACTTTCTAATTGCATGTAAGTTTCTTGGAAAATTTATAATAACTGGGAACATGAGAGGAAAAAGTAACGAAAGGAAAAAAGAAAAAAAGCTATGGGAAGAAGGGTGGAAAAAACATGTATCATTAGCAAACAAAATTGCATATATTAAAAAAAGAAAAAATACTGGCAGTAAACGAAGAGTGGCCGCTGATTAAAGTTATCAACTGTTATTTGCAGGCTTGTAGTTGCTATGAATATCAAATCTCAAGTCAAAAGCAGTATGCATCAAACTAGGCAAGAATCCATTGACCCAGAGTCACTCAATGACTGGTTAAAAGTTAAAACAGATTTATATTGCAGAGGCACCTGAATAAAAATTAACAAAGATATTGATGGGACGGTATTCAGAAGTTCGTAGGGATGATTCCACTAAACGCAAAGCTGTCCCATCCTGAAAATGATTCAATCATACTTATGAGTAATGACAATAAGCCAAAAGTGTTTTGTACCAAACAAATCAGGCAGTTGCTTACAATTTTGAATCTTGTTAATCTGTGAATCAACCAGATCAAAATTTATGGTTCATTGATTAACAAGCTCTTAACCACAGACACCATTCAGAAAAAGAGACACTTGTGGCTTTTACTGCTTTGTACCAAGGATAAGTACATTTCCCAGTTATAAATCATCAAAATTCAAGATTTCCATCATTTTTCCTTCCTAAGCCTATGGTTGCACTTCCCTTGAACATAGAAAGTTCTATACATCTTTAAGCATTTACAACATGAATGAAAATGTAAATTCATTTAACAGAAAACCAGAGGGGAGGATGACACGATCCAAACTTGGCATTGAGGAAAACATCAAGTCCATAAATCAACGAAGGAAAATTAAGGCAGTTACTTGATAGGTAATAAATGAATATCAGGAAGGTGGCAATTCGCACTTCCTCACCTGGAGTAAAAGAATGACTTCAGAGAAAATGTCACCCATTGGAAGCAGTTGCTTGATTACATCTGTACTTATATTAAATGGTATATTAGCAACTACCTACACAAATAAACACACACACACCAACAAACGTCAGTCCCAAATAAGGAGAGGAAAAATATTTCCACAATTCATTAAAACGCATCTACTCAAGGAAGGTCTCACTTTTGCGTATCTCGGTTTTTCATGCAAAGTTTCCACACTTTCTAACATCGACAGCATGTGGGATTGAATGTGACACTTGATGAAGTTCTCTTGCAAAACCTAGAGTTTACAGGACATTAACAAAACAACATTATTAACAAGAACCCATATAAGAGATTACATAATTTAGTCATTTTTTCAATCAAAATGCACCTTCAAACGATTTGTGTCACCAAATCTTTTCCTCACTAAAGCAGCCATATCTGCGTCCTATATGTCACAAATTGAAAAGGAAAATCTTAACTTCAAGGACATTCTAAATTTATAACAAAAAAACGGAACTACAAGTAATGCAATTAACCTTACTTTCTCAATAGCAAGAACAGTTGCACCAGCATCAATAAGAACATTAGTCAAAGAACCAGTTCCAGGTCCAATTTCAAGAACCAAATCACCCTCTTCAACATTAGCAGCAGCAACAAGTCGCTCGTTAATCTCAGCATTCAACATATAATGCTGCAAATTCATACCTACTAACTGTTTGTTAAAATGTTTCATTGAAAAAGCATAGAGAAAACCATCAATCCTAGTAAGAAAAAACCAAAAGGGTGACTGGAACCTGGCCTAGTGATTTCCTCGGCCTTCGACCTCTAGAATTGAGGGCTTTCAGTGTCGCGTGGTAATCATCTGGACTTCCCTTGGAAGCACACGTTATCTTTAGTGTTGGTTTTAGTGGACTTGTTGTGCTATTGTGCGTCATGAGTGAAGGTTTTCGTGTAGAAAGAGAAATTGGAGGGGAGATTGCAGAAGATTTGGTGTTGCAGTTGATTTCATCTTCTTCTTTCCGATCTCCTTACTTTTCAAATTCCTTGAGGTAAAACTTTATGCCGCGTGGAGCGGATAAAAAGGATTTCAGCAAACTTCATGTTAGTCCCCCAAATATATATAGTTCCTCGATTGACTCCTCCAACTTCTGATTTTACAATTTAGGTTTGTCATCTATCTACCTTTCCTCGATCAGTTTTTTTATTAAAATAATCGGAGACGCATTAAACATTACTAAAAATATATATATATATATGGTTGTGTTTATTTTGCTATCCTATAGAGTAAAGAGGCCTGATATGTTCGGTGAAAACGGAATAATTAGGTAAATTGACATTGATCATGTACTTCAGTATAGAGTCCAACCATACATGGTTGAGCAATCTCCATCAAAGCGCTGAGTTTGAGTTCGACCTGCATGCCTCCCAACATAACTAAAAAAATCTTTGGATAAACCATTTTTACATTCTATAAATTCACCGATGCTTGCATTATTTTTGTACAAAAATAAAATAATTAAATAGAAGCATTGTGTTTAACTTCTTAACTACTGGCCTTTTGTAAGATTCTTTAAGCATTGTGTTTATCATCTATTAATTTGAATTTGCTCTTGTGCGTAAATCCTGTATAAGCCATGCATCTTTTTTTAATAAAGACATGTATCTCATGGATTCCTTTTTTTTTTTAGTGAAGATAAAGCGCATTGTCTTGTTACAGCACAGAATACATGCTACCAGCCCACCACCAATTTCATGTTTTCAAGGTCGAAATGCCCATAAACCAATCTATTCTACCATGAAAACTTAGCAGGAAAAACAAAAAAATTATATAATATACTCAGATACAAAATTCTGTTTCTATCCAACAAATTATTCATATTGTCCTATAATCTATTCCAACAAGAAAAGTAAAGGGTAAATGAAAAAAGCACAACCCAACATTGTAGTTACTGAAGCTTTCAACCACCAACATCATATGTGCTAAAATGGATTATCAAATCGATGAACTCTTCGTTACCTTGTTCCTGCACAGAAAAAATCCATAACTTGGAGCAACAAAACTAGGAATATGACGACGATTACAAATGAAGTTTAACAGAATGTTAATCAAGAAAATTGCCTGAGTTAAAGATTGATGAGATAATCCACGTATCCTTATTAGTTCTTGAGATTCATATGGAACTTCAAGGTCTACAGTGCCAGAAACGTGTAATCCATGCTGTTGCGCAGGATGAGCAGGCAATGAAGTCAATTCCTCTGTTACATAGCTAAACACCACTTCAGGACCCTGATACGATATCTCATTTTGACCAGAACTTTGGGACATGACTTCATTAGTTTGTACCATGACCAACTGAATTCCGATCGGTTGTCTTTGTGTTTTCATTATAAGGAATTCTAGTATTAGAACCTGAAAGCACGTTAGGATCACTGAAATGCCAACCACTGCAATCAATCCTGTCATTGTTAGTACCAATTGGTCGTCACAGTGAAATTAATTAGGGATTTAGGGTTACTCTGAGGGGTTGCTTCAAATGTTGATGCATTTCCAAGACATGAAAGCTGGGGTCTTCCCTGATTACACACTTGAAATTCATGTGTATCATAGATATTGGCAGAAGAGCTATAGGAAGGACAGGAAATGTTAACACTATTTCCTGGGAGGATTTGATTGCTGCAAGACCCTTGTGGTATGCTAAAATAGGGTGGAGCATTCCCCAGTGAAGAGCTTGGGGCATTGGCATTGTTTAACAAATTCAACCAGTACACAGACAAAGATGATTGCTTGTCTTGCTTTTTGATGCTTATGATATTTCTGCACATAAAACGCATGTCTCGTCTTTATCTATTGTAATGAAAACCTGCTCTAAAAAAACGAATGGGAATGGAAGGGTGAAATTCTGAAACTAAGAACAACATCTAACCTGCAACTAACTTGCTGTATGGAGCCTTTCTAATTGGGGGACATTCATGAGATCAAGTATTGTACTAGGAACAACTCCTGAATACCAAATATAAGGAATGGATTATGAGACTGAACAGGAAACTTTGAATTAGAACAAAAGGAACAACAGGCAGATTTGTCTTACTTTCACCGTTATCTTCTACTTGTTTGACTGCTGTCCCAATTTTTCTCGCAACTCTATAGTCCAGCGCACATTCTGCCACTTCCTGTGCTTGGAATCGTCAACCATGTGCTTATGCTCACTTGGCTCTAGTGGGTCTGGTCCTCCTTTCTGAGGCACCTGAAGATGCTGTGACAGTTCACTTGATCTTGATGATACGCCTTTTGTCATTCCTAAGAGATAGTGCCGAAGTTTCTGAAATTCTTCTGCGCTTGAAGGTACAATGAATCTACTCCAATGTTTTGAGTTGCTTAGTAACTAGAGGTATTTATCATCAATGTTTACTTTTATATCAAACGATAACTTGAATCATGAGTATATAAAGCACACTAAGTTTATGATTTGCTGAGTAACCGATTACTTTCATCACAAATATTAGTAAGTCACGTAAAAAGGTGAGTGATTATTTAGAAAAGAATTTTAGAGGCCTTGAAGAAAAATTAGAATGTTGAAAAAAAAATTAAAAAAAAAAATCTCGATTTACTACTTTTGTTTGTAATAATGGAAGGGGGTAATGGCAAGATAAGGGTTGCACGCTTAAATTATATTGATGATAAAAGTGTATAAGTTGATTTAGAGACGTGCATGAATATGAGAGTAATATTTTAAACGTGATTAATTGATCATTTGATTTTGTTGGATTCTAAATTAAGATTTAATGTTTAAAGGACAACTATACTTGCATGACATTTATATAAGATTTTGTGGGTTGCCACGCTACAGTTTAAACTTAGTAACACAAATTTCTCATGATCATCAGAAGACATCACTGCATCAGATTATGATAACCAGTTACATATGTGTACAACCGGAATAAAAAAAGGAAGGAAGAAACTAAGGGCTAGAAAACCAAAATTGAAAAGAAATGAGAAACAAAGAAGGATAAATGAAATTGGTGACAAAAACAAGCACAGATAATAGGCAGTTTTGAATTGCTGAATGTTCTTTAAGGAGCTTCTCTGAGTCTACCCGAGGGACATAGGCATTTGTGACTACAAGGTCAAGTCTTCCTTTCCTCTTCTGAATGGGCTCTAGAGCATCAGCTGCCTTTTCATAGCGCACAACTGTGAAACAATAGAAAATGAAAAAAACTGCTATCTTGAAGAACTCGTGATCATCGCACCAAATACACAACAAGGAATCACAAAAGTATTACTCCACACTTGCATGCTTGAAGTATCACAGTCACAATACTTTGGCACGTGGGATCATTATCCACAAACAGAATATTGAATTCTGACAGAGATTATATTATCCATGCTTGAAAAATCATGAAGGCTAATTCAAATGTCTAAACGAGACTAAATTGTGATCGATTTTCTTGTTTTTTTTTTTTTTTTTTTTTTTGGCCTGGCAAAAAACTTACACCTGAGGAGACTAAATTGTGTTGCAGAGAGGCAGGCAAATTGCCAAAGGGACAAGGGCAAATGGTTATGTGGTAAAAAATGTACTCTAGGATTACAAATATGATTGTTCCCAAATTTGTCAGTGAAGCATAGAAGGTATGTAATTTTATTCAACATCAATTTAGTTCCAAACCATATAAATTGTAATCTTAAAATGGTAAATCCTTTTGAGATTGGTAATCTAGTATTTAATTGTCCTGGTGGTCACATGTATTTTGAGTGGAGTGATTTCGTTCGACTTTGTTTCTTTTTTTGCTGAAAGGATTTCATTCAACTTCCCCTTGAGATAGTCTACATGCATAAGCCCAGGCTTTTTTGCCAGCGTATCATTTAAGGTGAGGTTTTATGATCTTTATGCCAAATGAATTTTCATATCTATGAAATAGGCATGATTCCAATTTTTTTACTGGAAATTTTATTTTCTTAAGACATGTTATCATAAAGAGGGCAGCATTTCATTCTCCAAACCACAGCACAAAATAGCTACAAATCTCCAGTTATTTTAATTATGTTTTTTTTTTTTTTGGGGGGGAGATTTATTTTCTGCCATTGCAAACAGGAAGAGAATAACAAAATAAGAAGACGGTCATTAATTTATTGGCATCGCATACAAGGAAACAGCAACCCCAATAACAGAGTCCTCATCGAGGTATTTTAACAAACTATTAACTGTAAAAGTAAATGTCTCCGCAAAGAGTCAAATTGAGATAACGTCTCTAACAATGAACCCTTTCGTTGCCTTCTGCTACATCGCTTATGACCAGATTCAAAGTTCTCAGAGATCTTGTTCTCCATGTTATAAAGCACCAAAGCCAAGCTCAGAGATGGCTACTTCAAAGCCTTGTTGCAAGCATTCAAAAATAGTTTGTAAGTTAAAAAAAAAAATGACACCAGAAATACAAGCAAAGAGTTATAATTACCCTACGGCTAAGGAAGCTTAATGCATCAAGCAAGCATTTAAAAACCAGCACACAAAAATCATTAACCTACCAGAGATCGTTATGGGGATCTTCAAGGAACTCTTTGGCCATCGCCAACAACTCACGATCTTCAGCTGTTGCCATATCGAGAATGTCAGACTCATTTTCCTTCTCTGGCAGTGGTTGAGGCAGTGACAGTGGAAACTGTGGCTGCTGCTGAGAGTTGCACAGAAATGTTAGGCCATGAGTTCCAACATTGGAGAATGTGGTTCCTTGATTGAGATGTTCTTCTACAATATGATTTCCCTTCGGACCAAAACTTGCAAAGTTCTCACTAGTAGTAGTAGTCATAATTCCAGTATGACTGGTGTTTGGGTAAGTAAAGTATAGCTGTTTGCTTTGAGGAGCCACGTGCCCATAGTTAGGAATCAACATGCCACTATAGTTTGAGTTCACATGAGTAGGAGAATGTGCAGAACCAAGGGAATGCATAGACATGGGACTGCAGAGATTATTCTGGAAATTGTTTCCGTATTCTGATTGAGATGCTGTCATGAAGAATTGTGGGTTTGTGTATTGAGAGAACCCTCCTAGTAAATTGAAAGTCAATGAAGGATAGCAATCTCTAATCATGGTCTTCTGCATTGCATTTTGTTCCCGCTTCAAGGAAAGACGATATTTCTGAAAACATAACATTGGTAATAATGATTGTTAGATGCAATGATGCTATTTCTTAATCCCAAAATGCATAAGGATTAAGTATATGGCAAAATAACATTGTTTAATTATTCTAGAACAATCAACATTACAATTGTGTTTTGCACAGATCTCAAAGAAAAATAGATGAAATATATGCTTCTAGTATTCATAAGTTGATAGTTCGAGACACTAAACTCCTCAGGGCAAGTGTTACTTGTGTTTGAAATATCGGGCTTCAAATATTACTCACAATAAAAGATGCTTACACCCTAGACATACATAGCACTCAAGCCATAAGATTGACAAATTCACAATTCTTTACAGAGAACAAACCTGTAAATGACTTGAAACATTTTCTTTCTTTAGCCCTGGGACATTCATGAGCTGAAGTATTTTCTTTGGATGGGCTCCTGCATTAATAATGAGATGTAAGCAATAGTGCACCATTATTGTCAAACAGAAAATTATTATACAACTTCTGTCAAGAATCTTTTACCATCAATGCCTAATACCCTGATAGCTTGCAAGAATCTGTTATGCAGCTCATTAGTCCAAACAAGCTTTGTCTTCTTTGGAACAGTCAAACTGTCATTATCTTCTTCATCGTTGTCCGTCTCTCCTAGCTCCTTTCTTTTTCCCATTTGGTCAATCTGCTCCATGGTATTGAAGAATGATGGCGTCCCTACAGTCACATTTGAAGCATTCTCCTCCGATGAACCCACATGAAAGCTGTTTGATCCCTCGCTAGATACAGTTGTCTTTATCTTCTTTCTATATGTTAACTGCCAAAGGTTTTTTACATCGTTCTTGGTGATTGGCTTTGTAAGATAAAGTGCAGCCCCTTTATAGAGGCAGCCTAACATGGCACTCTCATTGTTATCAGCTGAAAAAACTGCAACAGGAATAAAACATCCAAAATCACATGTCAAAATTTTCATAACTAAATAACAAGCATCTTATGGAAAAAGAATGATGTCTGAGGTTGAATCAAAGTTGCTGCTTACCGACAATAGGCAAAGAAGACATTTGTCCCACCGTCTCAAGGATCTCATATTGATTCATATCAGGCAAGTGAGTTTCTGTCAGAATAAGGTTGATTTCATCTTCTTTCTCCCGTAAAGTGCGCAACGCATCAGTGGCTCGTGTAGCAGTTGTGACTACAGGTATGCAGTATAACAAGTTTTCGGTATAATTTTTATCAACAAAAAAGTTGCAGATACATAAAATTGACCATTCCATCACAAAGCAGAGATAAGAAGACAAACTAAGTGCTCTTCAATATCTAAAAGGCACGTTGCAGGAGTAGGTAAGAGATTCGTTTATCATTTTTAGACCATATGGAGGATATTAGTTTCAATAGAAAATACCAGATTTTGCTCTTAATGGTCTTTTCCAAAGCAGGAATGCGGATCCAAAAACTATCATGTTATTAGGAAACATGTCAATATCTACAAGGAGCAGTTAAATTTTGACATCTGAGAACAGGATTGCAAACTCTACCAGGCCAACACAACAACACTCCCCCCAATCCACCCCCCACCCCCCTCCTTATACTTTGTACAACTCTACGGAGCAAATTCATTACTCAACATAGGGTCCAGTTGAGAATGTGGTGCATAAGGGGTTAACCAAAACCTTCACTGCTCAGGGGATGCATCACATCCCGCCACAATATACCTAAATTCTAAAGACGAGTTATAACTACATGGTAAAGCAATATCATAACTAGTGCTGATAAAACGATTCACTGCACTGATAAAAATGATAGCAGTTTAAGATTCTAACAGAAGTGAATATAAAAAGGAACTGAGTAATCTCCAGTAAGTACCTTCATATCCAAACACCTGAAGCATTTTTGACACAATTCTGAGGCATGTAGGATCACTTTCCACAACCAAGATTCTAACACCTATAGGAAAGGAGCTAGCATTATTTTTTGTTACCTCAACTGAGAGAACCTGCTCACTGGTCATGTTTGGAACAACACACAGGGGAGAGAGAGAGCAAGATAATTTGACAGGCACACAGAGAGAGACTCAGAAAGAGATTCTTGAGCTGTAAATATAGGATGTGTGCTTTTATTTTGAGGTGCCTATATATAACCTATAATTAAGCGCATATGGTCGCTTCCCAGAGAAAGAATCTTATTGAGCTTGGTTTTTTGTGTTTATAGTTGAGAAAAGATTTGTACAGTTTTCCACACAGTGAGATGATCCTATCCGTTCATAGCATGTGGACCCCACATTATGGACGGACAAAATCACTTCATACAAACATAAGCATAGATGCTTATCCAAAGCAATCCTCGATAACAACAAACTCTGCCCCGTTGTCGAATCCAAACAAGAAATCTCCTCATTAATTTACTGAAGAAAACTATTAAAGCGTATCTGGAATGTAAGTCCATGTGTAACAAAACAAAATGGTAAAAGAAAGTTTGACAATCACTTGAGAAGATGCGCATAGCATTCTAAAATGGCAACAATGGCCTTGTAACTGTCAATTGAAAATCAATGACCGTCAATACAGTTTAATTAGCTTGCCATTTTCTCCCTAAGACTGCCATATATACAGAACTCCAAAAACTCTTAGTCACTTGTTGAGTTTCCTCCTTAAGAACGAGTGCACAATGTTCCATATTTGATTACATATGAAAAACCTTACGTATAAACGTTTATATAGCACATATGTACATGAACCAAATAAGCTACTATTGTTACCTAAATACATTGTGAAATCTGAGACCAATTCATACCATACAAGGACATTCATGCAACCAAGAATCTAATGATAGTACTCACTCATAGATGTTCAACTCAATGGTTTTTGGGATAATAACCAATGCTTTACTTCTCAATATAGGGGATAGAATAAAATGGGGTTGTTGTTTTAAACCTTATTTAATAACTCACAGGGCTAACAAACCAAAGTTATCTAGCTCAACCTAATAAAATACTCATCACACAAACAAACCAAATTAGATCCCAATTTTAAAGTTTTTTTTTTTTTCCTGAACAAGTTTGAACAAGTGAATGCTAGGTCCAAAATGTAATAAACATAAATTATATTTTCGAATAATTATAAAAAATATATATTTTATTATATCTTGAGTGCAAAATAAATATAAAATATGCCAAAAGATGATTTGAACATTCAACTTGAGGCTAATATACATAGCATTATGATAAATAAGGTGCTAATTAAAAATTATATTTAATATTTACATTTATTTCATTTCCTATATTGATGAACAAGCGATAGCTTCACAAAAAAAATTAAAAAATCAAGTTCCAAAACTATTTTGGAAGAATTCAGATCCATCGGAAATCAGAAACAACTATTCACTTCCCCTGATATCCAGGCTCCTGTTTGTCTATATTTCGAGTAACAACACATAAGAGACTTCTTAAAAGGGTGTTAAAAAGAAAAGGGTAATACACAAGGGTGACAATATGATGTTTCCAGTAACTGATGCGAGATAATATAGACATCAGGTGTTTGGGTAGCGTAGGTGAAGTGTTAGAAAAAAAAAAAAATACTGATCTAAGGGTTTCAATCCAGAAAATAAGAAGCCACTGTTATACCTAGAGATGGTCAATTACGATCAGCAGTCCTTTTTTATACTATTGGTTGATTACCCAATTGACACTAACGTTTCCTACAAGCTGGATTTTCCCATCAATACCAATTTGTTCGGTAAAACGATATATTTAGAGCCTGGAATGGGTTACCATGTCGTTAAAATATGAACCCGTTAAAAGTTGCGTAGCAGCAAAATTTGTTCTGTATAAACACAGTGCAAAAATAAACGGCTACGATTTCCTACAAAGAAAGCTTCGCTACAAATCACCAAAAAGTAGACTTATCATTCACGTACAAAAAAGTACTTCTCCTCTTATACAGAATACTGGTTAGGGCTAACAGTTTATTTACATCTTCATATCTTAAGTCCCTAAATGTCCTCTACTTAAACAAAAGGCTACGTCTCACAGACTTCGGAAGGTTTGAACTTGAAACCTTTCTCCTCTCTTTTGATGGCCCATCCTCTTGATTTTCAGAATTATTGGCTAGATCTCCTCGTTTTTCATGAATTGCTGCTACCTTAGCAGAACGGTAAAATTCTGTTATACTAAGTTGGACACGTTTTGACTTTGGTGATTCTGACTTTTCATTGGACCCTTCAGTTCTTAAGCTTGAACCCTTTCTTCTTTTTGATGCTTGCAGTTCCTGCCAATTTTCAACCACAAAAGTAAATAATCTGGCAGGCCCACAGACTCATTTCCAAGATCCTTATATACAACAGTAGCATGATAACAAACTAGGCAATTTCAACAATCTAAAGTCCTCCTCAAGTTTAACCATAAAGCACATGAATAAAAGGACTGAGCACCCCTGATTAACTCAGGCTACCATAAAGCACATTACCTTTTCAACTGAAATTAATATCCTATTTTTCGCTATCCTTCTTCCACACAGAAAAACCATCTTCACTTTTTTCTCTTTTTTGAATCTCATGATATCATTCACTTCTCATATATACAATCAATCACCTCCAAATAAACTAGTTCTTATCTTGTTACTCATTCATTTGACATTCTCATTCGCACCATTCAGCATTTTGACCTAATGAAGCACGGACTATGATTCAATTTCTTAAAGTTATTTAGCTAGTATAAAATTGGAAACCAGGGACAAATAGTACATAAAACCAATTCTCCAATTTCTTCTTGCTTCCTCCTTAGGCCATCCATCTCAACCATCTAAAATAACAGGCACTAAGAGATTCCTATATAAGAATTGATCTGCAGATATTAGTTTATGATAATTACATTTTGACACATGCTTCTACTTTATTAATTCAAGTTTGCCCAATCACAAGGGAAAACAAGAAAGTAGGATATCCATGATTTTACAGCAAAAGAAAAAACAGAAACAACAATTTGACAAAGAAAGAAGGAAAAGAATGAAAAGGAAATCATACCTTCTCATGCAAAAATCTTTCAACTTCTTCTGGAAAAGCACCACGAGTAAGCTCTATACTTTCATCTGTCATCAGGAAACAACCCCCATTATCAATATGAATCTGGGGGGCGGTATCCTCATCTAATTGATCATTGAATTCATCAATTTCAATGATCTCTTCTTGAGGCCTGTCAGACTCTTGGACCGAGTTGGTATGGATAAGACTGCCTGCTGTCCTTGTGGCTTTTATCCACTTGATCACATAAGATTGGTGTCCATATCTCATTTTCATGCGCTGAATAGAATCAAATACATACTGCCCATACAACATAGTTTTCTCCGGCTTTGCGGCCATTTCTCTCAAATATATGGTGGACAACATGGGAAGCATTCTCTGTCGAACATAAGATGGCTCCCAGTGCAGATGAAAATCCAAGAAATCAACAAGCATCTCAGTGTCTGGGTTTCTCCATGATAAACAAGAGCCATCACCAGCTATGCAAGAAATAATTCAGGGCGTCATATGGGACCAGAAAATAACAGAAAAATGATGTGCATTTCAAAAAAATAAACAAGGTTGAGACAGAAGAGTGAGTCACAGTCAAAACTGCTAAAAGGAAAAAAAAATAAAGAACAAAATCTACAAATATGTCCGCCTTACTCCTACATCTACCACCAGTCACACCAGCCCTTGAGTCCAAGGGGGAAAAAAAAGGCTTTCTTCAAGGTTCCAAAGGTGGAATTACATCCACACAGGTGGAATTTTTATATGTATATATATAATTTTGAAAAAGGAACTCAAAATGAAATAAAGAAACCTTGTGAGACAGTTTTGGCTAGACTATCTCAGTTAACAAAACTTCATATAACTTTATATTACATGCAATCCTCATCATACTGCCAATACCAGTAAAGTTTCCATTGTTGTTGCACAAATACATTCGAATGATATCATCATTTGGAAAGTTTGGCTCCATGGATATCTTGTTGCAAACTTTTATGTGCCAATTTTCATGTTTTCGCTGCTCCTTTTCCTTTCGATCCTGCCAGTCGAATGCTTTTAATGATGGCATGATTAATGAAAAATAATACAACTAACAAAAAAACTCAACAGAAGAACAGTAAAAATATACCTCATCACAGGAGGAGCAATTACATTTAAAACCCTCTGGCCTTCTTGTGCAACCCGGACCAGTAATAGTGCCACAATATTCACAAGATGATTTGAAATGTGCTCTTTTGCTGCCTGGATGCCCACAGAAGGAACAGTGAGAAGATTTTGACTTTGCTGGGCTCTTATCTGGACCAAGCATTAATTCATCTACAACTTTTGAACCAATTTGAAGTGAAGGAGTGCTCCCATTGCCGATTTCAAGTAACCTGCATAGAGAACAGGTTGGATCCTAGCTTAATGTCACATTATCACTGAGCACTATTTTCAAGTACAAAATGAATAATAATAAGAAGAAAGAAAAACTGAATTGGAGAGAGGTATAGAAGTGAACTGATTCAATATCTCGTCTTCACTGAAACTTCGGACAAAACGAAGAGCATTCTCAAGCCCAATCCCTTGCACACCATTAAGATCATGGTCATTTCCAACCAAAAGAGAAATAGCTATCAAGTGTTTCCTCTTCAACCCAAGACCAGCTTCAATATCTGATATATGGTAGCATTCAAATGGTTCCTGCACACAATGACAGTCATGTTTCGAAATTGGTAAAGAGCCAATTGAGAAAGCAATCTCGATTGTCCATTGCATTTGGAATAATAAAGAGATCTATATAACTACCCTTGCATGGCAGGAAATTATAGAAATTATGATTTGACGTTACTTCCAAATTCACCTAAAACTCACAGATGAGCAGAAGACTAACTACAAGAAACCTAAAATTTACTCTGGTATTACGCTTGAGGCATTTTATCACACATTTGGCCCCAAAAAGGAAAACATCACTGTCAGCTGTGATACAAGCATCCACATGGCCTTCGGCATTTAACTGAGCACACAGTGCTTCAGCTTCACCATTTGCTTTTAAAACAGGCATCCCAAATAGTTCAAGCAGTTCCTACAAAAAAAACTTCAGGGAATCAACTAACGATTACCATGCCCCAAATGGAATTAAAATTAAATCCAAATATATCTAAACAAATACCCCTAAAAATGCAAGTTCACTGATGAATACAAAAGAAGCACGCATTTATAGATTGACAACAACTAACCACACACTCTCGAACACATTTCAGAAAAGTCTTGTTCCTCTCCACCGAAACACCCTCTTCAGCCACTGACAAACCCGAAACATCAACCCCCGAAAACCGAAAAAACCTCGCTATCCTTGCTTGAGACTTCAACGGCGACGGAGTCCCATCAACAACGAAAACGGGAAACACCCCAAACTGACCAAAAAAAAAACTCCCAAAAAATCAAACTTCCTAGCAATACGGCCAAATCAAAACAATATCAACCAAGTACGTACTCATGAAACAACGTAAAAAACCAAAAAAGTATCACACTAAAGAATGATACTTTAAGGCCATTACTAAAAACCCAGAAAAGAATATCAAAACGGTTTCTAAAAAACCCACAAACCTTGGAGAAGAGATTTATGGTACGGAAGAAAGTCAGACGAAGATGAGGTTGTCGAACATGGGTTCCCTTAATAGCTGTTTCATGTTGGACTATCCAATAAGAAAGATCCACTGCGACTCGTTTTTCTCTCAAGTAATCGGGTCCTTCATATCGTGCATAGGGTTTTAGTAAATCCCAGAATTTGCCTCCAACACCCATATTTATTAGTTAATAATGCAAGTAGTTGCAAAAAGTACTAAAATTGAGGGTTTGGTTTCATTAAATAGACAATGTATACAGAATTTTTAAGGTTTGATTGCATGTTTTGCAAGAAGGAAAGGAAGCCGGAGAGTAAGCAGAAAGGGTGAAGTTTTAGCAACTTTTTCTTCGCCGTTATGTGTCGTTGTTCCGTTGAGGGCCCGTCATGTTCTATTTATAGGGGCTTTTAATGGATTTGCATTAGTCCGTACGGTTTTCGGACGTGTTTAAAGCAGGCATGGCCTTGGATCTTAAACAACGGTGAAGGCCCAACTCAACCTTTTAATGGATTATAAAATAATCCGTACAAATAGTAATGGAATCTTGATCCCAATTCAATTCTATCTTGATATAATTAAATATATTTAATATTAAAAAATTACAATTCAAGTTTGATTATAATATGAATTTATTAACTCATTTATTAAATAAATCAAATTTTGTGAAAGAATAATATAAAACATATATTGAGGTCTCACGTAATAGCTTAAATTTTTTGGTTAAATTCGAATCTTATCATCCTTATTTTCTCTTCTAATTAATTAACTACAAGATAGTGTGTGTGTGTGTGACCCTATGTAAGTTTCCATCCAAAAGGCTTTCACATAAGAAGGTGTGTTAAAAAATAATATAAATCATAATTTGAAGTCTTACTCGACACTTTAAGTTTTTCGATTGAAATGGTATTTCAACAAATCTATATATACATCGATCTGGTTTGATAATAATCAAATCTGAAATTAATATTGATATACATGTGTGTGTATCCCGACAGTTTAAGTTTTCGAGTTGAAATGATCTTTCAATAAATCTATATATACTTCGATCCGGTTTAATCAAATCGAAATTAATATTGATATATATGTGTGTGGGTGGGTGGGTGAGTGGCAATAAATTTTGATTTAGGATTTATTATTCTAAATGCTAAATAACATTCTATGCTTATGTTCTTCTTTTTTTACTATACATTAATGGATGTTCTTTTAAGCAATCGCATAATAGGTTTTTCTTTCATCCTTTCTCAAATTTTGCTTTAATTTTGTGAAAATTCTATAAACATGTGAAAAAAAAATTATAATTTATGATGTCTTGATCCAATGTAGATTTTTGTTCGTTTCAAACTTTTTTTTTTTATAAAGCACTAGGATTTTCTTTTATGCCAATGCAAATTGTACTTAGCATTGATATTTTTATTATTTTCTTTAATTTTGTCATGCTTATTAACTAATTTAAATTAATCATGATATTTAATATAGATTTTTATATTAATATCATTTGATTTTGTTGCTTTTACATTCAAACATGATTTTGAATGTAACCAATATTGTTTTAGAACAACGGAAAAATAAATTCGATGGATCTTAAATTCTAATATTAACTTGTTAGGATTCGAATCTAGATTGATAATTAAAAAACTAAATTTGAATTTATAAGATTCGACTTTATAAGTTTATTAAACAAATCGAATCCGAATCTATTATGATTCAATTGGAATCGACGTGTTACAATTCTGCGTCTAAAGAAGCAAAAACTAAGCACTACTTTAGTAGTGAGTTTTCAATACTACAGCACACCAACTATTGTCATGTATTTTATTTTTCTATATCATATAATTTTTTTTAAATATCCTTGTTTTATGATATACACTATTATTAGTTAATTATCTTTCCTTTTTTAAATACTCGTTTCCTTTTAAACAAGATTCTGTCTTTATAATTAGTAAATTAAGTGTTGAAAAAATTGTTTAATCTAAATTCATTGTGATCGAGAATAACTCTCAACTAATTGAAAATAAATAAATAACCTCAAGTTATTTGAACAAAAGTAAAATGAAAATTGAAAAATATATCATTATATTTATTTTTTCTTGTCTTTTCTAACTTTTAGTGCTTTGCTTTAAAGTGAAGCAATCAAAAGCGTTTGGAAAGAATTTTAAAAACTGATCAACTCCTCAACTTTCGAGAGTAGAAGTTTATTTTCATATAAACAGAGTTAAAAATATACTAAATTTCTTTTTCAAAAAAAAAAACGAAAAAGATGTTTTTTTAGATCGAAAGCTGCATATTTTAATTAAAAGATAAAAATAACTTTAAATATTTTTAAATTAAAAAAATATCAATAGTGTATTTTATCATCCTAACGTGTCTTTACACATACACACAATACTATTGCATTTCTTATTTAAATTATTGAATAGTTATATTTACTTTTGGAAAACTATTTAATGTTTTAATTATTGTTTCCTTTTTCTTTTCTTTCCTTATGTATATATGCACAACTATTGCATTTCTTAATTAAATTGTTTGGTAATTTTATTTATTTTTAAAACAAGTTGCTCATTTATTAAACGAGAAGATGCAACCAAAATTGGTTTTGTCTAATACTAATCATTACACCATATCCATATCAAAGATATTTGTCTCTCAAATTGATGTTAAAAACTATTAGAAACAACCAAATCAGTTCTATCTAATATCAATCATTACACCATTCTATCATATCTATATCAAAGATATTTGTCTCTCAAATTGATGTTAAAATTTTTTAGAAAGAAGAAAATAGACTATCATATTCATTCCTCCATTCAACTTGAGGGGAAAAAAAAACTCCTACTTATATAAACAACAAAAAAATACCTAAGGTTCGAGCTAAGTTTTGAATCTCTCAACCGACAACAATTATTCATTATTTTTTACATATTTGCAAACCACAATCTATCTTTATATATTGACTTAATCATTGAAAAGTCATTCAATTTACAAATAAAAAAATAAAAATAAAAAATAAAAAAAACTTGTTTTGCTAGTATTCTAACCGTTTAGCTTGATTAGGGATGGGAATGGGTGAGTACTCGGCTTATTAATTCAATTTTTTATAATATCTATCAAAAGAATACCTTACCCATTATTCATTAAAAAAATCATCATATAAATCTTTACACAGACTCATACTCTGTCCATACTAGTTTACGTACCTATTAAATACCTGCTAGATTTAATTTGTCAAAAATATTCATTTTAATTCTTATTATATTTAAGAAAAGTTTTTTTATATCCTTAATTTTTTTTTTTTTTGCATTTTGGTCATTTATTTATAAGTTTTTTGGTCCTTAAAGTTTTTGAAAAAAATATTTTGATCCTTAATTTTTAAATTTTATATAATTAAATTCCTACATGTTAATAAAAAGATACGAATAAATTAATTAGTAGGTATTGTTAGGGTAAAGACTTAATCGGTTATTGACTTAATCATTGAAAACTCATTCAATTTACTAAAAAAAGACTTGTTTTGCCGGTATTCTAACTTCGTTAGCTTGATTAGGGATGACAATGGGCGGGTACTCGGCTCATTAATTCAATTTTTTATCCTATCAATTAAAAGAATACTCTACTTATTATTCATTAAGAAATCACCATATAAATCTTTACAAATCTCATATTCGGTCCATATTAGTTTACTCGTCCATTTAATACCCATTAAATATCCGCTAGATTTAATTTGTTAAAAATATTCATTTTAGTTTTCATTATATTGAAGAAAAGTTTTTGTTTTATCCTTAAAATTTATTTATTTATCGCATTTTTGTCATTTATTTATAAGTTTTTTGGTCCTCAAAGTTTTTGAAAAAAATATTTTGATCCTTAATTTTTAAATTTTATACAATTAAATTCCTACATGTTAATAAAAAAAATATGAACAAATTAATTAGTAGGTATTGTCAAGTTAAAGACTTAATCATTTATTGACTTAATCATTGAAAACTCATTCAATTTACTAAAAAAAGACTTGTTTTGCCGATATTCTAACTCGTTAGCTTGATTAGGGATGACAATGGGCGAGTACTCGGCTCATTAATTCAATTTTTTATCCTATCAATTAAAAGAATACTCTACTTATTATTCATTAAGAAATCACCATGTAAATCTTTACACAACTCATACTCGGTCTATATTAGTTTATATGTCCATTTAATACCCATTAAATACCCGCTAGATTTAATTTGTTAAAAATATTCATTTTAGTTAGAAAAGTTTTTGTTTTATCCTTAAAATTTATTTATTTATCGCATTTTGGTCATTTATTTATAAGTTTTTTGGTCCTCAAAGTTTTTTTTAAAATATTTTGATCCTTAATTTTAAATTTTATACAATTAGATTTTTACATGTTAATAAAAAAATATAAACAAATTAATCAATAAGTATTAATAGAGTAAAAAATGGATATTTATACCCTTAAACTATATGAATAGATATATATTTTTTTATCTTTATCCATTTTAATATTTATTAAGTATTCTTAATAAATATTTATTAAGTTAGATAAAATGAACATCCGTTTTATATCATATTCATTGTTATCTTGAGCTTGATCTTCATCCACTGTTCAACTCGACAAGTGCACTAATTTTTTTAAAAAAAAATTGATCTCATCACCCTCCTTATCAACCCTCGATTCACGATTTCACTGTATAGCATATACACACGAATAAATACGCATATTGGCCTCTCCTTCTTCTCAAGGAAGGATGGAGCAATATGGGAGTTGACGAGAATGTTTGGATGAATAGGGGTTGAACCGACACTCAGCACATAGACTCCATCACTTGCAATCAGGATGACAACATTGGATCCTTCTTTGACTGGTGTCCACAGCTCACTTGGAAGTTAGATTTTGCACGTGTTTAGGCTAATATCAAGTGGCCACATGTACGTACGTGTCCTCCATTGCCTAGCAGGTTATGCAAATCGACAATTCACATATCTGAAACAATCTTGAGATTTCCAGTATCTTAAGGTTTGGACTTGAAAACATTGCAAAATAGGCGCCATGCTAGTTCTCGCACCCTTATGTATCCATGCCAGTTTCCAAGCCACCACTTCTTTGGCCAAGTTTCCTAATTAAGTTCAATTGTGTGGTAAGACCAGCGGCGCATCCAAGGTTAAGTTTAGACGAATTGTTGAATGAGGGTGATGATCAGCATTGCCGGGAATAACATATCTTTTTGTTTTATTGTTCGTTGTAAGGGAGATTGGAACTTTAATTAGGACATGGGAGCTTTAGGCTAAACAACAAAGAGCAGTCTTCTTTCATTTTGAGAAAATTAAATTGATTAAAATTCGAATTAAAGAACTAATAAATATATAATTATTATCAAACTAAGTCTATTTATGTGTCAAAAATCCATTTGATATCTTAAAATTTATTAAGTTGAATCTATTGATATGAATAAAGTTTTTCTAATTTATATTGTCTTCGTTTATGATGCCATCGAGACTTGTATTAGTTGATAGATATATTTGTTTTCTTTAAGTTCAAATAATCTAAAAGAAGATTGTGAAAAAAATAATTTTGAGAATGTATGTAAATTCGAATAGAGTTGAAAATAAACTTAAATACTTTTTATGGATCAACATTAACTTATTCAAACTCGTCAAATAACAATATCAATTCAAAAATTTAAGCTATTAAGTAAGTTTTTGAAATATAATTTATAGTATTTTCTAAAATAGCCTCTCAAGTAAACATCATTTGGGCTTCAAATTTAACTTGCACAAACTTGTCTTGTGCTTAATTAATTAACTAAAAGAAAAATGAGATGGTGAAATTCGAATTCATGACTATTTAGTCATCAAAGTTCTGCTATTGTGTTAAAAAACTATTTCAATCTAAAAATTTAAACTATTAGATAAAGTGCAAGATATGATTTATATTATTATTTAATATATATATATATATATACACACACATTATTCTAGCTTATTTACTTATGCATGCGAATATATAAATCTTGGCCATGTGCTGGAGTGGCACGAAACTAGTCATGGTTGATATATCCTTGGACGTATGTTGGATTAACCAAGTACAAATAGTAAGCAGGAAGAAAAACCATCTTAAAAGATTATTTGTGGACCAAATTAACAAAAAGCTCTTCAAGAATACGAAAGACTCGACATAGTGGCAACCTAAAATTCCGACAAGTATCTGACCCTTTAATTGAAGAGATCCCAGGAACAAAATCGATCATGTATTATATTATTATATTATATTATACTTTTATATTACAAGATATACTAAATGAAAACGAGAAAGTGCTGTAGCACTTTCCCTGTTCATTTACTGTTCTGCCCTCCTCTTTTTTTTTTTTTTTTTTCTGGCTGCTTTTTTCAAACCCTCTTTAGGCTTTTATTTTTATTTTAGTCCTTGATTTGTAATTTTTTTTTGTTTTGATCATTAATGTTTTATTATATTTGATTTTCATCCCTATAATAAATATAAAAATTTTATTATATTTGATTTGTATTCCTATAATAAATATTAAAATTTTATTATATTTGATTTTTATCCCTATAATAAATATTTTTTTCTTGATTTTTAGTAAAAATTTATGTCCTTTTTTTGTTCCTATTTTGTGATATGTTTTTATTTTAGTCATTAAAATTTTATCATGTTTAATTTTTTTCATATTTTTGCTTTTAGTGAAACTTTTCTTTCTATTATAATTTCTATTTTGTGATTTTTTCTTTGTTTTGTCCATTGAATTTAGTAGAATTTTATTTTTATTTTAGTCCATGTTTTGTAATTGTTTTTTATTTTGATTATTAAATTTTTATTATATTTGATTTTTTTCTTACAAGGAACTATTTTTTACTTTTAGTAAAACTTTTTGTTATGTTTTGGTTTTTATTTTGTGATCTTTTTTTTTATTTTGATCATTTAAGTTTTATTATATTTGATTATTATTCTTTCTACACTAAAATTAAATATAGTTTCACTATTCTAAGTTTTTTTTTTTTTTTTTTGCTTTTAGCAAAAAAATATTTTCCATTTTAGTTCTTATTTTATGATTTTTTTTATTTTGATCATTAAAATTTTATTATGTTTTACTTTTGTTCATGCCTTATGTATAATTAATTTTTTTTAGTCTTATTGTTTATAAGTTATTATTATTATTATTTTTTGCTTTTGGTGAATTTTATTTATTTATTTTGATCCTTCTTTCATGATCTTTACTTTATTTTTGATCATTTAATTTTTAATATGTGTATTTTTATCTTTTTAAAAAAAAAACTAAATTCTTGATTTGATAAAGCTTTTTTGTCTTTTTATCTTGAATGGTCTCTCTATCTCATTAACAAATTACGGATGAAGAATATATGGTAAAAATTAATCATATAAAATTCAAAAAACTACCATATCATTAATTTAATTATTAGTTATTATACATATTTCTAATAAAATACATGTTTATATCAAGCAATATCTAATTAGCAAGCACTATATTACTCGACTTTACGGACATTTCATTTAACTAACCTTGCAGACAAAATATGAGATATACGTTTTAGTTTTTTTTTTTTTTCATGTAATCCTTTTAAATAATTATTTTTAAATTTGGTATTTTATATGAATGAACACATAAAAATGTTGTATAGCTCATCCCACGAGTAACATGCGGGATATATGCTAGTATATACTATAAAAGTAAAATGTTTTTACTGTAGCAATGAACAGTGATTATCACTGTTCATTTCTGTCCTTTAGTTTTTTTTTTTTTTTAATTTAACTTTTTTGCCCCTGCACCTCCCTCTGGCTTTGTTCTGTACACATATGTTTTAAGGAACGTTATGCTATGTCGTTTTGAACTTTTGAAGTCCATGCACTGGCCTCCAAATCTAGACCCAGGCCCCTAATGCTACCGAGTAAGTTAATTACGCGCTGGTCTCTCTTGATTTTTGCAAATTAATTTTTGTTTTAAAAATTTAACTTAAAGAGAATTATAAACATTTTTGGATAGAAATAATTTTTGGCTTTAATCAAGATATTATTATAAAATTGAATCAAAATTTTATTTTAATTAAAAGCTCAGATTTTTAATTTTTCACTTAAATGATTCTATTGATTGATAATAAAATTCAAGTTTCATTGTTCGTAGTATCCTTGATAATAATAATATAATAAAAAAGAGTTATCTCTTGTTGTATTGTTTGAGGTTTGATAATCATCAAAAATACATGCTCACATATATATATATTGACAAAATGATAAATAAAAAATAAGAACAGATTGGAGGTTACAATTCACTGATTTTATTATTATTATTATTATTATTATTATATAAAAAATATGATTGATAAATGGTGCATTATATAAAAGTATATTGATAAGTTTTTCCTTTAACTTATGAATTCAAATTTATACTACTTTTCTCAGGCAAAAAATGATGCTTTTAAGTCAACTTCTACTAAATATATTTATAGTTCAACTCAACGTTTTTTTTTTTTTAATTTTCATCTGTTTACTGTTCACATGAACAGTAAACGGCTGGCCTCCCTTTTTTTCCCTAGACATTGAATTATTATTATTTTTTTAATTTCTGTTTCTTAATAATTGTGGGTGTTAAAATTTAAAAAAAACCAACAATTTATTTCTTCTATTATTTATTCCTAAAATTTAAAATATCTAATTTTTTTTTTGGTATGATCATTTTTTTATTTATGTTTCTGAAAAGTAAACGGTTTTTTTATTTTATTTCTGTTTCGAATAATGTTGGGTGTTAAAATTTTAAAGAAACTAACAATTAATTGGGTGCTAAAATTTTAAAGGAACCAACAATTTATTTTCTTTATTATTTATTTCTAAAGTTTAAAATATCTAATTTGAAAAAATAATGTTTTTTTCAAAAGATAATTATGTTTATAAGCACATACTATCATGTAACATAATTTATTAATTAACAATTACATAAGATATATTTCTAAGAAAAAAACATATATTATAATAAAGAATTTTATTACTCATAATTTGTCATTTATTACTATTTTCATTAATTTTTCATTTCTTTTAAATTCTCATCCAATTAATTTAAAATTATATTTACTCATAGTTTTGATTTATTTTAATATTATTCATCCAATCAATAAAAATTAAATTCACATTTGTTTTTCAAAAATCGATATTCTCATCAACATGAAATAAAAAATAAAATATTCGTTCAATTATATATAAAATTTTGATAATTGTTATTTTTGTTTTTTAACATAATTTTATAAAATACTAAAGCTTTTTTTAAATATTTAATTTTGTTTAGTTAATAATCCATGGATTAACAAGGATAAATTTTTTTTGTAAAGAAAAAAATATGAAAAACACAAATAAGAAATAGTTAAATACAAAATTTTTGATTAAAAAATTATAATTATTTTTTTATTTTTAATTTTATATATTGTTATAGATTTATATTATAAAACAGATTATTATAGTGAAATAATTTTTTTTAATAATTTTATATATTTTATAAAATATGTTGGGGGAATAAAAAATCTAGTGTGATCTAAGCCATAAGAGACCAGACAGGGTAACACAGTGTTGGCAGTTGGGACTTAACTACGAAAGTGATTGTCTCTTTAATTACGATCTGATATTCGAGTCAAATCACACACCCCTCCCTAGCTAAAAAAACGACATACCTCCTCAAGTACAAGACATCAATAAAACCTTAATAATCTTAATTTACTCTCTCCAAAATTTTATACTCCTCTTTTTTTAAAAAAACCATAAAATAGAAGCATCCGCGCTTCTACATTTTTTTGTCTCTTCCATTCATTTTTTTTATAAAAAAAACTTACATGAGCTTATTCACTTGCACGAGCTTCTTACCTGGAGATGCCCAACTAGAAGTTACCTCTCTCTTTCTTGTTTTTGCCCTTTATAAACCCTCTCCCTCCACTCCTCAATTTCCACTTCCACTTCCACTCTAATTTCTAGCTAAACTTCCACTTTCACTGCCTCTTCTCACTCTCACCAGCTAACCATTTTTCTCATTGATTTTTTTCCTTGTGCTGTTCAAAACATGGGTTCTTCCTATAATTCATGTTCAACCACAAACCTTAAACAAAGAGACCATTTTTCAGTAGAGCGCAGGCCTACACTGCTTAAAGATTTCCTCGTAGATGATTCAAATTCATGTTCCTTGAGCGGGTTCACATCATTTCCAAGAAAACCATGCGATCCCAAAACCCTTGTCGAAATCGATCTTAGAAGTCCAAAAAACATTGCTAATCCTACCAACAATATTGCGAGCTATAAGCTACTTAGAAGCCGTTCAAAAGCAGCAGCCTCAACTACAATCTCTGCATTGCAAGCCATGATTAACGCCGTCAAGAACATCCACTTCACTGCCATTAAGTCTCCCTCAGTTTTACCAAGGAGTCTCTCACGGAGACTGTCAAAAAAGAAGAGTCAAAACAAGCAAAGTGAAGTCAAAAACACAGTCACTGTAAAAGACATTATACGGTGGAGATCGTTTCGCGACATTGTCGAAGAGAAATCTCCACCTTTGCCATCATCACCCCATCATTGTACAACTACCACAACCGGGTCCCCTTCCACCACTCCTCGTAGTGGGTCAAGTTGGTGTGATAGTGATTTTACCTCAGATTATTTACCATCTTGGAACGGTAATTTTGATGAGTGTGGTGCGAAAGAGGTAGAAGCGGGTAAGACATTTTTACCATGTGTCGGCGAGGATTCTTTGGAGGCTATAGCAGAGACAGGAACATATACAAAAGTGGGCCCCAAGGTAAGATAATATAGTGTATCGCATCTTTGAAAAAATTTGTGTGTCTGCTGTTAAGGGTCTTGGATGTCCTAGTTTTTATTTAATCAGTGGTGACAATGTGTCATTTAGCGACTTGTGGTTGACTTTGCTTTTCTTGTACGGCAATTAGTTGCTTAGCTAGGGGCATGTCATTTAGTGTTGGAATCACATAGGACAAAAGAGAAGTTGCTCATCGCCCCTTTGCCCTATGAGATCAGATAGGTCTAGGACTAGGGACCTCTAGTTAAGGGCATATTGGCACAATTTTTTAAGAAGTTGCTAAGGTTACTTGGGAATCAAAGCACGGTTTACATGCCGGTGCATCTAATAACATTATCAGCATGGAAAATGCTAGGAACATTGTACTAGTAGTTGCACATGTATGATACATATATGTTGGCAATGGATCCTGAGATATGCTTAATGTCCGCAACATATTAGATTAACATATTCCATACGAATTAAAGTAATTAAACATAATAATTCAAAGTATGTTTCTCTAACACAACATGATTTTTGTCATGGTCGGATACTCTCACAAATATTCGACACATTATCCTTTTTACTTTAATCCATTATGGTGATTGAATGCTGAAGGGCTTCTTGTTTGGACATGGGTTTGACAATACCTGAGATTAATTACTGATTAATATCTTATCTAATCACTTGGGCGGCTGTATGAAAAACAGTGTTAGGTGATTGTTTAAGCCAGATAACTGTTCGTTTTGCTTAAGATTTATATGATTGAAAAAGTGTTTCGAATTAATGTTTCCATAGTCCATAAAGTTGTCTATATATGATACATCCTATCCTTGTTTTACTGACGGATAAATTGAGCTAATTTGGACTGATGCAAATCAACAGGAGGATGAGGAGGAACAACAAAATAGTCCTGTTTCAGTAATTGATTTCGAATATGAAGAAGATGAAGAGTCAAGCTCATCTTTTGATCAAAGCCTTGCCACTGTGGAGAGTATGTTCCCTTCTTCCTTAATACCTAGCTACTGCACCACTTCAAGAAGCACAAATGATGAGGCTTTGCTAATTCATTAATTAAGAAAAACAAAAAATGAGACTTCATTAATTAGTGCTGATGGTTCTTCTACCTGTCAAGCTAGAATATTTCTAACACGTTCATGAATTCTCATTCCAGGGACTAGAGAAAAGATTATGGAAAAGATCCGAAGGTTTGAGACTCTAGCCAAACTGGACCCTGTCGACCTAGACAACTGGACGTCAATTGACGAAAACATAAGCTCTGGAGAAGATGATGACAACGACGAAGACGTCGACCATGAGCTTGAAGGAATTGAAGAAACGAACACGAGTTACGAAGAAGAAGAATTGCCTGAAGTCGAAGAAAAGGCATGGAAGCTATTGAACCATGTCAAAGAATCTGGTCTAGAATGTTGCAATGACAACATGGACCTACTATTGGACTTCTTTAGAGATGAATTGACTGCAAGGACATATGAGTGGAAGAAAAATGGGATTGAAGTGGAATTGCTTAATAAAGCAAAAGCTTGGATAAATGGAGAAGACAGCTTATGGGCGGTTGGATGGGAATTAGAGCATAAAAAGGAGGTTCATGTTAGAGATATGGACAGGGAAGGCAGGTGGAACAAGTTTGAGGAAGAGCAACAACAGCTTGCATTGGAAATTGAGAATGGGGTGCTTGGTCTTTTGGTTGATGACCTATTGCTTGATCTCATCTCAAGCTGATGATTAATTAATTAGAAGTAATAATGTCTAGCTATTGAAATCATCCGGTCCATTATATTGGAGGTGCGCTGAAACTACTCCTCAATTGGCATAACTCATGCCCATGGTCTTTTGGGTATTTCTATAGTCTTGGTCTATCATAGAAATTTTGTAGTGAAAAAAAAAAAAATAGCACTTATTTTTCTTAGCAAAGGACCGAGAGGTTTAAATATTGTACGGTTAAATTTTAATATTTTCCTTTTGTAAATACACAAATTTCATTTGGTTATTGATCATTTGCTAATCTTGTAGAAGAACTCAACACCTACGGACGGAAATGGCCTCGGCTTGAATTTTTCTTTTGGTTATTCCTTTTCTAGTCTTAATTAGTCCACAATCTACGTACATAATAATAAGCTAAATATGTACCTTTTCTTAAGTTATTGGCTCCTTTCTACAATTGAACATCTAAATCTCAAGAGTGTGGGTGCAGAAAGGAAGGGAGTATTAAGTATTTATATATTTTTTTCTTTTTAAAAAGATGAATTTTATAGTTTTCTTTGTTTATAATTTTCTTTAAAATATTTTTTTATTATTTGTAATTAAAGGTAACAATTTTAAAAATTTCCTTCAAAATTTTGAAAGAATTTTTTAATACTTTTTAAGTGTTTATAGTTTTAAAAAATATATATATATATTTATTTATTTATACTTTTATGAGAAAACCTTAAAAAAAATTAAATTTTTTCTTTTAGTGAAAAAAATTATAACTAAAGAAAATGTTCAAAAAATTTTTTTCTTTAACTGATTTTTTTTAAAAAAAATTATTTAATTTTTCTTTATTTATGATTTGTTCTTTTACTGAAAAAATTATGTCTCTAAATTAAATTTGAACACGTTTCAGCTTACTAGCATGCCACTTGTCATAAACTAACTATTAGTGTGTGGGCCGTCAATGTTAATGGGGAGGTCTTCTTCACTTGTGGGCCGTGTCAATGGTTCCTAATTAGTATGTTATCCATAGTGACACGTACTGTGGTTATCGTTCGAGCCCAAGACAAGCCGAACCCATTTCTTTGCTAGCAACGGTTCATCCATTACCATCCATAAAAGACTGAAAACTAGCCGGTTAACAGATTTTTTTTTTTTTTAAATTTTATATTTAATTAAATTTTTAAAGTTTTTTTTTATAAATTTTCTACTTAAAAAATAAATTCATTCTTTTTTTATGCATTGATTCTTAAATAAACATTTGTAATAATTTAAATTGAAATATTAATTTATAATTTTAGAAAATAACTTTAAAAATATATATTTTTATAAAATTTTATCAAAAAAAAAATAAAGATACAATTAATGTATAAACTTGTATAAAAATTAATAAATAAAAAATAAATTTTTATCCTTAGCTAATGCTAATGAAAAGATTATTTTTTGAAACTATATGCATTTAATTTGTATATATATTTATAAAATAATCAATAATATTAGTATCAAAACTTGTATTTAAATAATTTGATGATTCTTTTTTAAAAAATTATTTTAATTATTTATTTTTTCAAAATAGTTTTATAATATTAAAAAATAATAGCAAATGGTTAATGTTATGTGTGTAGATAAATTGATGATTTAATATTTTTTTTTTAAGCTTATTATACCATGAAAGCACGAACTGTACATCTTTTAATCATTTGGACATGTTCTTTCAAAAATAGATGAAAAATACATGAATTAAGCTTATGATAACAATTTTAGCACGGGATCTATTTTTCATCCAAGATTCGAAGTTCATATGACATGTAGGATGTTACTTTGGATAAAAATTCAGATAGGATGACACGTGACAAAAAATTAAAATTTCAATTTAAACGGACAACATGTCAACCACTAATGATTTACAATTCTAAAAACTAACAAACCTAATTCAATTCATAAAAAACCAAATCTAAATCATAATTCAATTCATAAAAAGCCAAATTTAAATTCCTAATTTTCTTTTTTTATCTGTATGATCTACGAACAAACCCAAATCCTTAATCTTTTTCTTTTTTTCACCCAATGAATCTTCAACCAATACCTTTTCTCCTCATAAAGTTCCAAAACCAAAACTCACACTTGCATTCGTAAAACTTTCAAGAACCCCACGAAGAAGAGAAGAGGAGAAGGAACCAACTGATTTTACACTAGCTAAGTTAATTTAATGATTTATTTCTCTTTTTTATGTCTTCTAGGCAGGTATAGTATTGGGACCAACTGTAATGGAAAATTGCTCGGGCAGCGAATTCCATTTCTTGTTCCCTGTAACACCCAACCGAAGTCATTAGTTCATTATCAAGGATTGGTTACATTTTTTTTGTTTTCTTTGATGGAGTGCAAATGGACACAACCTTGATATTTATAACACATCATGCTCATTCAAATTTTCTTTTACACGTGAGTCAGCGTGGGGATAATTATTTTGGTCACAGAGCTCGTCGCTATTAGGCATTTAATCAAGGTGTCAACCATAAAGCTTTGGTTGAGCTCATCTCTCCGAAACAGATCCATATTGGTGCTTGGCAATGATGTTGATTATAATTTAATGGCCACTAGCCACGGACCATACACCTGCCTATGAAGAAGAACATTTAGAAACGTCTATATGTGGTCTGGTTTTTCTTTTTTCTACAGTTGTCGATACTTTTCTTGATGGGTTTATTGATATGTGGGATTTGGATTTTTATAAATTGAATTAGGTTTGTTAGTTTTTAGAATTGTAAATCATTAATGAGCAATATGTCACCCATTTAAATTAAAATCTTAATTTTTGATCAAGTGTCATCTTATGTGTATTTTTATCTAAAATGACATCCTACATGTTATGTCAAATCACATAAACTCGAAATATTAGATAAAAAATGACTCTCATGTTAAAATATTTACTAGAATAAGCTTATTTTTTATACACCATGGCTATACCAAGTGGATTTAGAGCGTGCGGTATAAAGTGACAAACATTAAAAAAAGATATCGGATAAATTATTTGAAACATATTATATATATTTCATCTTCGTTAGATTACATGATAAAAAAAAAATTGATCTTCATAATTTTTCCTAAAATTTTTTTAAAAATCAATTACTGAAAAAAAAAAAAAAAAAGAGCCTAGAAAGCACTTGCTCGTGCGCTTAGGCTTAGTTCTACGGCCCAAAAAATAAACTAGGCCTTCAATTTTTGGCAAACTGTGGTTTGCTAAAAACATAATCGGAAAGTCGAGCTTAGATTTTCCAACCTCTCCAGACTTATTTTCAACTCTATTTTTATCTAAAAATACCTCAAAATAACATTGAAAAATTCATTTTGAAACTCAGTAATTCATTTTAATACACATAAAACACACAAAAATTCTTATCGAAATAAAAAAAATTTAAAATATTTTAGGTTTTCAATATACCTTCTCTTACTATTTCATGGCTTATAATTAGTACAAACGGATACTACACTCCAGAGGAACAAAATGATTGTGAGTTCGACGATCAACGTGGCCAAAAATGGGCTTCATCATCACCTCTCTCTCTCTTCTCCAAGTCATTAAAGATCAAAATACAATACAAATGAAGTTTGAGATTGAAATAAGAGTTTCAGAAAAAATATGGATCCAAGTCATTTTTTTTTTTTTGACAAACTTAGTTTGCAAACAGTAAAATAAATTGGATAGTGTAAATAAATATGGGCAAATAGTGCATATGAATATACATGAAGAGTGAAAAAAATAGTATTTGCAAAGTGTTTTATGTTTTGTTTTAATTTTGTTAATAATTGTTTTATATTGGTGCATTTCTACTTGAATACATCGAACTGGTGTAAAAAAAATATCTTTAAAATCGTTGGAATTTTTTTTTTATATCTATAGACACATAAGTTAGTCCAAGAATACAATTACCGTGGTATTAGGAAAAAAAACTTATCATCATATCTTGCGCCAATTAATTAATTTTGACGATCTATTTAATGAGAGTGACTTTAACCGTTAAAAATTGTTTTGCCAAAATATATAAAAACAGATATTTTTGGCTAATGCGAAACATCCCACACATCCCAAGCGATGCAAGTCAAAATTGAAATACTCCAAAGTATACTATAAGCTTGTCCCGCAATTTAGCAAAGCACATGTAGTTTTTCACACATATATGGTGCATGTGCAAGTTTTCCCTATGCGCTTGACACAAATGCATGTAATTTGGATGCATGCATGCATCCTTAACCGGTCTGAAATTCCTCTTTCACTTACAACTATCCCAAAAAAATTAAAAAATTCCAGCATAGCTCATTGTGTCAACTTCAAAGATAGCGTGTTAGTATGTCTTACAACCTAGCCACATGGCTCATTTATCTTATGATAAAACAAATTCGGTACCCTTTTCTTTACTTGCCTGTGTGTGTTTAATAAGAAATTTTCAAGTTGGTTTAGTTGGTAAATTAATATATCTTCTATCCTATCCCTCTTTCATATCAATATTAGAATTGTGCTAGAATGTATCTGTTTTTAAATTTTTTTAGTTTTAGCATATATTATCTGTTTTCTATTTTATCAGAAAGGTAAAAACTAATCAATTTAACCAAAGCAATGGCTTCAATTCTTATCAGTTTGATAATCCTAGCAATTAAAAGCATCCCTTTGTGTTGTGTTAGAGAAAGCTATCAGACAAACGACATTAGGGCACCGGAATGCAACTAGTTGTGATAATTCCTCTTCCTCGATTCAAGAAACTATGAATTTGGAGCCATTTGACTGTTTCTGGAGTTGTATCTGAAATGTGGACCCATCCAGAAATCGGAATTAGCCAAGTGGGAGCAATGCATTTCAAAGCTCCAAAACGGTAAGCCAATAGACCCTGCCGTTTAGCCCATAGCTCGAGTGAATGCCATGTGGTCACCTGTAAAACGTGGCATTGCTGGCATGGCACTTTTGCTGCTAGTCTTTTGTAACCTAAACGGTCCTCAACTCCATTTTGATAATCGTGGAGGAGAGGAACCTTTTGCTTTACTACTTGTCAAGCAATGTAACGCTTCCATGTTTAGCAGCTTTTCTTAGACGTTACAGTAATAGTTCTCTGACTCCCTGCCTATGATATTTCTAGTTGCACTAATCATCCGCAGTTCGTCAACTCAAATAGCCCATAAATAAACCCACCATAATTTTTCAGAATATGGTTTAAGTTCCACCTTTCAATAAAGTACAAGAATTCTTTTTTCTCCGAAATTTCCAAATTCAACTGATAGTATTTATTAGTTATATGTTTGTTCAAGATTTATCTAATTGCATCTGAATTTCTTATCATAAAATAAACATCCTTTAAATTGATAAATAAACTGATGTGTTTTTTTTTAATAATTATACAGATTTAAACAACTTTTTTATTATTATATTCATCAAGAGACGTCCAAGCACATTTAGGCTACTTAATGTAAATAGCATTATCTTATGATATAATCACAAAATTTTTTTTAAAGAATTAGAACTCGAAACTTACTTTATTAAAAAAAACTATCTAAATACACAATCGATTGATTAAATATGTTTGTATTTTAAACATATATTCAAATATATAAATAATTATTCTTATATTTAAACAACGATTTCACACTTAATTAAAATCTTTTTTATTGGTTTTAGATAAATCCTTGGTATCTCCAAAGGTAGGTAAGTATTATTAGTTGGACCATATTGATAGTTTAAAAGTTAAATAAATTAATGAAAGTTTAATGAGGGTATGTAAAGATTTGACTTGTTAGAGAGAAGTGGGGTTGGCTAAGAGGTGGCCTCTCTAGTACATATTAGAGCGCCACGTAGTTATACGTTTGTTCAGGATTTATTTAACTTAAACTTGAATTTCTTATCATAAAATAAATATTCTTTAAATTGACGTGTTTTTTCAATAATTATATATACATGTTTAAACAAGCTTTTCACACTCAAACAAAATCATTTTTTGTTTGGTTTTAGATAAATCCTTCGTATATCTTTGTAAACAAGTATAATTAGTTGGAGTATGATAGTTTAAAGGTTAATTAACTGAAAGTTTAATGAGGGTATGTGAAGATTTTACTTGTAAGAGAGAAGTAGGGTTGGCTAAGAGGTTACCCCTCCAATACGTATATATTAGAATCCCATGTAGTTAATTATACGTTTGTTCATAATTTATCTAACTTAAACCTGAATTTCTTATCACATAATAAATATCTTTTCAATTGATAAATAAATTGATGAGTATTTCAATAATCATATATATTTAAACAAGCATTTCACACTTAAATAAACTCTTCTTTTATTGGTTTTAGATAAATCTTTCATATATCAAGATAGATAAGTATAATGAATGAGTAAATTATAAATTAGTCCTTCTCATTTCGAGAAACAAAATAATTAGTTCATTCGGTTTCAAAAATTAATTTTTTTTATCTTTTTGTTATCTTTCATTTATTTTGATTTTTTATTTTTAAAAATATAAAAAAATTATGAAAAAAGAAGATTTTTTATAAAATAAAAAATATTAAATTACTCGTGATCAATACTTATTAAAAAACTAATTAATTTATTTTTTTAAAATAAGAGAGATTAATTTATAATTTACTTTATAATTAACTAGAGCATGATAGTTTAAAGGTTAATTAATTAAAAGTTTAATTAGGCTCCGTAGAGATTTGACTTTGTCATAGAGCCCCATACTACGATGATGCTTTCGCAGTCCTGGTAATTGGTAAACACATACCATGTGGGCAGAGCTTTCGACTTCAGTCCATATCATGCCATTTAATGACTCTTAGGTGTTTGAAAAGTGAGACTCTGTCTGAATATTCAGCTACGTCATTCAATTACTATTTTGTGTCCTACACGTTGAATCTGTGAAGAAACTGTTGTATGTGCCCATTTACAGGTGATTTTTCTTCTTCTTATTATAAGAATATTTTCAAACTAATTTATATATCAATTAAAATTTAAAAAAAAGAATGATTTTAAAAACACATCTTCTACGTCGATCTGATAAAATAAAAGGTTGTTTTAGATACTCTTTATAATAATTTTTCATATTTAAAAAAAATATATGTCTATAATAATTTTTCATAGTTCAAAAAAATTGTATGATAACCTTAGTATCACTGTTAAATAGAAAAGATATATTATATATTAAAAAAAGTAAAAAAAATTACTAATGAAAATGAATTCCTTCTTTAAAGAAAAGTTACGAAGTAGAAAAAATTAAATTTTATGGGTCAATTAGAATATTTCAATATTTATAATGAGATCAAATTAGTAAAATCATTGAAAACTTTTGTTATAATCAACTTAATTTAGTAGTGGATTTTTATTTTTTCTCATCATCATAGAGAACGGATTTATCTATATATATTTTAGGCCTTGGGGTCATGGTACATGTATAGTACGTAAGATATTAAGCGTTAAAATATTAAAAAGAAAAGGAACCTTCGTTAATGGACTAATTTGTCAAAATTAATATTGTGTAGGAGCTGTTTTGTATTTTAGTATCAAAGCCTAAGCTGACTTGAAGTTATGAATAAAAACAAAATAGGCTAAATACAGAAAATACAATAAGAATCCAATGGTTATGATGGTACTGTGCCATGAATCTTACTACTCATCACTCATGCAAAAAGGTTTAATGCCATTTTTTACCCCAGAATTATTGGACTTGTGGCACGTTGAGGCTTATAGTATTAATTTGTTAGATTTTGATCTTAACTTTCAAGTTTTGAATAAATATTTTCACTCGTTTGATTTGATTGTTATAATTGACAAAAAAATTCATTAAAAAAATCAAAATTTTGATATTTTGAGCTGAGTTTTTTTCACATACAAAACTTCAATATGCTTTTCAAAATAATTTCAATTTTTTTAGGTTACGAAGCATTTTTAAATTTTTCCTAAACATCAACTATTAAAAAAATGAAAAAAAATCAGAAAATAATTTAGAAGGATCTCTAATTTTTTAGGAAGCCTAAAAAAATCATATAATATATATGTTTAGTCTTAGTATGATTTTCAAAATATTTGTATGGTAGAATACATAGCAATTATTAAATTTAAAATATATAAACTTTGAAAACCACACTAAAATTACCTATGTAAATTAATATGATCTTTTAGAGATTTTTTAATTTTTTCTAATTTACTAAAAAATTTATTCGAAAAATAAGAAAAAAAATGCTTCCAAAATTTTTTTATTAAAAAGCTTGAAATTAATTGTGAAAGCAAAATTGAATTTTAATTAGTTTACATGAAAATTTTCAGTTGAAAGTAGTCAATTTTTTAAAAAAGGGTTTTATCAATATTAACGATCAAATTAATTGGAGGAACAATATTTATTTAAAATATAATAGTTTAAAGTCATAATTGATTAAATTAATAGCATAGATCTCAATTTACCACATAAGATAAATAACTCAGTAGCTTAAAATCCAGTGTGGAAATCGTCTCCAAAGTCACTGGAACCCACCAGTAATCAATATGTGATCCGTACTAGAAAATCGCCATCAATCTGAACGGTACCAAACAAAAACTACGAAGGTTCGAAACTTTATAGGTCTGAACTTATATTATCCATTATTATTTATTTTAATCTCTTCGTACATTTACCATATAAAATAAATTTCATACTACTAAAAATTGCAATCATGTAACGAACGTGGAGAACAAACCTAAATTATTTCATCATTTGGTAGTATTAAAACAAACAATTATGAATAATACAAGGATATGTCCAAAACGACATCACGAGACGGATGGTAACATCCAATTAATCCTTTAATCAGAAGATAATCACATATATAATCCACATCAGATAATAACCACTCTGATTACTCCCTATAAAGGTTTTTCTCTGGAAAGTGTAAAAAGAAAATTAAGGAAATCTCTCTCCTCTCTTTGTATATAGCAGAAGCTATGTCTTGACCAATTACACTACCTTAATTAACAAGCATTACCTTTTTTTGTAGTTCTTGTAAAGTAACATGCAAATATCTACACAACCAAGTTGATCAACAGACTCCATTTTCAAGCCTTTGCTTAGTTTGGTTATAGCTTTTCTTGAGTTCAAAACGAGTGTGTGAGAAGTCAGAGAGAGAAAGAGAGATAGCGATGAAGAATGAACAGCAACCTCGGTCTTTGTTTGGAATTTCTCTTACCGATAGACCAAGATGGAAACAGTTCCTCATATGCTCTTCTGGGTTTTTCTTCGGCTATCTTGTTAATGGCATATGTGAGGTACTGTACTTGCTCTGTTTCATTGCATTTATACTCTGTTTGGTTTCTAGGGAAGTTGATGTAAAGAAAAGAAAACCAAACTTGGAATTCCAAATTCTTTTGTTTTTTTTGCTTTCTTTTGTTTCTGAGCAGCCAAACTGAGGTTAAAATTTGAATCTTTGTGTGAATGATTTGCTAGAACTGTTTGCTAGGACTAAAAGATTTCTCATTTTTAACCCACTGTCTAAATTTCAGGAATATGTGTACAACAGGCTCCAGTTCAGGTGTGCTTTTACCTTTCTTGTACTGTTTTTCTTTGGTGAAGTTTTTGATATGGTTATTTGTTAACGATTTGTTTGTTTTGTAATTCTAAATGACGTATGGTCTTCCATTCTTGCAGCTATGGCTGGTACTTCACATTTGTTCAGAGCTTTGTGTATGTTTTCTTGATTTATCTCCAAGGCTTTACTCCCAAACAAATGGTGAATCCATGGAAGACTTATGTCAAGCTATCTGCAGTTCTCATGGGTTCCCATGGACTCACCAAAGGGTCTTTGGCTTTTCTTAATTACCCTGCACAGATCATGTTTAAATCCACCAAGGTAAGAGGCAACTTCTATTTTCTTTGTGTGCTTGGCCAAGACTGACGATTCATGCCAAATACAGCCGAATAATAGTTTTTTAATCTTTAATCAGACTGATTCATGCCAAAGACAGCAGAATAGTAGTTCTGTAATCTTTGATTGCAATAGGAAATTAAATGAAATTGAACATTTTGTATTTAGAATTTGATTTTGTCTGCGATAGAGAAATGAGGCAGGCCACTAAAATGTCGGTTGTCAACGAGTCTGAAAATGGGTGCTTGTTTGATATTCTAATCAAAATGGATAGCAACCTATATGGAATCTTTAATATAATCAACCACCGGAATTTTCAGCTGAATTAATAAATTAAGCCATGAAAAAGACGATGTTGGCTGATGTTTGTCGTGGTCTATAAATTCTGGTCCCCCAGGTTCTTCCAGTGATGGTGATGGGTGCATTTATACCGGGTTTGAGACGAAAATATCCAGCTCATGAATATGTATCTGCACTACTTTTAGTCGTGGGTTTGATCCTTTTCACTCTAGCAGATGCAAAAACTTCACCTAATTTCAGCATCATCGGTGTTATGATGATATCCGGTGCTCTAATCATGGATGCCTTTCTTGGTAACTTACAAGAAGCTATCTTTACCTTGAGTCCTGAAACAACACAGGTGATGAGCATGAGCATTTCCCACTTGTGTTTCAATGTGAAAAAAAATAAAAAAGCAAGGACTTTACGTTGTTTTTTCCTTTCTATGCACAGATGGAGATGTTGTTTTGCTCGAGTGTGGTAGGACTCCCTTTCTTGGTCCCTCCCATGGTTTTGACAGGTGAATTATTCAAGGCATGGAATTCATGTTCGCAGGTAATTAAAATATCAAACAATTTCTTGTTTTTTCCAACTTAACGTATGGTCTATAATTTTTTATTATATATATATATATATGGTCCCTAATGTAAAAAAGTTTGTCCTTTTTGTTGATCAAGCAGCATCCATATGTGTACGCTGTGTTAGTCTTTGAAGCCATGGCTACATTCATAGGCCAAGTCTCAGTCCTTTCACTCATTGCCCTTTTTGGTGCCGCCACCACAGCAATGGTACGCTCCTCTCACATGCATTTTCTGTTCTGTGTATGAAAAATTTAAAGATGAATGTGATTTGAAAAAAATGAAGCCCATTTTAATGCACATTTGATGGAGCTTGACTATTGAATGAACATGCAGTGCCATTACTATTTTTATTGATTTCTGTATGACTTTTAAGGGTTGATTTTATCACAGGTGACAACCGCAAGAAAGGCAGTAACATTACTCCTATCATACTTGATATTCACAAAGCCATTAACTGAACAGCATGGGACTGGACTTTTGCTCATAGCCATGGGGATTACATTGAAGCTTTTGCCTGATAAAAATCCTTACAAGAGGAGCTCAACCTCATCCACTCAGAAGCCTAAGATTGAGAAACCCACTACAAATTACGAAGAAGAGACAGTATTTCAATTAGAAATTGAAGCTGAAGAAGATGAAGAGAGGAGGCCACTGGTGTAGAATTAAAAAGAGATTGTTATAAAATTTGCTTGTCTTTTTCTTTTTATTATTAAATGTGTGAATTTTTAAATTTTTCCTATTTAAACATTTATAGTAGATTCCGATGCAGACGCAATGCTTTGAGTATGCATGAACATTTTGCTTTATATATAATTAAATGTATTTATTGTGTTTTTTTTTTTTTTTGCTATTAAATATATGTAATTTAAAATTTATTAATTTAGTGCTCTTAATTTTAAATAGCTAACGAATTTCCACTTAAAATCTTATACGGACCATATTTGATCAAGTTAAATAAAAATAAAAATTTTAAACGACAAAATAGGCAAAACAATTTATTCAAACTAAAAAAACAATAATATACTATTTGTTCAAATAAAAAATAAATAAATAAACAGGAGAATAAAAAGACATTCTAAAGGATCACTAAAAACATGGAGACTTAACTGTAATATTCACGAGAGAGGGGACGTTGAACATGTTATTTTCTGAACCATATTGGTGTCCTAGAATCATTTTTTGTATGTTTTGTAATGTTTTTAAGCAATATTTGGGAGTGTTTGGTTAAATTAAAGATGAAATCAGCTTTATTTCAACTCTCCATTGATGTTTGATACTGTATAACTTTAGAAAAATAAACATAAAAAATCACTAAATTTCAATTCATGCTTTTATAACTCCTAAGAAACAGAAACAAATGGTTTGTGCAATAGCTAGATGCTCATTGCAGACAACATCTGCATTTTGAAAAAATCCAAGCCTCCTTTTTTTTTTTCCCCTGTTGGGTTCTTAAAAGATCAAAGCCATTGAATATATTGAGCTCTTTCATTTTTGGCTGATAACATGTTGACTTTCCACCACGTGTCAAAGCACAAACATGCGCGGTGACACGAACACTCTTGTCCTTTTCATTCTTACAAAATCATCAATCAAATCTGTATACTAACGTTAATATAGCAGCGAAAAGATCAGATCATAAACAATAAGATCTTGATATTGTCTAGTAGCAGCAGCATTGAAAGAATGGCTGACATTGCTGGAGGCACAAACACTACTACAAAGTTGCTAAGGGCAGAACATGGAGGATATAGAAGTGGGCAAGAAGAAGGAGAAAGACCAAGAGAGCCATGGAAAAGGAGAGTATGTGAAGAGTGTTGTCTATGCAGGACTTGATGCCATTGTCACTAGCTTTTCTCTCATTTCTTTCATCTCTGCCACTCAACATTCATCTGGTAATTAACTTTATCTTGTATAGTTGTATGTCTGTGTTGTTTATTGTCGTGTAAATCTTGATTAGTTATTAATCACGATTCTGCTTTGACCGTAGTGGATGTGTTAGAGCATCTCAAATGATGCTCTTTACTTTTAGCTAACATTTTTAATGTAAATAGAGAGCATCATTAATTATATAGATTGAAGATCAATATCCTCTCTAATGCTACTCTCTACTTAACTCTTTATTTTGACAAAATCTATAAAACTTAGAGAGATTATTGGTGAAGAGGTTGAGTGGCATAAGAAATAGTAATTTTTATTAATAAAATATAAGATAAAGAATTATTTAGACTCTCTAGTTTTGAAGAGTCAAAGACACTTTCTATATCAATTTTAAAGATAGAGATTGTGATAAAAAGAGCATTGGAGATGAAATTTGAATCAAATCTCTTTATTATAAAAAAAAATCTTAATATAAAGAAATCATTGAAGATGCTCTTAGTATTGGGATTTGCAAATCTCGTGGCAGATGGGATATCAATGGGATTGGGAAATTATATGTCTAGTAGCACTGAGAAGGATGTTGCTGCCAAAGAGAAGTCAGTGACAGAATGGGATGTCACTAACCATAGCGACTCTCAGAGGCAGGAGTTGGTCCAAAAATATCATCTACTTGGGATGGACATCAATGATGCAACCATGGTACAACCCTTCTCTTTTTCCTTGTTCAGTTTTAGGCTACATACAGATTAAGTAAAATTGAGAGCCACGGTTGCCTATTTGGTGCTAGGTAGTTGAAATTTTTGCGAAGTACAAAAACATCCTAGTAGACGAGAAAATGACTACAGAAAAAAGGTTGACACCACCAGATGAAGAGGGAAGAATGGTCTCATTACCTTTGTGGCCTTCCTTGTGTTTGGCTGCTTACCCCTCCTCTCTTTCATCGTCCTGATCCCTTTTACTAACAGTGACATGGTGAAGTTCATTGGTGCTTGTTTCATGGCTCTATTAGCCTTGGCAGTCCTTGGAATAGCAAAGGCAAAGATAACTAAACAAAATCATGTGTGGTCTGTGGCGATCAGTGTTCGCAATGGTGCCTTTGCTGCTGTTGCAGCTTATGCTCTTGGCTGGACGCTGAGGAATGTAGCTAATCTAGAAGACTGAAAACGCTGGAATTTTAGTCCTGACAAACATTTTTCCAAGTTAAGAAAGCAATGAAGCTAACTAGACTAGGAAGTACTGATTTTGATGGTTTGTACGAACTGTTCTCAAATGAAACTTCAATTATGAATTTTGCTTCTTCAGTAGATAAAATAGAGTTGGTCTATCAACAGCTCTATTATTCTTTGAAAAACAATGATCAAACATGATTGATGGATGACAAAGGTGGACGGTGAGCAAAACCGCTGTCCGAATTATGCCAAAAATACTAGTGAAAACCTAAATAATATGCCATGAATTTTGGTAAAAGAAAATCATAAGGTTTCACTCTCCTTCGCCCAAGGATAATTGCAAGGCATGCTCCGCCTCCTTCAGGAATAATCTGGTGAGTTGCTTTTGCCCTTTCCTATATACAATACTTGACCACCTGTTTCTGCTCATGAACTTGTAATGGCCGGATCCATCCGCTTCCGGGCTGTAGAAATGCAAAAGAAACACAGATTCCCATATAAATGTGCATGATTTCCCCGTTACAAAATGATGACTGGAAGTTTAAAAATGCAAGATATTGAGCAATGTTATGATGGGGAAACTACTTGGAAAGTTCCATGAGTACATAGGAAAACCCAATCAATCCCATACCTTTCACACTGTTCTATGTTTTTCACGTCCTGGGACTTTTCAAGTAGTTCGGTATCACAATCTTCTGTTCCAGAATTCTCTTCAAGATCCATCATCCTTGCATACAGAAATTAAATTTAATTTCTTATGACAGATCTCAGTCCCAAGTTTCTCAAGATTATATTTTATAATTGTAATTAGATGGATTTCGGCGCTTACTTAGTTTGAATAAGATCAAAAAGCAATTGTAGAGCTCCAGAATCTCCACAAGCCTCCCATACTGCTGTTCTAACTTCTGTATCTGTTGGTTGCCTCACCCCTTCAGACCCTACAAGCTTTAAAGCAAAAGCAAAAGGTTCAACTTTGGGCCACGTACGAAAGACTACATATTTTTTTATCCAATTAACAGAAACATGTCCTGTCTCCGGTCATAAATGACGAAACCTATAATAACCAGCAAATATAGCCTTGAATACAATAGACCTTCAGACATAGATTCAAAGAACCCATTCACTATAATGCCTGGGTTGCTAGAATAGCGGCATCATTTGAAAACTATTTTAAATTTATTCAAAGTATCATATGATAGAAAAGATGTGTCCGAAGAGAAACCGCACCTCTTCAAGTAACGAAGAAACCTTGAACAGCTCATCTTCCTGCATGGCTATGGTCCTCAATGCAGTCAAAAATTCCTCAGGAAAGACCAGCTTATTTATGTAGGACGGCATCCTGCGCTGACCACTCCAACTGAAATTGCAAATTTTCTCTGCTTTTCCCTTACCATTGCTATCATTACTTGCTGTGCCTGCTGGAAAAAACCCATGAGCCAGCAAGCGTTTAGGTAAAAGACACCGCATTTCAGCTTTCTGTAACGAAAACCAGTTTTATCAACAACACAAATTTATTTTGCAAAGGAAAACGGCAAAAGACGTAACTCTCTCTCTCTCTCTCTCTGGATATGTTAAATAACTTCAAAAGTTCTAAAATTTCTTGAATGAAAGCACGAAAACACACTATCAGTAATTAAAAAAAAAAAAGGTCATGAAATACTGACCTGTGCTTCAAGAAGCTGCATTTTGGAGTCAGCAAAGGGAACCTTCTGAATTGCTTCTACAGGATAATGGACCTGCGTATGTTACAATGCAAGTTCTCAGCCTTCATCTGTTCCTTACGATACACTGCCAGCATCTAGCAGAAAATAATACTTAACAGAGCAACATTTGAGATGCGAAATCCGCTTAAACACCCAAAAAGATCAGAAGTTAATTCTTTCACGTGAGCTGTACTTAAATATAGTCTTATTGACAAATGACCACAAATAAAAAGTGCACAAGCTAAAAAATTTCACAGAAATGGCATTACCATAAGATATTCATCTGGATTATTATCAATGACAAATCCATAAAGGTACAGTAACTCCTGCATCAAGGCAAAGTAATTGCTGTCACTTAAATGGATAATTGAAGCTTCACCGATGCTAGTGGAAGAACATTCCAAAAAATACGAGTTGCAGATAAAAAGACCAATATGTGTTGTGTGCAGAAGAAAATCGAGACAAAGACAGATAGCTGGAAGGTAAAATGCTCCAAATAAGAATATTTTTCATTATGCACCCAGAATGAAGCAGGAATGGAGGCACACTAACTTCCAATACAAGGATTTGTGGATCCCAAACTTATCTGAGATGGAAAATTTAAGCACTATATGCGATATGAATCATCAGCACATCCTTACGGTTAAAAAAGGATTTGCATGGCTGATAATGAAACAAAAACCATGATGAATGATAGGTAAGAAAACAGAAATAATAGCAGGCAGCTCAGCATAAAACATTGTGCTTAAGAGGATGCAATAGCAAAACTAGAGTGAAGCGGTAGATCAACAGTTAAGGCTTCCACAGATGAATGTAGAAAAGCATTCCCACACTAAATGATTGTGCCAAGGTCACATACGATGCGAAGTTAGATTACTAAAGACATTTTTGGTAGAAAAAGTATCCCCATTGAGTTAAAAGAGGTCTCAACACAAAAATTACCATTTCCCCTGCAGTTTAGAAAGATGAATCCAGATTATGCTCCCATGCACCATTTAGTATATAGCTATATGTAATATTTCAACACACAAATCATCTTGACGTAATAAAGAGGTGGTCAAGAGTTGGAAGAGAAAAACACAATTAACAAATATTTGATGCACTGTAAAGAAAAAATGGTTTTGAATGAGGTATGGTGCCACACCCTCTCAGTGCCAAATGGAAGTACCTCATTTCCCTTGTTGCCATAGCTGATGGTAATCTCTTTCTTAGTTTCAATGGGAGTTTGTTCAGCTTTCCGAGTGGGATGGGCAAAAATGTCATGAGAACAACAAGGTATCGCTATAATCAGCAACAGTTAAAATGCATAAAGTTTGGACCATCCATTACTCGTGTTTGATTTTAAGTGGTTTAATGGCAAATTTTGTCTCTTTTCTATTGCGATTTAGCAATTTTAGACCCTTGGTACCAAATTGCATAATTTAAACCCCAAACTATTAGTTTTGGGGCAAAATTGATTTAATTTCCTTAATTGTCATTATATCTAAGAGTCAATTAAGTTGACTATTACTTGGAACGCCAAAACGAAGTTGTTTTGGCATTTCATTATTAATTATGCTTTTAAAAAAAATATATATATATATATATATTTTAAAAATATTTTTAACTTTCCTAATGTTGAATTTTTTAAAAACTTTTTTCTTAGAAAATATTATAAATATTTTATAAATTATATAAAAAAACATTTTATAAAAAAATAAAAATTAGAGGGGTATAAAATGTTTTTTTATATATAATTTATAAAATTAGGAGGGTCAACTCATAATTATATTCATTTTAATATATAATTTTTTTTAAAGGGCTGAAATTGGGTATTGTTAATTGTGTTTTTTTTAAAAAAATATTTTTTTATAAAATGTTATGATATCCAGTGAGCATTAAAATGTTTATTATATAAATTAGAATATTTTATAAATTAAAATAAGCATAATTACAGATTGACCCCCCTAATTTTATAAATTATAAATTGTAAAAAAAACATTTTTTATAAGATGTTTATAATATTTTATAAAAAAAAGTTTGCTAAAAAAATCAAAATTAGAGGGGTTAAAGATATTTATAAAATGATTTTTTATACAATTTATAAATAATATTTATAAGGAAAAAAAGTTCAAGATTAAGAGGGATAAAAAAATTTTTAAACTCGCTTATAATAGCGGAATGCCAAAACGACATCGTTTTGGTATTCCAAGTAACAATCAAACAAGTTGACCGTTACTTATAACAAGAAATTGGATCAATTTTGCCCAAAAAACAATAGTTTGGGGTTCAAATTACGCAAGTTGATACTAAGTATCTGAAATTGCCAAATCGCAATAGGATGGAGACAAAATTTGTAATTAAACCAATTTTAAGTTAACACAAGACTTAGGCAGTAATATACACATAATCGTATTGGAACTGTTAAGAATACTACCAGAAAGAAGGTACATGGAGTGAGGAACTCCAGTAGTCAATCCTGTTCCGTCAACCTCCCATGTTGCCACTGCCTTCAGATCTAGACAGTCATGTTCAGCCAAATGACAAATAAATACAGAACATATAGAATGTTGTTTCATTATGACTGAAAATGAGGAACAACATTTAATATTTATTCAAGTAACCTTAAACAAAATACCAAGTCGAAGATAACTGGAATTATTAAACAACTGGCATACCATGGTTGCAAAAATCAATGCCAGGAACAAGGCCCTCCACCCAGACAGTCTCCCCTTGAATCGGTGTAGAAGGAACTCCATTTACTTGGCCATCAACTCCATGAACCTTGGATCCTGACATAAGAAGTGCCTTAGCTTAGTTTGATAGGAACAAGAAAATGCACCAGCAATTCCTTATTTAAGTACCAAATCAGGGGAAAGAATGACGTTGTAGAGAGCTAAAAACTGAAAACAATAATCTTACTTTCTTCATCCTTCCCATGAGTTAAATCTCCAGCAGAAATATCACTATGGGAAACCCTAGAGTCGTGGTTAAGTGAAGACTGACTCCCCTGATCCTCTTGAACTTGTGGAAATACATAAGAACGTGGAAAGGGAATGTTCAAAGCACGTGTCCAAAATACTGAATTTGCCCTAGCATGATGGAAATAGTGCAAAATTAGCCAATAAAAGTGGAAGGAACAAGTGTGGGCTTATGTCAAGGAAATAGTAAGACATAGGAGAAAATATCTAAAAAAAGAAGTAATTTCGAAGATACTTACCATAGGAAATCTTCAAAACACACCTCACTGGCAAAAGAAGCAATAACAAATATCAAAATCTTTTTGTAGAAGATGATGCCATTCTTAACTCATGTAGCATGTAATACTGGACCTATGATAATATGTGTGTGTCTAAATGCCTATGATAGCCCAGTTATGTACTTATGCTCAACCAGGAAAATACCTTCAAATGTTGCTGAAAGAGTTAAGGAGCAATTGCCAATTTGGAACAAGAGCTACTAGGTCCGGTGGCTGGGTGTTAGATTTCCCACCACTCAACCAAGGCTCAAACTTTGGTACGAACAACAAACAAACAAAATTGCCAATTCGGAAGCTGAGCTTACCTTACTAAATCCCCATCTAGAATTAGAAGTTTCTGCACCAAACCCTTTGCTTTGTCCTCATACAGAGACTGCAATCTTTTTCTCTGCAACATATAAATTTCATCAAGTGCCATGGAGTTAGTCAATGCACAATCATTCAAAACCAAAATATACATGAAATATACCAAAGTCCAACCAAGCCACCTAGAACTAGAAATGATGTTTACTACTTTAGGTTAACAGTAAAAGTAAGATCAAATGTTCAGATAAATCAATAACCACCATGTAATTGGAAGCACCAGCATGTTTTATGAATCATTATAATCATCATCTGGAAAGGGGTCAAAGAAATCAGTAACACCCAAATGGCAGTAAATGCTTCAAGATTGTGGGTGAAATTCCAAAATAGAACCATCAGTTGTAGTGACAAGCTGACAAACCTATCTTCTTGAACTGAAGCCATTATAAACAGTGTTATACACAACCCAGCTATCCAATTAGTGTAACACGGGACATGCAAAAACATATATGACCTGTAATTCAGTTGCTCGATACAGTGTTGTCCCCTTCAACTCCAAAAGCTCATCATCAGTAAACCAGAGTGGATTTCCAAAGGTGGTGGGAAGCATGTCGAGGTACCTAAAACAATGTCAACTGAATAAACCAGACCACCCAAAAGGAAAAAAAAAATTCTAAACCAAAAATAAGTTTGCATAATCAATGCATACGGTTTCCAAGATGAATTCTTTCGAAGGCGTTCCAACATTAGGAATAGAATCATCAAAAACCTGTCATCAACTTCTTCTTCAAACATAGCTCTACACTCAGGTCCAATAAGAGGATCTTGCAACACTCTCATGGGAGTTATTGCTAGATCTAGTGGAACAACAAGTAGAACACCTGAATTTTTCCAATAAAGCTTCTTAGTAAAATCATACAATTCGAAAATTTTCAAAATGAACAACATATGATAAGCACTGAATCTTTATGCTTTATTCCACTAGTATTCTTTCCACATGTCGTAGCAACCAAGCAGTCATTTTCTTAATATGACTTGCAAATAATGCCCAAAATTCCAGCAAAGTGCAAATACCTGCTAACTGCCACTTTGCTAAGTATGGTAAACATTTCATAATATCATAGTATCCAATAGGAATGACAGCCTCAATCTATCAAGTTATGTATAAACCTATTGTACAACCTCAGCCCCCCACCCCCAAAAAATAAAAGAATTTCTATAAACGAACCAATTCATTCACATCTGTATTCTGACCCCTTCAAAAAAAAAAAAAAAGAGTAAAAAAAGGTTTCTTACTTTTTCTGATTCTTTATTAAGAAAAAGAAATCAAATTCATTCATTAAAAGGAAAAAAAAACACCTTCATCAATCAATAACCAAGTAATATAATGGACAAACATGAATGTAGAGATTGATGGAAAGGTCTTAATTACCATCAGAGACATCATTATATGAAAAGACACCAAACCCTTTACTTTTACCACAATATTTGACGTTGCACCCTCTTAGTTCAACTTTGTTAACCTGAATTCAAACAAACACATCCCAGATAAAAATAATAAATACAAGGCAAACATAAAGAGAAATGCCATGTTATATATATTGGCTCGAGCCATTGAATATATGCTTGAGTATTGAAGTACCTCGAGCCATTGAAGGAATCCTTCGAGTTTTGCTGCTGCTGCTGCTTCTTCTTCATTGGCCATAGTTTGATTCGCTTTCGGGTTTTCGCTGAAAGTGGAATATTGAGCTTTTTGCCGTTTAAAACGTTGGAATAGAATAAGCAACGGAGCACGCCCCGTGCTGAATAGACGACGTGTCGTTACGACCTCCTGTCGCTGGCCTAGGCAAGCCTTCATGACTCGTGAGCGACATCGCGCTGTTCGTATTTTGTAATGGATGTATAGGATGCATCTTCAAATTTTTATAAAAAAAATGTCATGCGCGTGGAATTATTTCAATTTAATTAGATGTTTTTTGATAAAATTAAAAATTAAGTACCGAATCTATTAAGTATTGAATTTTAAGTACTATATAATTAAGTTTTGAATATATTAGTGACAAACTCGTTCGGTATTTATTAAAAATTAAATGTTGAATATAATAAAATTATTTGACAAGTACTCTTATTGAATATATTAAGGTTATACACATAATAATTTTATCTTTACAATTATAACGTGATATATTTTTTTAATGCAAACTCGGATTACGAATAGTTAACATGATTTTTTGAAAACCGACTATTTTTTCGATATTACAACTAACTCGAGCCACTTGGCTTTAGCTTGACTCCTCCCAATGTGAACACGAAACGGGATATGCCCTTTCCTTCTCTCTACTTCTCGCTTGCACTTCATTCTCTCCGTCTTTCCCCATTTTCCCTGCTCCATGGAAGAGGATCCGATTCCTTTTAGTTGTAATTTGCAATATTATTCATTTTATCAAGGAATTACTCCATTAAATCATTGTTCTAAGGTTTTGGAGGGATTCGTAGCGAGAAGCAAAACGAGTCTAAACGAGAACTTGCTGAATGCTTGACTTCTATTTAGAATCAATAGAGTTCTGCAGCTTACAAAATGGTACATATAACATTTGAAGATGAACAAACCTCGTTAGATTTGTGATGTAAAAGTCAAAAAATTGACTTATGCCGCTTTTGCGAAGAGCAAACATGTTAATCAAAAATGAAAAAAAAATATTTCAATTGAAAATTAATTTATATGTTAATTTTAATTGTGAAATGACATATGAAGTGCTAACAAAGAATCTTAATTTGCATCATTGATTCATATGGATTGAATTGAAACTAAAATGAAAAAAGACTTTAAATAATACCGATAACAACTTAAGACTTATAAAAATATACAAGGGTCTGTATAGTATTTTTTTTTTTTGTCCGAATCCCTCTTTTGATTATTTCGTATAATTACAAGAAATCGATTTATAATTATAAACATTCAAAGTTTCTACTTCTATCGTAACGAAAATCTTAAAGCAAAAATGTTTTACTCTTTCTTGTTCATGACAAGCAAAACCTCCCCACCATGACTTGTAACAAAATCCAAAAATCTCTTAACATCTTCGGTGTCTTTAAAGATCCTAGGATCGGAAAGATCACTATCCAAGTTATACCAAACCTCACCAATCTTTCTCATAGCAATCCAATGCCTACTCTTCAAAGCCCAAGCATACCGTCTAACCGGAACATTAAGCACAACACCAAACAAACCGTCATCGACCCTATCAAGATCAATAGTGGAATTTGAATTACGTCGGCTATGCCGTACAATAGTCTTATCTTTCTCTTCAAGAGTCGCAATCAAAACATTAATGTCATAATTTCCAATAAAAGACTTATAATGAGGCTTAAAGACTATAGATAATGGTGTCCATGTCTACTTTTTAGGATCATTAAGAAGAAGCTTTTCGATAATTTCATTCAATCTTGCTCGAGTAAACGCCTTCGATGCTCTAAGAGATTGTTAAGAGCATGTAAGAGGCAAAATTTTAATTTTTGCTTCTCATGATAGATTTCAATCTTCTTGTTATCCATATCTCTTTCGAATTACAAAACGATCAAGTTGAAGGACAATTTCAAATTTGGTCTTGATGTAGGGTTTTTACTTTTTAGTTATAGTCACTTTAATTTGCAAAAACCAAAGCAGTGCAAATTACATAAGGATTATATAGTCACATTTAAAATATTTTATATATCTTTTAACTAAGTGTGGTAATAAAAAAGTTTTAAGTTAAAAAATTTAATTTATCTAATTAAGTAGATTTTGATTTAATTTAAATTTCAAATATCGGATTATTTAGACTATCAAACAAACTTTTTATATTAAATACTACAACTTAATTTTTTATGTTACTTGTATAGGTTATCAAAGACTAATTTTTATATATATATTTATGGATTGTTTAAATATTTTAAGTCATTTTAAAAGAAAAATATTGATTTAGGTGTAAACTGATTAAAAATATCCTTGGTTGATGATAAAAAAAATTATAATGTGATTGCGCTGATTTTGCTTTAATTTTTATTATCACAATTAAATTTAAAGAAGTTAGTTTTGAACATGGTAATCCATAAATCAAACGAATTTTGGGTGAAAATTCAACATGCAATCAAACATGTTTTAAGGTATGAGCAATGTATGTTTGGATAGCAATACGTTAAATAGAATTGCTTCCTTAGTCAATTAAGAAAAAGTTATCAAGTTCTAATATGCATTAAAGAGAAATTATTGGTTCCGCTCTAGCCACATTTCCTTGGTAAAATTAGTGGCATACTAATAAATCATATAATGTTTATAGCAATCACTAATGTTAGTTTAGTGATAAGTAAATTGATGTATAAATAAATTTTCTATTAAATATACGTAATTTGAATCGAATTAGCCTTATCTTTAATATAATTGAAAAAAAAAAGGTGTGGAATGACTAAAGCAAATAGTTTATAGGCCACTACAATATGAGATGTTTTCAGTTTGGATGGGCTATAAGGTTTCTTGTCGGTCCGGGCTCGCTCCCACTTAAACCATGATAGGATGCGAATGTCGCATGGCAAGTCAAGCTTTCAAAAGTTTGCTATATTTGCCGATAAATTTCACAATTGCTTATTCTCTCATTCTCATACAACAACGTCTTCTTCCAAAGACTAAAATACATAAGCTTTCAAGGGCCGTAACCCCAAACATATCAAAAGTATTATCGGCAGTATCTCACATTCTAAACATAATGAATGTGAAAAAACCAAGACTTATGTTATTTTATAATCCAAATAATTATTTTTTCGAAGCGAAAGCTTACTTAACTAAATATTTAGGTTGGTATTTTGTTTGAAATTAAGAATAAGATTTTTTTTCAAAATAAATTCACTTAATAGGAATAATCATTATAATTTAAAATTTTATAGAGATTTCGTTTCATAAAATATGCAAATAAAACTCATTCTTGTAAAATTCAATTTAAATATTTTTAAATAACACTTTGAATTAAGATAAAACTATTTGTCTCTTTAATTTCCTTCAATTAATTTTATATAATTTAGATTAATTATTTTAGTCATCAATGTGAATTAATTAATTTTATCCTTGATTCATTTAACAAACCAATATAATAAAAATCCTATTATTTTGCTAAAAATTCAGTTTTATAAAAAAATAATCAATTTGGTTTTAATTAATCAATCATCATTTAAAATACAATTTCCCTTTAATAATAAATCTTATTTTTATGTCATGGATACGTTCAAATTAATAGAAAAACTTTAACATTGAAAATCCAATTAATTAGCTTAATTAAAACCCAATTTAGTCAATTGGAAGCTAAATAATTTATTAAACCCTTTGGAAGTCTGTCTTGGTCCGGGAATTACCAATTCCATTAATTATGCTACATTAATTAAGCCATTTAATATTTTTAACTTGTATGTGAAATAAACCCTTTTATTAACCTAAAGTCTAAATCCCATTTTATTAAATTAATGTTTTTTTTTATCTAACCATATAGCTAACTTGTCAAACCATCAAATTAATCTATAAACATCTCAAAATATTTATTTATTTATTTATTCACGTTCTAAATCAACAAAGTACTTAAGCCATTTAAGATGGAATGGATCAAAACATGTATTATATTTATAGTACACAATTGGCAAACTCCTTTCTTTCCAGACTTCATCATCAACTTCTCACCGAGTCTTCGCATGTCAATAAATTACCTACATCATAAGAAAACTAAATGAGTCTACGCTCGGTAAGTATAATCATGTATGCATGATGCAATGAAACACATTTTTATGATTTTTGAAAAACTTTTTATGTGATCAAACGTATCTTGCCACATGTATATATTTATTCGACCCTCCATGAAAACCATGACTATGAAAAACACTAGACATGTCCTATGTGAAGCTTCGTGGTTTTGGATATGTCTAGCCATTTTTCTTAAAAAGCATGCACTTGACTTTGTCTTTGAAAACATGAAACATGATGAAAATCATTTTATGATGTGAATGTAATGAAATATTTTACACATGACTTGTGAACTTTGATTAAGCTAGTAGGCCGAATGTACCTACTCATGAAACATTAAATCATTCAATCATGTGGTATCGAGCAACAACATACTAAACATATCAAATAAAATGAAACTTGCATAATCAACCAAATAACACATGAAAACAACATTAAACCATTCCAAGTGGTGTTGATCGAATGATCATAACATGAACACAAATTTGAACTAAACATGTATCATTAAATAACTACTTAATAATAATTTACATAACCATTTTACATGAATAAACATCAAGATTAAAAAGACGATCATTAGGCCGAACTAGTCAAGAACAATTCAATAACCAATTCAAACATGTAATCAATTAAATAACACATAAATTCATTCCTAAATAATCATTAGCCTATAACTAACAAAACTATCATACATGTGAAAATCACACCAACTCATTAAAAAATTAGACTTGGCCGAATCTACTAAGAACAAACCAAGTCAAATCCAAGCATAAATCCATTTAAATTCCACTTAACAACATCACCATGTAATTACATAATCTAAATCTAACACAAATGTTGAAAGAAAAACATTTTATAGAGGTGCGAAATAAATAAATAACAAAATTCTTTTCCTTTATCTAAAATCTTAAGATCATATTGAATCATATAATTATATTAAGAGATCATTTAGATCATTATCTCTTGAAGTGCAATATCAAGGTAACAGATTGAACTCGTTCAAATGTCCGATCTCTAGTGAAAATTTACGCAGCCTTAGACACCGAAGACAAGAGAAGCGACAGAAGAACAAAGAGTGCTAGATCCAATTACCAACACATTTTTTTTTTTTTTTTGTGGCTTGATGCATCTTATTCTATTTATAAACCTTATATCATGTTTAATGAATTTTTCTCAAAAGTTCTAAAAAATGTCATTCCACTTAAAATACCCCTTATAGGCTTTCAATTAAACCTATGGGCTCAACACCTTGGGCCTAATGACTTAGCAATCAAATGGACCATACAAATAATCGAGTAATGTATTTTAGGAAGACCAATTTAGGAAACTATTTTTTAAATTACCCCTATTATTTTAAGAAACCTAATTTAGGAAACTATTTCTTAATATTTTAGAAAAATCAATTTAGAAAAATATTTTATGAATTATAGGAAACCCAATTTAGAAAATTATTTTCAAAATTCTTTTAGTGCTTAAAGAATTGAAATCAATTATTTTAATTCCCATTTTCTTTCATAATTCTTCGTTTCTCTTTATTCAAATCAATGTTAAGCTAATGCGTGTGAATCAATAGGCTTCTAAATATGTTAACAATGTATTGAGAAGTAAGACACAATTCTTTTATCTCTCGATATATAAATCAACATTGACTTCTAACAAGGCATTATGACTACTTAATTATCAAGAAGAATTATGTAATTCTTAATATCCTTTCATGAGTATGGTTCTTATACAATTCGGTTCTCGTATCAATTTATCACGAGTATGATCTTGAACATGATTTGGTGTCCGTTTGATTATGATCACTAAATTTTTATTCGATATTCGAATATCTTAACTCTCGAGTAAACCAATCATGCTTATTGGTATACTTCCACTGTGGCCATAGATTATTGAATAAACATTCATCAAAGTGTAATGTGATAACTCCTTTAGCATATAAGGAATAATATGTCCAATCTTAGTTATCCACCTATTTCTCTTAGATTCTTGATGAACCCAACAAATTGTCCACATATAGCTCTTTTTGAGCTAATCGTCACGAATGTCAAAGCATACTAATCATCTAATGAGATAACCATGATAACTTCAAGTGAAAATAGTACTTGTACCCATCTCATATGAGATTTTCATAGATTATACCAAATGAGTTCTCATGGCGAGTCACGTTCGATGATATATTCTCTAACATTACTCACCTATGTGGTTGCTTAGGTATCACAATACCGAGTAGATGTGAGATCTCCTATTGCTATCCTATAGTAAGAGCACGACATACATAAGACTTATCGCATATTATCAATGTCCAGTTTTGATAATATTATGACTTGGGACATTTAATGATTTCATTTAAGTATATTGGTGTTTGTCTCATGTCTATCAATTAATCATCAAAGCAATAAACATCATACGAACTTCTATCTAATTTAATCAAGTTATAAATAACATGAATTAATATAAAAACTTCTTTTTTAATAAATATACAATGATACAACATTCATACCATCCAAACGAGTTGGATCTAGGATACCTACACTAATAGATAACAATACACATATGAAGATTACATCAAAACACCTAAAAATCAGATTTGGCTGAATCATTACATCAATCCTCCTAAAATCGGATTTGGCCAAAGCTTGTCAACAACCAACTATTTCATAAATTCAACATAAAACCATCTAATATCACATAAACTTATATCCAAATAATTTCATGACTTAAAACTAACATGATTATCATACATATACGGAGGTTTCATAAATTCATACCAAAATTCCCACTTGGTCGAATATATCCAACAATCCACACTAAATATAATAAATTAATAATTTCATAAATTCAATATCCTTAAAGCTCCTCAGTCATGTTTTAAGCTAAATCCAAATTTTAATCATCGAGTAAAACTCATGACCCATCATAATCAAATATGAATTAACATCACATATCCAATGATCAATCATCATCTTAATCAATAATCAATTAATCAAACATGATCAATCATTAATCAAACAAAAACATATAATAACCCTAAAAATGTTTACACCTTGTGATGTAGTTGAGACAATCACACTTACTTGATGTTAGTTTAGTTTTGAAATCACTTGAATTTCTCACCAAAACCTAACCTTCTTCCTTATAAGATTTCGACCCAAGTCGTCTAGATTTCCTCTATTCTTTCTATTCTCTATCTTTCAACCAATATATTCGAATATGGTATGCTTAGCAAACCAACTTCCTCTCTTGCTTCCTTTTTTGTTTCCTTGAGATTTTCAAGGTTAGAGTCCTAGGATTAAAGGCTTAGAACTCTCTCTCTCTTTTTTCCCTTTATTCTTCCTCTTATTTTCTATCTCGGAGCTTTATTCCCCCTTCTCATCCAAATCAGTGTGGGTCTTTGTATTTTTGAAGTTTTGCTTGATTAAATTTTGCCCAAACTTGGCTTTGTTCATCCTTCCCTTTTTTATACATAAATTGTTGACTTAGTGGGACTAAAAATTTCTCCCCCTTTTCTTATTCCTTTTGGCCGAATGAGAGCTTGAAGTTTCCTTCTCTTTTCTTTTTTCTTTTTGGTCGAATGAAGTGGTATGGGAGTTTAGGATTTTGCCACTTAATTGGGCCACATGTAGGTCTATTTTCCTCTCTTGACTTATTAAATGTTTCTAAATTTTTGGTTTGCTTAATATTAGAATTTTCTTTCCTTATTTCTTCCTCTTATGGCGGAATATGTTGAAGCATGGAAGTTTAATAATTTTGTCACGTGTATAAATAAATAAAGTTAAGTTCTAAGTATTATTTAATTAATTTGGATTTTTTTCTTTGTCCTGACCGAATTAATCAAATGGAATGGATGAAATTTTTATCACTTAAGTAATTATTTAGATAGTCATCTTCCATTCTTTTACCTAATTAATTCTAGATAGTTTCATTGAAATTTCTTAAGTTCACACTTGTAACTTCAAACTTCCTAAGTAATTCCATGAAATTTCCATGTAACTTCCTAAGTCAATCTTTATTTTCCTATCATATAATTTTCATGAAATTTTCTCTTGATTTCCATACATCTTTCATGAAGTTTCCTAGCAATTTCCTTAGACTTTTTATGTAACTTTCTTGAAGTTTCCTAAGTCAACATTTAATTATTTTATTGTGATGTTAATTTATGCTTAACTTATTCATAACCCTTCTTAGCTAGCCGAATTTTCCAAGTTCTTTAAGTTGGCTTGCTTTATAATTTAATCAATTAACTTTATTATTTTGTTCAATCAAGTCCTTGTACACTTGTTGTGTTACATGATTTAAACTTGCACACTTAATAATTCAATCACAGTGTACAACATCAACGCATGCATAAACACAATTTCCTTACTATTATAAAATATTAATTGTATATACTTAAATACATATTCACGCTTATATATATAAGTGTATAAAAATGTTTAAGATTCGAGGGTGTTACAAAATCTATCTTTTTTGTATTGATAATTTTTCTTCCTTCCTTCCGTTTTGAGGTGGAATTTCTAGATTGGCAAAGAATCACTAAGATTTAGTAATATTATTGTTTTGATTTGTTTAGCTAAGCATGGATTTTTTTTTCTTGAATAACTTCAATAAAAAAGTTAATAAAATATATCTTTTGAACTATCATTTTTATTTATTAATAGATCGAGAGTTTTATATGTTTTAAAAGAATTTTAAAATAATATTTTAATCATCACTTTCGACAGACCTTGTAAAAATACTTGTTGTGTGTGCAATTAATTTTCGACATCTTTTTATTATTTTTGAAACAATTAATCATAATATATTTCATTAGAAGCCTAGCTTACAAATATGTAATTAGTTTTTGGGATTTTTTTATTTCTATTTTTTAATGATCGAAAATGTTCCCTCCTTTTTTGCAAAAGAAAAAAAAACAAATTGTCAAGAAAAAAGCTACCATAGTTTTAACAAAAATTAAAAAGGAAAAACTATTTTGCAACATTCTGGCCATCTTATCAAATAACGAGGATACAAAAGAGAGATGAAAAATGTACATACAAAAAGAAAAGATACGTGTATATATATATATATATATATATATATCTTTGCTAAAGATGATTATTTATTTATTTATTTATTTTTTGCGTGCTAATCAAACCATAGTAGTCGCTAGTCAACCATTGGTCAAAATCACCGGAACTCCAATCACTGATAACAGCAAGGCCAGGAAGGGACCAAATTAAAAACAATCATTAGCTGCAACCCAAAAAAAAAACAAAAAGCAATCATTAGTTTAGGGTTAAGAACCTGTGTGCTATTTTTTACCAGGGGTTAATTCGATTCAGCGATAAAGTTCAGGGGCATCATTTGAAACAACCCTCAGTCAACTACCCATCAGAGTTCCTTTGTTTTTAAAGCAATTTTAGCTGGCGTACAAAACCCATGTAAGCGCGAAAACATCATTCTTTCTTTATTGCCGCCGGTTCTTGTAAGACTGTTGTCGATCTTTCACTCTCTCCGAAGAACGTCAGCAAGAAGCTCTCTCTATCTATCAGGTTTGTCCGCGTATCTCTCTGTCGCTACGATCGCTCGGTCAATCGCCTCGTTTACCGCGACGATGACGAAGATGGTGATCGGGTTGAATTATGATTGTCCTTGGTGGATTTTTAGGGTTTCTTTTTTAGATTTCCTTTTGTTTTTAATATCTCTCGCTTCTGGATCTGCAATCAGATATCGCAATTGTGTATTTAGGGTTGGAGATTATTTGTCAATTAGGGTTTCTCGAGAGTGGGGATTTTATTTTGCCTCTTATCGTCACGACCAAGCGTGCATCAAGAAATTAGGATCAAACTTTAGTGTTTTTTTATTATCTTGATGGATTTTGCTTTAGCTTTTAATTTTATGGAGAAGTCAGTGAATTCTGGAACGGAAGAATTCGGGAATCAGACTCAAAGAGTTGAAATTTGGGATGATTTTGTTATAATTTCTTCGCTTCTGGTTAGGGTTTTCAGTTCTGACCGTGATCGTGGTCTGACAATAGCGAAAGACTCTGGCTTTTTGATTCATATGAGATTCTGTTTCGATGTATTGTTTATTTCTGTTCTGTTTCTCTTCTATAGCATGGACTTTAAGACCTTGACTGTTCGTAGTCATACACGAGTTGGAGGACGAGGAGGAGGATCTGCAAAAAGCAATGCTGTTTGTTATTATTGGAAAGAGGGGAAGTGTAACAGAAATCCCTGTAGGTTTCTGCACTCAGATTCACTGGCCCCGAATGTTTACCATAGAACTTTGAAGCAGTCTCAAGATGCAAAGGTCCAACTAAAGAAGACTATAGGAGCAATAAGAAGCGATAAGAGCAGCCCCAGTTTTGGTCACGAGGACTTGCCAAGGAAGTTCCCCAGCTATACAGCTAAAAAATCCTTTGTTTTGAAAGGTGTAAACAATCAGGAGAGCTCCTATCCTCGTACTGAGGATCCAAGTAAGAAGTGCCTTGACCAAAAGGATGTGTTGGTTTCATCCACCAGAGGCAGTGGATCTGATTATGGAATTACTCAGAATTGGTATGATTCTACCACTGAGGCAGTGGGTCTAAAGAGGCCAAGAGTTCAGAAGAAGTGCACTGAAGATAGCCCTGACCATAAGGAGAGCTCCTATCCTGGTACCGAGGATCTAAGGAGGAAGCACCCTAACCCTATGGCTGCGTTGGTTTCATCTACCGGAGGTGGTGGATCTGACGATGGAATTACTCAGAATTGCTATGTTTCTGTCACTGAGGCAGTGGGTCTAAAGAGGGTAAGAGTGCAGAAGAAGTACACTGAAGATAGCCCCAAGGATACAGTGGTTTTGACCACTGAAGATTCTGTGTCCAAAGTTGAAATTCCTCAGAAGGACCAACTAAAGGCTTGTGAGCAATGGATGTTGGGCAGTTGTGTTGAAGGCAAGCGGTGCCAGTTCTTGCATTCATGGTTTCATGGGGTAGGGTTTTTTATGCTGGCAAAGCTCAGCGGGCACATTGAGGTAATTATTATGATAACTTCTTCACTCTTGAGGGTGTTGTTCTTTTTTATGTTTCATATTCACCAATACTTGAGTGGGAAAAGGTTGTACTTGATGCCTAAATGTAAAGATGTTTCTAATGAAGCAAAGTTATGTCACTATCTCAAATCCATTTACCAGAGATTTTGATTAAGCAATGTGTGTAATGTTTTTAAATGTGAAAAGAAAGTTAAATTGAAGATTATGTTTGGAAATTCATTTGTTTCAGTCAAAGTTAAATTGAAGATTATATTTGGAAATTCATTTTGTTTCAGTCCTTATGAATTTCATCTTTAAGCAGGTAGAGGCTATATTTGATGTTGGCTGATGTTTATTTATTGTTTTATTTTGCATGTCAGGCTGTCTCAGGAATTGCGCTTCCTTCAGGATCTGATAAACTTTATTCGGGCAGCACTGATGGAACAGTACGCATTTGGGATTGCCATACTGGTCAATCTGTCAGGGTGATGAATCTTGGTGACGATATTGGGTCTTTAATCAGTGTGGGCTCATGGGTTTTTGTTGGCATGCCAAATGTTGTTAAGGTTAGTTTATATCAAAATTTGATTACTTCATTGAGCTAGTTGGTCATGGTTCTGAGCTGAAGAGGCCTTGTGTGTGTTCATGCAGGCATGGAACATTCAGACAGCAGCTGACTTTAGTCTTAATGAGCCGGTTGGGCAAGTTTATGCAATGGCTGCTGCTCGCAATATGCTCTGTGCAGGGGCGCAGGTAATTAGTTTGATTACCATCTAGGGCTTTGTTAAAGTTGTTTATGTTTGGTCACTCTCAGCACAATGTTTCTCAAATTAATGTTTGGTTGTCAAGGCATTAATACATTTAGCTTATTATAGAGCACCAGTTATCTGTATGTGTGTCCTAATTCACATTCTTCAATTTAAGGGGATATCACTCTAATATAAGTTGTTTGGTCCTTGCATTTGCAACCAGTGACCATAATCTAGCTTTCAGTGTAGAATCTTATACGTAACAATACATTCTATTTAATTTCTTTTATTTTCTCATTTTGCAGAATGGTGTTATTTTAGTTTGGAAAGGCAGTACAGAGAAGGCAAATCCTTTTCAATTGGCCACATCTTTGGAGGGCCATACAGGTGCTGTGAATTGTTTGGCTGTTGGAGCTAAGTGGCTATACTCTGGTTCTGCAGACAGTACAATAAGGGTAGGCATCATTATGAATTTTCTCCCTTTATTTTATACTTAGTACTGATTTAGTGTAGAAGACAGCATTTGTTGCTATTCATCGACTCCTTTAAACCTTATTCCTCGAAGTCAGTTGATTCCTTTTTTTTTTTTTTTGGGTACGCAAAAGCATGGCAATTGGATCATTTGAATAATCTTTGATGGGGTGAGTTGTTCTGTTTTACTGCAAGCAATCTCACCCTAAGTGAAGTGATACTTGAGGGTCTGTTATTTAGAGTAATCTTGACTCTAATAATTCTCTGGTTCTTTAGAAATTATAGAGTTTAATTGCTGTTCATTTTGTTTTTCCCCTGATGTGTGTGAAGTTTATTTATTTGTTTGTTTGTTTGTTTTAGGTGTGGGACCTTGATACTTTACAGTGCATTCGTACACTGAATGGGCATGCTGATGCTGTGATGTCCCTTGTTTGCTGGAATCAGTATCTCCTGTCATGTTCATTGGATCGAACAATAAAAGTGTGGTTTGCCTCTGATGGGAGCAGTTTCGAAGTGACCTATACACATGATGAGGACCATGTAAGTTAGTTCCCAACACTTCTTTTATATTGTTGTTTACTGTCGAGTACACCTCCCTTGTCAAACCCAATTGGCCGTCACAGCTTCTTTAGATTCTAGGAATTTACATTATAAAATTTACAAGAGGTTGTATGAATGTCGTCCCTTGCTGGTGCTGCTAAGACTATGATGAGAAGATGAAGGTGTGTTTTGATTTATTATGGGAAGTTGTGTGCTTGGTTTTAAACGCATTTGGGCTATGACTTTCTTGTTTTTCTAGTTATACAGAATTTTTCAGATTGCTGGGATCCAAAATTCAATTGGAAGCACGTGTGAACATTTTTCTAATTTAACTGTTTCTGTGCATCCATGTGTGTTCCTGAGATGGTCCACCTTGTTCAAGTTACATTTTATTTTGAGTATGGGGATGGATCTAAGTTGGGTGAATAGAGCATCTCTTCCTTTCTACAAATCAATTTCAACTCATATGGACATGCAAATTGACTTGAACCAAGTGAACTTTATGTGAGGCATGATTGGATTGTGACTCAATACCAGCATACCCCCCTACATCACATATCCTTCAAAACATTCTTCCAAAGACACTGTATGATTAATCTAGATCTGAAGTTAGGTTAATTTGGCTTAAATAAACGTATTTGCATGATTGATAGCCCTTGCTTGTTTGCTCTGCCGGTTTTTTGATATGTCCACATCTTGGTTGATTTTTTATGCTTCTATTTGGCAGTGTTTGTTTCTTATCGGTTTTTCCATGTTAATGATTTTACTGAACTAACTTGCATGGACATACGGGCTTATTACAGGGTGCTGTTGCTCTCTGTGGAGTAAATGATGCAGAAACCAAACCAGTTTTGTTATGCTCTTGCAATGACAATTCTGTCCACCTATATGAGCTACCATCGTAAGTGTACTTCATTTGCTATAGCTGCTTTCTGTCAATGGATACCCTATCTTTGGCACCCATTCTGATTGTATCTATTCTTTCTTGATTCCAGATTCAGTGAGAGGGGCAGGATATTTTCAAAACAAGTAGTCAGAACAATTCAAGTAGGTCCAGATGGCCTATTTTTCACTGGGGATGGAACTGGTTTGCTGAGCGTGTGGAAATGGGCTGAACACAGAGAGGCTTCCTAAGGAGCTTTTTTCTTTTTTCAGTGGCTGCCTGGCCTGTAAAATTTGGTCGACCCAGATTTTGGTTTTGTACAGAGGTTGAAGGAATAGATAAGCAAGCTTCTCTGTAGCTTTTCCAAAGCTACATAAGATTCCATGTAGGACTGTATTCATATTGTGGGGTTCTGGAAATAATTGTCGAGCTCTATCAAGATTTGATTAATTATCTTTTCATCAATGGAAATTTGTTCCTTCTCGTGCCATCTCTATATATGTAGGTATACATGGATTTGATTGTAATTCGTGTTTTTTGCCCCAAGATATCCTCCATTTTTCAAGGCAAATTCGCTGTTACCTTTTTGATATCCATGAGGCCAAACCGATACGATATTTCAAGTGGGATCTTAGCTGAAAACTTCTGTTTTGCAAAGAGTGGTTGCAAACTGATAACTTCCGGAGAAACTAATGCGTGTAGGGTTTGGGGATGTCTGGTTTTGCAAGTAAATCTAACCCCAAAACATAAGTCGGTTGCAAGTCTAGAAAATCTATACCACTATATCGATATCCAATTTATTACGGGATGGTTTGGGGTTTTTTATTTTTCTTTAGAAAACTCAACCGAACTAAACATTAAACAAGCGTAAAAGTCGTTTTATATAAAGAAGCGTTTTGAAGGTAGTTCCTTGGCTCATCAAGAAGGTGACTCACGTAACACAATCGTGACCATTTTGTCAAGCCCCCGACAATGCGCACCCCCTCCATAAAAAACCGCCAAAACTGACTGACCCCTCTTTCACATCTCACCCGTGCCTCATCAACTCAACTGCCTATCTTCCTATAAAATCCCCAACATCTCCATATCTTCCTTCTCCATCTCTCTCTCTTTAATTCTCTCATGGCTTTCAAGGTCTCAAACAAGCCTATGTTTACATTAGTGTCCATAGCTGATGCAGCTACATGGTACTGTGCCCTGGTCCTTCTTGCCCTAATCTTGTTTACTTCTTTAAGAGAGGCATCTCCCACGTACGATGATGATCATCACTACGATGTTGTTAAAGGCAATCAACTATTGGACCGAGCGTGCAATGAAATTTATGTTGTACAAGAAGGAGAAACCCTCCACACCATCAGTGATAAGTGTGGCGACCCTTTCATCGTGGAGGAGAATCCTCATATTCATGATCCTGATGATGTTTTTCCTGGTCTTGTTATCAAGATTAATCCTTCAAGGTCTAGGAAATTGTTGCGCTAGTTTTTGTTTTAATCTTCTTGGCTTCTTTCTTAATCTTTTCTCATTTAATCAGTTTTTGGAATCAGAACGTCATGTAAAAATTAAATAGCCATCATTAAAGTCTGCTCTTGATTAATTTGTGCAGTTGAGGTTTCATGTATAAATGTGTGTTAGGTTTACGTACGCATTTATTGTGCAATATTATTAGAAGGATTGGAGGACTTATTTGCAGGGTAATTGGCTACGTATATTAATTCGTACGTGTTTGAACAAAGTCACCAAGTTAAGATGTGCGTCAACTGTAATACATATTATGAAGTTTATTGAACCAGAAATTAAAGGAGTTTTGAATAATAACATTCCAACTCACCAAATTTGAAGAAATATAGTTTGACTATATACACAAGACATATTTTTCAATTTATTGTATGGTTATGTTATTGCTATAATTCTTCCGTAAAGAGAGAAGTTTTTAATTTATTAAACCTAATTAAATTATACGATATTTTTCCATCTACCCTTATGTGGGTTTCAAAAATTGGTTTAACAAGATTTTTTTCTACATTATTTATTATTATTATTATTATTATTTGGTTTATTGTAACACCACATTAATTTATCACCCTTAGTTTGGTTTGAGATTTTTCCCCCCTTCAACTTGTATTCCAAACATATGAACCGCAGATCAAGTCATCGTCTAAGTTATTTGATCACCTTATCTCGAATTTGAAAATTTTGTTCTTTTTGGTGATTTGTAGGAATGATCTAAAGGTCAACTGATTGAAATTACGAAATTCAACGTAGGGTTGTTATTGTTAGTTGCAAAATTAAAAGGGGTTTCATGATCATGATTCTCAAATAAATAAATAAAGGGATTAGTCATGATCAATCGGATTGATGAAGAAGTTTGACACAACATTGTTTCTACATAAGTGCTCGACGTTAAAGGAAAAAGTGCTGCTACATGACATCGGTGGTGTTAAAAAAAAATTATCATAATTTTATAAGGATAATGATTTTTTAGAGAAATACAAAGAATGATACTTTATTTCAATATGTATTATGTCATTTAACATTTTTACTTTCTAAATTTATCCTTAAACTTTTTTATTTTAAAAAATGATATTTGTCACCATAGTATCATCAAGCATTTTCGTAAAAGAAAAAGAACTTGAACCCTTTGGATTGCTTTTCAATTTATGTAAAATGATATTCGTAATAAAATAATATGAAAAGGATAGATGATGTAAATGGTAGGCTTAACAACTAGTGGCTGCTGCTTAAATATCTATTGAGATCATATATTATTATTATTATTATTGTTATTGTGGAATATTATATTATGTTGAATGCACCTGAAAAGTAGAAAATTGTATCTTCCCAGCTAAAGCGAGGCCATTTGGTACATTTACTGGCAATTCTCAGTTGGTCAGTATTAAGGGTCAATGGTAAGTAATTGATATAATTGACAAGAGAGAGTATGGAAAACGTTAAAAGATCAGAAGTACCCGTAAAAGGAAATTGTAAGTTTTGAACTGAAAGTCACGCATTTAAGGACCCAAGCTTTACTTAATCACAACTACCAAGCAAATAATACAATAAACAAATTAGAAGGATTTTTTTTTTAATTATAATAAATTATTTGGTACATTAATAAGTTAAGGCATGCATGTTGAGCCACTTTGCTTCTTCTTATTGAAGTCCCTCGCATAAATCTGCTACTAGCTAGTGATGCTTTATCCCAATTCACAAAATAAAGATAACACTTCAATTGGTTCCTAAAAGTCAAGTTGGAAATTGGCAGCACAAGTAAAGTGGCACAGACACTTGCACCTACAAGTTACCAACAATATGAATGGCATTAGCAAGTTCTAAACATACGAAGCAGACATTGGGGGTGGGTGTTTGAGTAAAACTACCATCTCTAACGGGTTATCTTTCTTTGACTGGGGTTAATGGTCTTGAGTTGGCATTGTTTCTAATGATGTAACTCCTGAAGAAAAACCAATTTAGATGTAGTGCATGGAGTTTGAAGACAAGTAAGTTTAGTGGCAGATGTGGAACGTGCAATTAAACACTTGGTTGGTTTTCCAAAGTCAAGATTGGCATATGGACTAATCAGCAATTGACCATCGAACGACTTAGGTAATTAATGACCTAACTAATTGCCCATCTTTTATAGGTGATTGCCTCCCTCTGCTACATGGTACTGAGTTTGAAGCCCGTCTAAAAGTAAATACCAAAATCAAAGCTCCCTAAGAGCCAGGGCCTTTATTGCCACCTTGTGGGCAGCCCAATTTCAAAGCAAATAAAGAGCAAAGGTTTCTACCATGGTCGGATCAGTTGGTTTGTCGAAGCAGTCAGCCCAGTCACGTCTAACAAAATTTGTTGAGCAGTCCACTGATGGTTTTTTTTCTCAAAAAATGGGTATCATTGCGAGCTTTCCATATCATCAAAACCATAAATAGAAATCAAGGTTTTCAATATCATTTCGTTATGTATAGTATATTCGAGATGTTTCGTATCACTTGAGAAAAATGAAACAATTATTCATGTCTTTTATATAATTTAAATCTTATTTTATACCATTCGAGATGAGTTGAAATAGATCAAAATACTTGAATTAAGTATTTTATAAGTTATTTCGGTCTATTAATTAAAGAATGATTTGTCATTAAAGTTTTTCACCATTTCATTTGTAAAATTAACTACATTTGATTCAACTTAATTATGAATATTTTTCTAATAATTTTTTTTGTTTGATATTTATAAAAATTTAATCTATCGATCAACTAGTAACACGTTTTTTTTCCTTTTTATGTTGCCTTGAATATCTTTAAAGTAATTTAACTATATGTTTGGATGATATATATATATATATATATATATTCTAAAAGATGTGTTAATTTAATAACATTATAACCTAGTGCATATTTATTTGAATAAGTAATTAAATGTTATATATAATCATAACAGATATAAAAAATAAATATCTTTACATATATAAAAAATTACTCTTTTCATTCATACTTTTCTCCTGAAGTTTGAAATGTCTAAAAAGAATTGAAAGGTATTGGTGCCTTTGATTGGATACTAGCGAGAATTTTCGATAATTAAAATGTAGAATTCAAGTAATAATTAGTGTTTTAACAATTCGAGCAATGCTATGAAAGCTGACCTGAAACATTTTCAAAAAGCAATACGCAACTGACCGCTTTTTTTCGCAAAGTATGCGAGGAGGTCCTTAATATAATAATAAGTACAAATTAATATTTTACATTTTGATAAAACTAGTCTTTAGGTTCATCAAGAAGCTCGCTAATCGTTATTTAAGTTATACAGAGGACGTAGCTTAATTAATGTATAGAGTTAATTAGTGATTTAAAACCACTTCTTCAACAAAAATAGTTATCCACATGCTTCATTTGCGGGTGACAAATTCTTTGAATCTAAGCTAACAATGCATACTGCTGCAACAAATCTTCGCAAAAATGACAGGGCAGGATTAAGATAGTATGATTATGAAAGCCATTTCAACTAGAAACTATTAACTTGACAAAGAAAGCCTGATTTTTTTTTTTTTTGTTCTTTAAGAGAAGGGCCAGGGTTGATTGGACTTGCAAATAAAGATGATGTCTAATAAAAATGTCATTAAATGGCCCTTTTCATGCAGTTCATGATTTAAGAACAGCAACGATTTTTGGATATTGTCGATTTCAGGATTTATTATTATTATCCTTGTGGTTTTGGTGCACCAAATCCATGATGTCTCTTTACAGTATTGTTAAGGAAACTGCTCACGATCACTTGCTACTACACATTCAAACAACACAGAGGCCCTTCTAAATGTGCAATATTTGTAGTTGACAAATTAAGCACTTGTGCAGTGCATGACCCACCACTGAATTATGACCACTTCGAGTCTGGCCAATGAGAATATGGACTTTTTGCCTCGACATTGAAACCACCCATTCGGGCTTTGCTTGATCGCAACGTGACCCAAATCTTTCACCCCACAACCAGAAATTATCCTTATCTTAGTCTTGTCAAGCTTAATCTTCACCTACGCGAATGGATCTCAAAATCATTAACTTTTATCGTGATTTAAAAACTCTCTCTCTCTCTCTCTCTCTCTCTCTCTTTTCAAGACAAGTTATTTTCAGACCAATACATTAAAACTAATTCATCCCCTTAATCGGGTCTAATTAAATCTAAGTTGGTAAGCTTGCTTTAATCGCTTACCCTATAGTCTATACTTGATTTGATGGCATCCACTTCTATGAAAGATGTTTTTCTTCTTTAATAAGAGTATTATAAGCTGTTTTATGAACCTAACAAATTGCTGATTGGATGACATACGATACGACTCTCCACTTATGAGCATATATTTATAAATTGCAGCCATATATATGGCATATCTTCCCTACCTTTGGATTTTTTAGACGTTTAATATACTTAACATACGAAAACAAATAAAGATATTAAGAACAATTAATGTATGGTATGTTTAATTTTTCATACTTGTGCTTATTAATTATCCTGGACACTCGTACAATGGAGGAAAAGATATGGCAAAAAACCAAAAAAGAGAGAGATCAGTGTATATCATTTGGCCAATGATAAATAGAGTTCTCAAACAGTATATTGTGGACCATATATCTGGGAAATAAACTTGTGAATTCCCATGAAACAACACACCAATTCTGCCATTAATGTTTCCTGTCCTTAGCAAATTAGTTCAGAATCTTGGGTGACAATTAACAGACATGCAAGGTGAAGATAATGTTGTACAAAAAAGAAACCTTTGACAATCACATAGAGCCAGACAACTTTTTATTAGGTAACACGTCGCTCGTTTAGTTAATTAAACTGCCTATGGGACGTTCTTTTACTGCAACTTTAGGACACACTTTATTTTTGTACCAAAGAATATGCCATAATAATGTAAAAGGACACGATAGCTCACTCTTTCCATCAGTAACATCAGAACATGCAGCAACACTTTCCAATAAAGTGGTCTGCGATTTTACAAATTTCTAGCATAGGATCATTAGGTAATTATGATTATAGCTTATTTTTAAAAGCTTTTTGTGACCCTTCGTTACTAGAAGCCAAACTAAGCAAGCGATAATATGCCACGTGTAGCTTGTGGTCGTAGTAATGCTTTCCCTGTTCTCTTTGTTTTTGGTCGATGTGCCTACTACCAATATGACTCCATGTGAAAGTCACGACTGCCATAATGACTCTTTCTTTCGTACGCTTTCTTGCTCCTTCCAAAGTGCTACAAATTAGGTGGAAGGCAGGTTCGGTATCCAATTTTCAAGTGTGAAAATCTTCATCACCACCATTCTGTCCTCCTCGCCTCCAAGTGTTCAGGCTGTAAGTTTTTACTGTTTTAAGGGTTTTGATGCCATGCCATGCACCTTTTCTACATTTTCATTGTCTCGCATGCTTTGAAACAATTGTGCTTGTATTGTCTGACTGTTATAATTAATTTCCAACTCAGGCACAGGGATTTTCAGTTCTATGGATCATTTAGGAGCAGAAAGTGAAGGTTTCGATTTTCGAAAGTGATTTTTCTATAGATTAATCTCTCTCTCTCTCTCTCTCTCTCTCTCTCTCTCAAAGATTTGGGTTAATTAATTAAATTCAGGGCTTTTCACACAAAAATAGTAGCACTGCATGAGTCAACAACACAAAAAACACGTACCACCTCATCCATGTACTTCCTCATCGTGAGCTTCGTGTATATAATTATGGAAACAAAAAATATCGTAATAAGTATATTAATTTTAATTTTTTTAATCAAATATATCAATTTTTATGTTTTTTTTTAATATTTATCAATTTTTTTTAAAATATCAGTTAAAATTTTTATTTAATTTTTCATCTAATAATGATATAATAGTTAACAGAGAAGATTAAACAACTATGTTATTTTTTTTCTCATCCTAAATTATTATTATTATTGTTTAATTATTAATTAGAAAAACAAAACAACTTATTTTTTTTATATAAAAAATAGCGAAACAGCTTAATTAGAAATCTTAAAATTCAGTCGGAAAAAAAGAACAAAGAAATTTCATGTAAAAGCAGTAATTAACCCAGCAAAATACACCACACTCAAACATATAGGGAGTATAGTTCTACTATGAAATAAGAAAGGGAAAGGGAAAGGGAAAGGGAAAGGGAAAGAAAAAGAATTGGTAGGGGTACGTGGCAAAAAAGAATCCCTTCCGTCTCCACGTGCCCTCTATAACCGTTCCTCGTAAACGCTCCTAACAACATTACAAATTTCGCGCGATCTTCATTTCTTTCTGAGAGACGCAGTCTCCCACGCTTCTCTCTGTCTGTCTCTATAGAGTTATGTTTCCACTCCTTAATTCAACTCCATCTCTTCGATTTCCTTTGCCTTCAATTCCTTTCAACTCTCCATCTATACCTCATTCAAATTCTGTGTTAATTTCTTGTCAATATATATATATAATTTTCTAATTTCCACACACACAAGAGATAAAGTAATGGGTCTGAATCTTTGAACTTGTTAATGATTCTGCTATATATATATATATATATATATGTTTTCTTTTTACCCATTTAAAAATTTATGGGCTCTTGCTTTCAATTCATTTTCTTGATTTTTAATGGACTATAAAGAAAGCAACTTTTGCACGTGCATGTCTGAATACTATCTAATTTAGTGATACTAGTGGGTACAATCATCATTTTTCGGTATCGACCTTTTTTATTTCCTGGTTTCTTAATTGAGTAACAAAATTATGATCGCTGGTAAAGGCACCAACTATGTGTCGTCTGTTACCTTCCGATGTCTAGTATGATCGGTAAGTGGGTTACTTTCCTATGATCTTATCGTCCAGGATTTGAACTTTAATACACACACACACACACCAGTCCAGGTGCAGAGACCAACTTAAAATCCTACCAGAAAAGAACTTGAATCTCTGTGCAGTAAAGCCCTGATAGACCAAAAAAGAACTACGCGTATGATTGAAGTGTTTTTGTTTTGGGCATTGCTTTGTTTTCTTAGTTTCTTCTTATGGGTTACTGATAGTTTATTTTGCAGTGCACTAAACTTGTCTTAAAGGATGGTTGCATTTGGGAAGAAGTTGAAACAGAACCAGATTGAAGAATGGCAACGGCATGTATTAATTACGTGAAGAAAACTTAACTTGACTTGCAATTTTTGATAACGCTTTTGATAGGTTACTGTGCTTACAATCTGAAGATTCTCTTTCAGGTACTATATTGATTATAAGTTGTTGAAGAAGAAAGTCAACAGATATGCACAAGAAATTCAAGTTCGAGCAGAGAATCAACAATATGTTCTCAAGGACTTCTCAAAAATGCTCGATGATCAGGTTTTTCCTCAGACTTTATGTGTTATAACATATATAGTATCTAGTATTCTATGCACATAAGCATACTTTATATCCTCCGAAAATGTGTTTTCAGCCCTATACAGCATTTCCTGCATAGGGTTTCTGTTAGAATTAGTTTATTCATGGATATTTGCTAGTAATGCAACATTTTCAATTGCAAGCCCCATCAATCATTTACTTAAGAAGGTTTTATACTAAAATTTCTTTGTCTCAGCCTACTTTTTAACAATTTCAGATTGAGAAGAGTGTCATGTTTTTGCTGGAACAACAAGGACTACTAGCAAGCAGATTGTCAATTCTTAGAGAACAGCATGATGATCTTGTAGAGCAGTCAGATGGATCTAAAATATCTGAACTACGAGAGGCATATAGAGTAGTAGGGCAGGATCTATTAAGGCTTCTCTTTTTCGTTGAGATGAATGCCACCGGCTTACGAAAGATTCTGAAGAAATTTGATAAACGCTTCGGCTATAGATTTACTGATTACTATGTCAAAACCCGTGCAAACCATCCTTATTCTCAGCTGCGGCAGGTCTTCAAGCATGTGGTGAGATGCCCAAATGAAATCAAAGTTCATCAACAAGTTTTGAGTTGATTAATTTCCTCTGGAAATTTGTTTTGCTTGTGACGTTAGTTACAGCTTTGTGCTATTTGGGTGCCTGATATGGAATAGTCGAACATGCAGGGTGTTGGGGCTGTTGTTGGAGCCATATCACGCAATCTTGCAAATCTTCAACATCAAGAGGAAAATTACATATCGATATATGATCAGCCTGCATTATCTCACCCGGTTTTCTCTCATATCCATACTATATGCAATAGTATTGCTCTCTTTTAATCTTTCTTAACACCATGTTTTATTTTCCCGAGCCTTATATATGACCATACTTCAGGTCCTACTGCCATCCCTATTCATTGAATGGCATCTGATAATTTTACGTATAAAGAGGCAAAAAGATTCATATCAATCTTTAGAAACTAGCACAGCTTGAATTGTCAATTTATCCATACAAATTAGCACAATTTGCTTTACCATTCAAACTTAAATCACTAGTTGTTAGATTATACGCCAATGCAGCCAAAAGAATGCCCCAAGTTTCTTACACGTGACTTTAGAAACTTCAGAACATGTGAAGGGAGCTTTGAAGATATAATGTAACTTATTTGACATTGAATGTGATTAACACCTAATCGGAAGGTAACAGATTTAAAATTTAATACATTTTCACCTTTTTTTCTAGTTCATCATAGTTGTTTACTGATATTTGCTTGTAACATTGCAGCATAATTCAGCATGTCAACTCAGCATGTGATTGTGATAGCATCCATCTTATTGATTTAGAATGTACTTCGCACATTTTAAATAAGGACGATTTTGCAGGATCCTGTCATTGATTCTATCAAAGCAGCTGTAAACAGGTTATCAAACTCAACAAATTTTCTTGAGTTTTTGGGAAAGCATGCATTTATTATTCACGACGAGTCACCAACTCCATCTGAAGACCATCTTGCTGAGCAGAGATATCATTTCATGTCACTTCTCTTGAACTTGGTTAATACATTTCTATATATGGTCAACTCATATATCATCGTCCCAACAGCAGATAGCTACTCCCTAAACCTTGGAGCAGCAGCAACTGTATGTGGTGTCATTATTGGGTCAATGGCGGTTGCACAGGTGTTCTCTTCAGTATACTTCAGTGCATGGTCAAATAAGTCATATTTGAGGCCACTTGTGTTTAGTAGCATCGTTCTTCTTGTGGGGAACACATTGTACGCACTGGCTTATGATCTTAATTCTATATCAATCCTTTTGATCGGTCGACTTTTTTGCGGGTTAGTAATTTACGTTGTTTAAGTAGTGAAACGAGCATTTCTCACGTTTCTCTGTTGCACTTAGCTGCAAAAGTTTAAACTGCTAGCTTGCCTGCAGTAAAACCTTTCTAGTTTATTTTTAATTAATTTTTCTTTCTATCAACTTTTTTCTTTATTTCGCCTTCTAATATCTCCCCGCCATTTCTAGATTAGAAAGTAAAATATCACTTCAAGTTCCTGTTATAGCAGTTTAAGTGTGAGCATCAAAGAAAGTCCCACGCTTCTTGTTACATTCAAAATGAGTCATTTCTATTGGTTTAATTAGACTAACCAAGGAAGAAATTAATGGGGTCAACATTTCAGGTTAGGCTCCGCAAGAGCTGTTAACAGGCGTTACATCAGTGACTGTGTACCGCTCAAGTTGCGATTGAAAGCTTCAGCAGGTTTTGTCAGTGCAAGTGCACTAGGAATGGCATGTGGTCCAGCTCTTGCTTGCTTATTTCAAACCAATTTTAAGATATACAAACTCACATTTAACGAAGAAACTTTACCTGGTTGGGTAATGGCTCTTTTATGGCTTGTCTATCTACTATGGCTGTGGATTTCTTTTCGAGAGCCTCCTCGAGAGACTACCGAGCTTGCACCACAGGAATCTTGTGCTGGTTTGTTAACAAAATGAAATTTTCTATGAATTTTTTTTCTACGCTGATCATTTCAGGTTTTTTTATGATTTACTTCACCCTCTAATTTTCATTCCAGGGGTTTTCTTATCTGTTGCATTGCTACTTGTGGACATCGCCACCTCTTTTTATTTATTTATTTATTTATCTCCATTTACATCTACCAAATATCCAAGTTTCTTGTTTTCATCTACTTTATTCGGAAAAATAATCCTTCTTACAGTAGTTTGGTTCATGTGGTTTACTTGAAAAGGGCACTCTATATAGGTTCTAGCAGTTTACTAACAATTTCAATGACTAAAATTTCATGCTCGCTTCATAAATGCAGCTAAGAACTGTGCATTTAATATCCTTCCTTTTGTTCCTGTGTACAGATGGATGTTTAATGAATTTTTTTTTTTTTTTGATATTTTATATTGCAGGGCTCCCAGTACACGATGCTGTAGAAATTGATTTTACCCAACCATTGCTTTTAAAATCAGAAGCTAAGCTTCAAGATAAAAATGTTAGCCAAAATGTCGACCAAGAATTCGATGATGGTGAAGAAGATTCTGATGAAAGCCATAAACCTGTTACTTCAATTGCGTCGGCATATCGATTGCTTACACCATCTGTGAAGGTGCTATTTCTTTGCCTTATTTAGCTATGAAAATAATAGATGATGAGCATTCTACACTTTAATTATGTTTGTGGAGGAAACATAACAGTAACAGTTAAGGGAGCATTATTTTTTCTATTCTTTATATATTTCAAAAGTCATAGATTTGTGCAAGACTTCTTCTTTTATATATATATATGTTTCTTCTATGCTGCCTGGGTAATATCAGTAGTTATTTTCGGATCATCTGCAATTCTGCTCTCACTGCTGCTCATTTAATGACTGTTCTTAAATCCTTCCATTGCTTACCAGGTTCAACTATTTGTTTATTTTATGCTTAAATATGCAATGGAGATTTTGGTTGCTGAATCAAGTGTCGTCACCGGACATTACTTTATCTGGTCAACCACCAGCGTAGCAATTTTTCTTGCATGTCTGGGGCTAACAGTGCTTCCTGTAAATGTGCTTGTTGGAAACTACATCAGCAACATGTTTGAAGAGAGGTAAACCCTTTCAAAGTGGAAAAGTCCACCCTAGTGTTCTTATAGTGTCTGTTCTATTAGCATCAAAATAATAATAATAATAATAAGAAGAAAATCTAAAAGAAATCCAGTTAAGAAATTTTGCATGGATTTATATATTTCACTCTTCGTTGATAATCCTCTATATAGGGTTCCTAGTGTATAGGATAGAACTGATTCAATTAAAGATCTAAGACCTGATTTGATTGTTTAATTATGTGAAATGGCTTTGGCTCTGGTCTGCCTCCTTTTAATTCTACTAAAAAATCAATTACAGTATGTGATCTATAAATGAGAACAGATGAGAAAGTGTATCATGAATATAATAATTTCAAGTCATCCTGCCACAAGATAACGAATGCACAATGCCTGTCAGTGATACAGGATGCAAAATTCATTTTATTTTCGTTAATTGATCATTCATAATTTTTGATAACTTGGTTGCAGGCAACTTCTACTGGCATCAGAAATTATGGTGTTGATAGGTATACTCCTAAGCTTCCAAGTTTTGATCCCTTATACGGTGCCTCAATATGTTAGCGCAGCACTTATCACGTTCGTATCTGCTGAAGTCCTTGAAGGTAATTGTAGTTACTGATATGAAAAAGACACCGGATGTATTGTATATACATCTTATTAGGAGGAAGGAGGAAGGATAGCCACTGCTGTGGTTTTGGTTGAACGTTTTCTTTTCCTTTCGAAATGTTAAGATTTCATCTGCTTGACCTGTCCACTTTATATTTGGATAACACTCTTTAATTTGCTTAAAATGATAACCGTTTGATGATATCCAGGTGTGAATCTATCACTCCTATCTCGAGTCATGTCATCAAGGCTTTCTCGTGGGACATACAATGGAGGATTGCTTTCAACAGAAGCTGGGACCTTGGCTCGAGTAATTGCAGATGGAACAATAACGTTGTCTGGGTACTTAGGTGAGAGTAGGCTTTTGAATGCCACCTTAGTTCCTTCACTCTTCATCTGTGTATCCTCCATTGTTGCCACTTGCTTCACCTACAACTCTCTCTTCTAATTATCTTCCTCTCTCTTGTGTACATATGTAATAAAGCATAATAATCCGAATTTCTTGATAATCAAATGCCAAATACAGTTTGATATAGTTCTTTCAATCTCGAATGCGTTGAGATGGTTTTTGATACTTGGAAACTTGACATCATTTCGGAGGGGTTGATGTTTTCTTATAACTTACGTATTGCTATAACTAGATCCTATATATAATCGGCAAACTATTTGGAACAATAACTTGGCATAAATTCCACCCCTAAAACATAATATGCAAAAGTACAGGAGGACCGATTGGTCATATGCTATCAATTCCTGCCTTCAAAATATGCAGTAAAAGGGAGCAAAATACTAGAATTCTTAGAACATTAAGCATCTCAGTGGATGAAGATAAATACCAGGCAGCGGTGACAGAATCTTGGTAGCTTTTTCTTATACATTATAAGAACAGTATAGAAACTACAGATGGAGAATGTCAGACATAAAGGAAGAAATTTCAGTCAAATTGTACTAGAGAGACATGTTAAAGAAGGGAAAATACAATAATTAAAGAGGAGACTGACTACAAAGTGGGCCGGCAATAGACATAGTTAACTTCCATTTGACCGCACTTCTTATCCAATTCTTCATGTTCAGCAGTATCCTGACCATCAAAAGCCAATGCAAATTATGTTCCAAATAAGATCATGCAAAGTTCAATTTGTTTGCAGTGTCACTTTTTAAGCTTAGGCGTTAAGTGGATTTGTTCCTAACTAGCATTAATTTAAGTTTAAATCAAAAAAGGATATTGTGAGAAGAGATTTTTCATCAATGCACCAACATGTATATAGATGATGAAAATCAAAGAAAGACACGGAACTAATTTGCAATGCCACTCATAAAAATTGGACTAAAAAATTTAAATTCATTTCAGTGCTACTGGCTTTTTTTGGCTGCTGATGTAGTAATATTTAGGGACCTCAAAAAACCAGATAACAATTTTTTTTCTTTCCAAAACAAACTTGATTTTTTTTTTTTTTTGAAATTTGACTATATATATAGCGAAAAATAAAAATCATTGCGGCAGATTTGGAATCCTATCTTAATCGGAAAACATATTTATAGCCCAAAAAAACACCATGGCCAGGCCCATGATGCCCCTTACTAAATATAAATCCATAAAATTTAGCAACATGATATCCGTAAACGGTACGGTAACACCAGCCTACTACTTCCCTGCTTTGATTTGTTCTCTGTTTAGAACAAGGAAACCAGAACTGAAGAGAGACACAAAAACAAAGAAAGCACTGTAAAAACATGGCAACAACAGACATACCAGAAGGTACTATAAGGAACATACTAGACCAAGACACACTCAAGTGGGTTTTCGTTGGAGGCAAAGGTGGTGTTGGCAAAACGACATGCAGTTCAATTCTTTCCATTCTTTTGGCTCAAGTCAGATCTTCTGTTTTAATCATATCTACTGATCCAGCTCATAATCTTAGTGATGCCTTCCAACAACGATTTACAAAGGCTCCTACTTTGGTTAATGGGTTCAGCAATCTATATGCTATGGTAAATCATGGATCTTTTTTTGGTTTTGATTTTGCGGGGTTGAAGTAAATTCTGAGCTTTTGATTGGATTTGAGGATGTCCAGTTGGTGAATTTAGTTCTTTTTAAAATTTTAATTTTTGTGTTTTTAATTATTCAGAAATTGAGAGTTTGTTGTGTGAAATATCTGTGTAGAATTTGGTAAATTTTTGTTCTTTGATTCTTTTATTTTAAAGATGCTGTCTTTGAAGAGGTCGGATTTTGATTTTGATTTTTTGTTAATTGAATTGGGAAGTTGTTATATTGGCTGTTCTTGTTGTGCTTCAATATCTAATTGTGGCATTGTTTGGGCAATGGTGATTTGCAGGAGGTGGATCCTAATGTTGAACATGACGATATTGGAGGAAATGAAGGAATGGATGGTTTGTTTTCCGAGCTTGCCAATGCAATTCCTGGGATTGATGAGGCCATGAGTTTCGCTGAGATGTTAAAGTAAGAGCTGTGTTTCCGTTATCTTGATTATGTTGAAATGTTTAAGTGCATTTAGTGGATCAGTAATTATTATGATCTAATGGCTTAATGCTTGATTGATTTTTGTGGTGGGAATTTTATGCTTATTTTCTTTTTCTTTATTGAGGATTGTTCTGGGGTTTCTTTAGAGTTTGCAAAACTGAAAAAAAATTGAGATTTATGGTGTTATTAATTTCAGGAATGTTCTTTTGTTTCAATTACAAGCACTGCTCAGGAGTTAACTTTAAGCGAATTTATTATTCTTCTAGCTATGGTTGAGTAGAGTACTCTTAATAAAACTAGGCTTCCTGCATGTTATTTGAGTTCTGCTGCATATTTTCAGTTTGCTGGTGTTATTTATTTGTTTCTCATTTGAATCTTTGATCAGACAGGTTTGAGTAAGTTCCTGAGATGGTCTTTTTCAACATTCTCTTTCTTATAGTATTACTTTAAATGTGAATAGAATGTAAGTGAATGCATTGTGTTGTTGTATGCAGAGCTTTTTTTCTGGCTTAGCTACACTGATATATTATTCCCATCCTTTAAAGGTTTGCTGAGAGACATATGGTGATTACTCTCTCTGCAGCCTTTGCTTGACAAAGTAGTTTCAACTTAATTTTTACAATTATCAAGAATCTCATGCTTGCTGCTCAACTTATTTTCCTGCAGGCTGGTACAGACGATGGATTATTCTTGTATTGTATTCGATACTGCTCCAACTGGTCATACACTCCGGCTTTTACAATTTCCATCAACTTTGGAGAAAGGGCTTCAAAAGATGATGTCTTTGAAAAGCAAATTTGGTGGCTTAATTAGTCAGGTATCTCCTTCATTGCTATCAAGTTTTGGCTTTTTAATACAAGTGGGGGGTCACATATTTGGCTTGCTTTTGCCTATACGAAAGTCGAAACAACTATTTTAATTAAGGTTCATCCTTTTCTTTTCTTGTCAGGTGATGCTTATGTAATAAGTTATTTCAAAGTGTTCAGATGCTTGGTTTAACTGCTTTTTTTCTTTTTCATTCCTATTTTAGCATGTTCTTTGAATTGAAGTATTGTGTTTCCTTTCTTTCCAACTTCTGTCTCCCTTAGCTTATTATACAGTTTGTGTGGTTGAAGCTTCTGTTTAAAGAGTTAGAGTCCAGAAATACTAGTTTTTGTTATCTGGGGAAAAAAATAAAGAAAAAGAAGATAGACAAGGATTTACAGTACAGGTTCCTCTTGCTTTATATTTGGAGATTCTGTCTGCCGTCTTCTGTCACTATAGCTTTTTGTCATTTGGAAGTGTAGAATCCAACGCTCTTGCCATTTGACCTGTTGATGTCTTAGAATAAATTTTAGCCTCAGAGTACAGGATTTCCTGTTCCCATACATTTGAGTGATATTAAATTTCACACCTCTGTGTCCTTAATTCTCTTGTGACTTTTAATTATTACAAATCCTTGATGTACAATTGCTAAGTACTGGAAGTTTATGGCAGATGACTCGTCTCTTTGGCATTGATGATGAATACGGTGAGGATGCAATCTTGGGAAGGCTTGAAGGCATGAAAGATGTGATCGAACAAGTCAATAAGCAATTCAAAGACCCAGTAAGATCTTCCATCTTTGTGACAGTGTTTGCATACTTTTAATTGCTAATTATGCTATGTTTCAATTGCAGATTTTTTTTTTTTTTAATTGTATATTTATACCAGAGTTTATTTAGAGGATTGAAAAACTTGCACTCACTCGTTATTGCTTTAAGCCTCTGGTAGCGTATTTGATGAAGGTGTCCAAATCATAGTAATGGTAATTAATTAAGTATTGGGTTTAGGAAGTCCCTATCGTTGTTGTCATTATCTCTCCACGTTTCTGGAATTATTGTAGTTGATGACATATGGTGGTGTGGTATGGCTAAATTGGATGAAAGACCGACTAAGTGTCTATTGTTTCATATCATGGGTATCTTGCATGTAGTTACCACAAGCATTCTATAGAAAGGTTAAAAAGGAGCTCATGGGCTAGAGGGAAGACTATCAGCAGTAAGACCCACTTTAACGTGGTGGATAAGGTGCTAACAATTTGGCACTTTCTTCCAAAGGTTTGGTGTAAAGGCATTTATTTTGTCTTTAAAAGGGTCATCGACTTGAATAATTTCTGCAGTTTGGTTTTCTGTTGCTCTTAATGTTGATGGTCTGAGATAGTGTACATTTGTAATTCTGTAAGCTATAACTCGCAAAGTTTTCTGATGAGCTGTATTCTCACTGAAAATTTTCACTGTATAGATGGTATCTTTATTTCCTGCCGAACGTTCCAGCTTCTTTATCCCTTAAGCATTTTTTTTTTTTTTCACCTGTCTGTAACTAGTTATTTAATGCACTTATACTTCCTGTTTCCAGGACTTGACAACCTTTGTTTGTGTTTGCATTCCCGAGTTCCTCTCCCTTTATGAAACTGAGAGACTGGTTCAGGAGCTTACCAAGTTTGAGATTGATACACATAATATTATCATTAATCAAGTTCTTTATGATGAAGAAGGTTTATTAACATGTCCCTTACTCCCCTTTTTATACTTTTCATATTCTTCCTTAGATAAATACATTAACCATTATTGGTCGGTGTTATTATTGTAGATGTTGAATCCAAATTACTCAGAGCAAGAATGCGGATGCAACAGAAGTACCTTGATCAGTTCTATATGTTGTATGATGACTTCAACATTACAAAACTTCCATTGTTGCCACAAGAGGTAAACTTCTTATGCCTTTTCTTGTTGGACTTGCCAATGCATAACTTATTTCCATAACTTGTAGAACTTGCTGGGCAATCTATTCCTTTCATGTTTATAAAACAAGTTAGATGTGTTTTTTTTTTTTTTTTTTTTTTTTGTATTGCCTTCCATTTATTTGAGGATGTGCATATGCCAATGTTTTCAAAAACTAGTTCATTTTCCATCAAATGCAATTTGTTTTTGTATTTTTTTCTACCTCTGTATTCTGGAGATTGAGAAGTGACTTTTTGTCTTTCATTTGGCTGCTTGCCTATGTGATACCTTTTAATTTTATTTGATAAGTTAAACATCCAATTGATTAGGAAGATCTGATTTAATAGGTAACTGGAGTTGAAGCTCTAAAAGCTTTTTCAAGTAACTTTTTATCGCCGTATCAACCTTCCACCAGCAGAGGTACGGTGGAAGATTTAGAACGAAAAATATCTACCCTAAAGCTGCAGTTGGAATATGCGGAAGCAGAACTAGACAGACTTCGAAAGGGAAAGCAAAAGGTCTAAATGTTGCATGGTCAACCATTTTGTAAGAGTTCACAATTAGATTGCGTCCAGTCAGGTCATATTGGGCTGATGGGAAGGAAAGTCGATGCTTTCTTGAAGCTCTGTATGATGTTTTGGGTAGATCAATTTATTTATGAACCTTTTTTATTTTTATTTTTTTTGTGTACCTTTTTCCTTACAATAAGTGTGATTTTTCACTAATAACATTCGTGCTTAGCCATATAATTAGCGATTTGAAGGCATTTTCTTTTTGTAACATTTAGATCATTTGATGCTTTGATTTTGAATTTTCTTGATCATAGAATTATTTATTTATTTTGGCAGTCAGCCTTCTGTTTCTTCTTTTGAGTTCTTGGATCTGTTGATGAACGCAAATTTTTAGCTTCCATTATCCTTTTAGGGTCAGGTTCTTTGTTTTTCCAGAAAAGAATGTTTATTCGAAAGGAAAAAAACAGAATTGTGATACAGCAGCGAGTATTGCGTTATTTATGCATGCAATTTTATACTGAATCAAGATATCTGGCAAACTAGTTTGGTATAAATCTTAGGGATCCCATCTGATCTGTTATATACACCCAAATAATTTATAATTTACACTTGGTTTCTCCAAGGGTCAAGGTCAAAGAAAAACTAACAAAATCGTAAATCTGCTTTTTAACCTTTTCATTTTAGCTGGTCATACAAGAGGGAGTTAAAGTTGGGTGGCTCCAACAATTTTTTATCTTTACTAGTTTTTACCTCTGGTAAGCTGCGCATCAGGTAAAATATGTAATTGTAGTTTAAAAATCTATGTAAATCTATCAAAATATATTGAATAAAATGTATTCAGTTTTATCATTTTTTTAAAATCAAAATTTTGCGTTTAACTAGTTATTTATTATATTTTTTTCATAAATTTTCTACTAAAAAAACGTGATTTATTCTAATTTTTTCGATTCTTAATTAAAAAATTATTTTAAAAAAATTCTCATATATATATATATATCATTTAAAAATTCTAAGAATTCATCATATAAATTATATAGATAAGTTTTTTAAATGATCACATTCTAAAATTTTATTTAAAAGTTCATACAAAGAGAACAATAAATCATATATATATATAATTAATTTTAATACACACAAAACACAAAAAAAAATTCAAATCAAAACAAAAAAAAAAATCAAATATATTTCAAAATCCCGATCTATCTCTTTATACCATTTTATGCTTCACGACCACTACAAAATGAATTATACTCTTCAAGACAAACAAAATGGTAATGATTCCGATGATCGAGGTGGTCGGAATGGGCCTCGTCTTTTCTCTTTCTTTCTTTCTCTTTATGCTTTTCTCTCCTATAAGCATTTAGGTATCGGATTGCAATGAAGTTTAGTATCGAAACAAATTTTTTGAAAAAAAGAGGAATCAAAGTGAAAAAATCAATAAATAGTACAAATAAACTTTTGAATTGAGTGCTAGTGAACAATAAGATTGATTGTTGAGCTACAGTGAAATACACAAGAGAATACATAAGAGAATACACAATGAATGAGCATATTTTTTTTAGTGTTTTAGTTAATGTTTCATATATGAGATGTTATATTTACTCTCATATAGGTTTGTTTCGACGGTGATAACTATTTTTTAGAGATTACTAAATTGTGTCGAATAAGCATTTGGTGTCGTTTGTGATTCTAGTGAGCCTATATTTCCTCATTATGTTTGTTTTTTTCTTCTCTTAATGGTGAGATGAGATGGAACATGTTGAGATTAGTTTATAAAATGTACAATATGACATCCATTTATAATTGGATAGTGCTAGAAATGCTCTCTCTCTCTCTCTCTCTCTCTCCTTCTTCTTTTTCTTCTTCTTCTTTTTTAAATTGTGATCCGGGGTTTGCTACAATGCCTTTGTTTTGGTTACAATGTCCTTTTACTTTAACGTATTATATTTAAAGTTACGAAATAATTTGATAAAATTTATTACACTTTAATTATAAGTGATTATTTGATCGTAATTATGTAAAAATGACTTTTTGCGAACTGAATATAAATGTTTTTTTTATTCCTTAAGAAAATATATTTATTTTAGTTGTATTTAATTATTCATGGCTATCAGAATAAAATAAAATTTACTATATAGTCCATACATGTCATATTTGACTCATAAGATCCTAGCCAATAATTTATTTTGAAAAGCATAATTTAAAACAAAATGATAGATCATATTTAAAAGATGATGAGAGGATTTCAACCCATCCAAACCCTCTATTCAATAATTTGTAGCATGGTGCTTTGGATGTGTATTTTCGTGTAAAATATGGGTGGACAAGATCCATCGGGGTGTGCTTATGAAGAACGAAAAGACTTCTATGATCTGTCATAAAAAACTAAATGAAACTTAACAGGAACCAAACATTTATTTTAATTTTATCAAAGGTTTTGGTTCTCTAAAAAATACTTATAAAATGATGTAATACTTGTAGAAGCCAAGTTTGAGTCAAACGTTGAGATGGCCGAGTTGGTCTAAGGCGCCAGATTAAGGTTCTGGTCCGAAAGGGCGTGGGTTCAAATCCCACTCTCAACATGTCTTTTTTTTCACTTAATCACGCTGTTTTTGAAAAAATAAAAAAATTAAAATTTTTTTTCCGTTTTGTTTTATTTTTCATTTAACCTCACGAAAAATCATTACTAATTTTCGGTATTTTGACTTTTTTATTTTAAAAAATTAATATAAAAATAATGATTTTTTATTTAACCTCAAAAAAAATAATGACTATTTTCTGGGACTTTGACTTATTTGTTTTTAATAAAAATAATAATTATTCATGCAATCTTACAAAAAAAAAAATCACTAATTACCTTTTTTAATAATAATAATAATAATAATAATAGAGCTTTGATAATTAATATTTAATCAATTTAAGATGTATAATTTTTTTTAAAAACCTAATGATAATAACACTCAAACAAAATTGAAATAGTGTCTATTTTTTTATTTAAAAAATATATCGACACTAACTATAGATTAACATTCAAACAAAAAGAGAGTCTAAACAATAAGGATGATTATAATCATTGACTCTAACTAATAATTTATCTTTTGGTTTGTATTGATTTTTGGATGATTATCTTTTGTTTTGAAATGAATCATGATTCTTCAATATATATTAAAAAAAATTGTTGTTCTAAAATTACGTTATTGAAATAATAATAATAACAGGAGTAATATCTATCAAGGAGAAAGTAATGAGATTTTTTAATCAATATTTAAGATTAAAATTAAGCAATCTTCTAACATGAATTGGTCGAGCACCATTTTGTTATTGATTTTGAACTTCTTCTAATTATAATTTTTAGTTAAATATACAATTAATTGCATTTTTTTAATAATCAACATCAAGCATATCCATAAAATGTAATTAAACTCAAACATAAAATACACCCATAATATTAAATACTACAAAAAAATAATAATAAATTAAAAATTTTCTCACAACTAATATTGATCATTTCAGTCTCCGAACACTTAAATTTTCATAATTAATTAAAATATTGAAACAAATTTTTTTAAGAATAATTGGGTCAACATGCAGAACATAAAACTAATTTTTTACCAAACGAGAAATATCCGTGAAGAATGGAGATAAATATAGGAGGCCACTGTTCTAGTTAGCCATCAATTTGCTGTATACCTTGCCATAGTTACACCTCCAAGTTGTTAGAGCCTCGTAGGATTAATGATAGTTTCTTCGTTCACTTGATTGCTTGTTACTAATAATGCACCATGTCGTTGGCCTTACAAGGATTGCCGATTAGGTCAGCTAATTTAAAATCATACCCAAGGAAAGGGGAGGCTCATCTTAAGGTAACAATTTGTCTCATCAGCTAAGGAATGGGGAGTAGTAAAGCTAATTTGAACTCAAAGACCAAGGGAAGGGATAACCATCCAATAAATTCTCCCTTTGAGGCCACATTTACAAATGATATACAACAATTTCTATAGTATATGTTTAAGAAATTGCAGTAGAATCAACATAAGCATCAAACGATAGTTGCTTTGCTCTCAAGGACTTGCAAAACAAGCGATCCAGTTTCTCATCCTTTCCATAAAAAGATCACATCCATGGCATTCTTTTCATGAAATACTACAGTAGCATCAACAGAAAATGGAAAATAAGATGAAGGGAAAGACACAAGACCTTACGCCGTCATCCCCTTCCTAAAACTAAATCTTTAATTATGTTAGAGGGATTATGAATCCTCTCCCTAGTACTTTCACCAGTGTCTGGTAAATGTGTCTAGAGGGAAGTTTTTATCACAGAATCGTTTACGAGAACCCGTCTAGTGAAGTTACCTTAATGGACTTGTATACAAGTCATACCGCAGTTTCTCTGTGATATATTCTGGCAACTGCTCCAGAAGGGACAAAAAAAGTGGCTCGTTTATCTCTCAAAGTGCTTCAAGAATGGTGCAGCTCTTAAATAACTACAGAACAAACAGCATAATCTCCCATCCTTTCATTAAAATCACATTATCATGAAAATATACAGTAACAGAACTTACATTTTGCCACTGGGGCATAAGAAATAAGAAGTTGAGGACCAAGTAAAAATCCTCATCACTTAAATTTCTTTCACATTACTTCTTTAATTTTAAAATTCATGGATATGGATACAATTACTTTTGATATGAAAAGATACTATAATCGACAACATACTAACCACCATGCAAGGTAGAAATAAAAACCACCACATCCTTGTCTTCCAAAGTCGTATCGAGCTGACCACTAAGTTCCCAATCGCAATCATTCACCAGAACTAAAACACCAGGTCTCCTGCATAGCAAATCATCTCCTCATAATTAATGAAACTAATCGATACAAACAAGTCTTTAGCAAATGGAGCCAAGTTCTGATGCTTCTAATAAAACCAACCTTCTCCACTTCAATAAATCAACATTTCTTCCAGTATTTTTTCTATGGGCATTATTGCCTCATTTAGTAGAGAATTAGCAC